GACATATCTGCATGCAGATGCGTTCCTTTCGAACGTAACTGAAAACATTCACCCATGAAAGCATTCTGCTTTAATTTAATATAACAATATTATTTGTATAGAAAGTCAGTCAACACTTTCCAGCCATAGAATCGCCAGAATCAACGGACAATCGACCCTCTCCAAAACATGATGCCCCGACAGGAACATCCCACGCGGCACATGAGCTAGCAAAACGAAATTACAATCACTGCGTTCATTGCGGGTCTAGTGCATTGCATAATATGGCTCAATCACATGCATCTCTGCCACCATTCAACCCATTTTCAGGTTGTTCCTTAAAACTAGAAATCCATAATGATAGACTATGTTGACACCTCTACCACTGTTTCCTCACACACACACTGTGCTAACTGTAAGTACTGTAATATGATAAGATGATCAGCTTTACGGGGACAAAACAGGGACGGAAAGGTTCTATGTTACACGTGAATTTCATTAAAGTATGTTGTAAAGTGATTGTAAGTAGTGTTTACACGTGTATGTCGATAAACAGGGACTGAAAGGTTCTATATTACACATGTTCTATACGTGTATGTCATTAAAGTATGTTGTAAAGTGATTGTAAGTAGTGTTTACACGTGTATGTCGATAAACAGAGACTGAAAGGTTCTATATTACACGTGAATCTCATTAAAGTATGTTGTAAAGTGATTGTAAGTAGTGTTTACACGTGTATGTCGATAAACAGAGACTGAAAGGTTCTATATTACACATGTTCTACACGTGTATCTCATTAAAGTATGTTGTAAAGTGATTGTAAGTAGTGTTTACACGTGTATGTCGATAAACAGAGACTGAAAGGTTCTATATTACACGTGAATCTCATTAAAGTATGTTGTAAAGTGATTGTAAGTAGTGTTTACACGTGTATGTCGATAAACAGAGACTGAAAGGTTCTATATTACAACACGTGTATCTCCTCATAGTGTGTTGTAAAGTGATTGTAAGTAGTGTTTACACGTGTATGTCGATAAACAGGGACTGAAAGGTTCTATATTACACATGTTCTACACGTGTATCTCATAGTGTGTTGTAAAGTGATTGTAAAGTGTTTTACACGTGTATGTCGATAAACAGGGACTGAAAGGTTCTATATTACACATGTTCTACACGTGTATCTCCTCATGTCGTTGTAAAGTGATTGTAAGTAGTGTTTACACGTGTATGTCGATAAACAGAGACTGAAAGGTTCTATATTACACGTGAATCTCATTATAGTATGTTGTAAAGTGATTGTAAGTAGTGTTTACACGTGTATGTCGATAAACAGAGACTGAAAGGTTCTATATTACACATGTTCTATACGTGTATCTCCTCATAGTGTGTTGTAAAGTGATTGTAAGTAGTGTTTACACGTGTATGTCGATAAACAGAGACTGAAAGGTTCTATATTACACATGTTCTATACGTGTATCTCCTCATAGTGTGTTGTAAAGTGATTGTAAGTAGTGTTTACACGTGTATGTCGATAAACAGAGACTGAAAGGTTCTATATTACACATGTTCTACACGTGTATCTCCTCATAGTGTGTTGTAAAGTGATTGTAAGTAGTGTTTACACGTGTATGTCGATAAACAGGGACTGAAAGGTTCTATATTACACATGTTCTACACGTGTATCTCCTCATAGTTTGTTTTTAAGCGATTGTAAGTAGTGTGTACACGTGTATGTCGATAAACAGGGACTGCAAGGTTCTATATTACACTGACTGACTGACTGACTGAGTTTAGTTTTACGCCGCTTTTAGCAATATTCCAGCAATATCACGGCGGGGGACACCAGAAATGGGCTTAACACTATATTACACATGTTTTACACGTGTATCTCATTATACTTTGTTTTTAAGCGATTGTAAGTAGTGTTTACACGTGTATGTCGACAAACCAGGGACTGAAAGGCTCAATACCACATTTCAATCAGAAAATGTTTCCTAAGCCTGGGTCAGTATCTATTCATTTTAATTCATTGTAAACATATAAAAATATGTGATTACTGCGTATAGTAAAGTGATTGTCGTGGTTTACACATGTATATCGTCAGAATATGTAGTAAAGTGGTTATAAATACTGTTTTACACGTGTTTGGTCTCAGAATGTGTAGTGAAGTTATTGTAAATTGCGTTTTACACGTGTTTGTCGCTAGAAAGGGTGTAGTAAAGTGATTGTCTTTGTGTTTTACACACGTATGCCCCTAGAGGGTGTAGTAAAGTGATTGTATTTGTGTTTTACACACGTATGCCCCTAGAGGGTGTAGTAAAGTGATTGTAGTGTTGTACACACGTATGATCTTAAGGGTGTAGTAAAGTGATTTGTAGTGTTTTACACACGTATGATATTAAAGGGTGTAGTAAAGTGATTGTAGTGTTTTATACTCGTATGATCTTAGGGGTGTAGTAAAGTGATTGTATTTGTGTTTTACGCACGTATGCCCCTAGAGGGTGTAGTAAGTGATTGTAAGTCGTGATTACACAAGTATGTCCTTATAGCATATAGTGAAGTGATTGTAGTGTTTTCCACACGTATGTCCTTAGAGTTTGTAGTGAAGCGACGATGGTGTTTTACACGTGCATGTCGCTCCAACGGATTCCGATCTGGACTCATTGCAAGCCAAGGCAGTGTTGTAACTGCGTTGTTCTGGAGGTAAGCACCCACTGCCCTTGAATAATGGGGTCTGGCATTGTCAGCCATGAACTGAGGTAAAAAATGGGCGACAACAACTGGAACCGGGACCTTTCGGATGTACAGTTCACCTGTAAGGTTGCCTCGTATGGTAACCAGGTCCAACTTGCAATCATGGGAGTGACACCCACATATCATAACGGAACTTCCTCCATATGGGACAGTTGGTCTGATGTTCCTTGGTGTTTAGGCCGTATTTCTGAGCCTCCAAACCCTTGCTCGTCCATCTGTGACATGCAGCAGAAAACGACTTTCACCTGACCAGTGAATTTTTCGCCATGTCCTCGCACGTCGAGCCAGACACCATGCCAATGGTGCCTCTGATGGTGATCTGCTAGTAGAGTGCGTTTGATTACTCTTCTGGACCTCAGGCCTACAGTTCTTAAGCGATTTCTGACGGTTCTGTCGGAAAGACGACGATTAGGTAGCCACAATGGGGTAAGCGCAGTAGTTGGAACAGTGAAACAAATGCACGCTGGTACGTGAAGAGCGTTTACTTAGAACAACCCGGTGTTTCATTTGATGTGCATACCCCTTGTAATACAAACCGATACTAGCGATGTGAAACTGTCATCGTTAAACAACTTGTATCCTGAGTTGAATAAAATTCTGAGATTTATATGTTCAATTGGCAAGGTAAAATCATGAGGATTTGCAGTCTTAATTTCACTTTATTTGTTTTACTTTTTGGTTTAAAGTGATATTCATCGGTACGTTTTCACTGCAAACAGACTATAAAATGCCCCTCAAAGAACAAAGAACTTTGTGTGTTGAGTGACTGAGTGAGTTTTACGCCGCACTCAGCAATATTCCAGCTATATGGCGGCGGTCTGTAAATAATCGAGTCTAGACCAGACAATCCAGTGATCAACAGCATGAACATCGATCTGTGCAATTGGGAACCGATGACATGTGTCAACCAAACCAGCGAGCCTGACCACCCGATCCCGTTAGTCGCCTCTGATGACAAGCATGGGTTACTGAAGGTCATTCTAACCCGGACCTTCACGGGTATTGTGTGTTGAAGATTTATAAGGCTATAGTGAAAGGATTGCTCTTACAATTGTCAAGTTGCATGCACTAACGGTGCAGTAAAGTCATAGCATGTAAAGGTTTATACTTGTCTCTCCTTGTACAGCATATCAACATGATAGAATGTGAATGTGTGCACGCGTTTATCATAGCAGGCTAATAGAAACACAGAAAATATCACAAAAACTGATGAAACTAATGACAAGGGAATTGAGATGAAATGAAACATGTTAGACAGCACAAATATTCAGAGCATTCCTCGGCAGAATATTTCCTCCAGTGTTATTCAGTAGCATAATACGCAGTCAGTCAGGCACCCGTCAGAGAAGCCCACATTGAAATCAATAATGGATACGACAGCGAGTTGGCTGTATGCCTATGAGAGGACTGAGTTGTCTATGTGGTGTGCATCGGAGTACTCAGAGCACTGTCCATTGTGGCCATCCTCTGCCTCGTAGGTCACAAACAGATGCGAGTGGTGACGATTGCTATAGTGCCCGATGGTGTTTGTATGTAGGAAACCCAGGCGCAGTCATGACGTAACATCACAGTCCTGGTCAACTTTGCATATCGCGTGACTGGACTTTTCTCTCCTTCATGTAAACGAGCTTATTCTGAAATCAGAACGTACATCCCTAGTGTAAACCTTTCGGTGCACACTATACAGTATTGCAAACTTATATATATATATAGGGATGTATGTTGTGATATATATATATATACAGACACACACACACACACATACATACACAATATATATATATATATATATATGCTACGACACTTGCGAACGTGGGGTGTATGACAAGATATAAATACATGTTTATACATATATATATACATATATATATGGTTTCCCTAACGCTAGTTCTCCATTATGTCTCGGTGACCGCACTTGGAGCTGTACAACACATGTAAACACAGGATAACAACGCAAACAGTTTTTCACGTTTCAGGTTTAAGTTCTTAACTTAAGTTGAGCGTTACATCACATTTGTTTATCCAGATACGAAGACTTGTCAAAAAATGAAACAGATGAAAAACGTAAGCAAATAGGCCGCAAGTAGGCCGCCCGTGGAGCAGGTACTGTGCTGGTCGCACAGAACTCTGGGTAGAAGAGAGCGTATTCAGCTGCTATTCTGCACAGCACATGGCCATGTGTTCTGTTTGTGTGATTGGGTTGGAGGACACCGCCTCTGTTGGCATGTATTGCGCATGACCATTGGCTCATTGGTGGCAGATTACGCTTCCTTCTTGCTGACAGATACCCGTCTATATTGTAGCCATAATGGGGAAGTTGAACAGCTTTGTGATCGTGTTCAGCCAAACACAGAATATATACTACCCAGGCCAGACTCTCCAAGGTCATGTCACCGTGGACCTGAACGACACAATGAAAATGAGAGGTAAGCAGCGTCATTGGCATCATTAACGAGGCCAATCTTCGAATCACGTTAACCCTCTCAGTGCTGTGTTGTCTTGACAAAATGTTATGCTTCATCTGCGAAGTAATATGGTTGTGCAAATCTATCCTGCATATGGAATTTAATATGAACGTTAATATGGGGAGTGGGAAGGGGGGCGGGTGCATTTTGTAGCTGGGCGTGGTGGGTGATTGTCCAGCCACGGGACTGCTAGTCAAGGCAAGGCAGTTCTTGATGAACATGATTTTATTCCAGTGTCAGAGATGAGAGGGAAGCTGTAATAAATAAACATGTATATGTAATGTAATTATTAGCCAAAAATAAACAGTTTATATCTATATTTGTACCATACAGCTGTAGCACGTGGTTAAGAGTCATCTTCTCAATCAATGTTGCAAAACGTGTGAAGCTAGTAAATATTTAGGGAATACATTAAATAGCATTGTAATTAAATATATACTTAGTTCCAAAAGAAACGCGACATTCATGTTTGTTTTTGAAATTTCCATAATTGTCTTATCAACTTTACAATCAGAACGATTGTGCATGTTAAATGTTATTTTAAACCAATTTCGAAATTAAACTTCTGAAACAAGACTTTTAACGTCAGATTAGACGTGAAAACTGTATCTAATTATTGAACATTTTTACGGGGGAAAACAACAGAAACGCATCGCATAAACGCATGCCCTGACGCGTTGTGCACTTGAATTTATTGATACGACGCTTTCTTCAAGAAAAATGAGAGAAAGAACCCTTTAAAAGATGCGAGGGCAGTTTCTGTTGTGTTCCTTTTCTGAATGGTTCAGAGAACAATATGCCACGTCTGAGCAATGAAGCACGGCTACGTACTCTTGGGATGATTGATGCTAGTTCCAGTGTTGTCAACGTTGCACAACATATGGGAGTACATCGGACGACAATTTACCGACTGAATGTACGCCAAATCAAACGAATTCAGTGAGAGATCGACCTAGAGATGCAGGCCACGAGTGACGTCACACAGGCAAGACCGTTACATCGTAACGTCACATCTTCGCAACCGTTTTCTTCCAGCTACTGTTACAGCCCGTCAGACAGTTGGGATTCACAACAGACCAATTTCAGGAAACACTGTGCGTCGACGTTTGAGAGCACACTGTAGGAGACCCTATGTTGGACCGATTTTGACGCCAGGGCACCGTCGTCTGCGCATTGGAGATATGCACAGTGGCAGAACGTTGTTTTCTCAGATGAGGGTTGTATCTGTGTCCACATTGCAGATGGGAGAGTGAGAGTATGGCGTCGACGAAATGAACGTTTCAGACACCCATGTGTTCTGGAAAGTGACCGCTGGGGTGGGCCATCCCTTATGATGTGGGGTGGAATAAGCTGGGGAAGGCATGTACCACCTGTAATTTTCCAAGACAACGGTCAAGGTCGTGGAAGGGGCGTAACTGCACGACGCTACATTGACGAAGTCGTAAGGCCTGTTGTCGTCCCGTTCTTTAGACCCAGACCACAGTTGCAGTTCCAACACGATAATGCCCGCGCCAACTCGGCCATTATCACAGGACAATTCCTGGCCTGTCACCACATCCAGACAATGGTTTGGCCACCTCTTAGTCCTGATTTGAATCCAGTGGAGCATCTCTGGGACGAGTTGGACCGAAGCCTTCGTCAAAGACAAAATCGGCGGCAGTTGGAGAAATCAGTGTTGAATGAGTACAACATTCCCGGTTCTTTCATTTGACGTTTGTTCATGTCCATGGGAAGACGGTGTACTCATGTGATAAACAATAATGGTGGTCATACCAGGTACTGATAACATCAAATATCAACTGAAGCTTCTAAACGTGTCTAATGCAGACTCTTCAGGTTGGACACAATAAAAAATTCATCAAATCTTAAATCCACTGCCATTGCTGTTGCCTTTTATCTTTCTTTGGTGCGTTCTGTGTAAAGCATATAGTGGCTGGAAGCACGTATGTGAGATAACAGTTCTCATTTCAAATGGACTTGTCGCGTTTCTTTTGGAACTAAGTATATTTTACTATTATGATAAGTAAGCGATATCCTTTATATAAGTATGTTTCTTTTCATGACATGATATTGTAATGTTTCTCACCTGAAATGAATTAACCTCCCTCCATTATCTAAAGAGTTAATGCAGAATGCAGGAGGAGGGCAGGTGAGACATGAAGCTTACAGTACAGGACAACACACAAAACAGAAGACAGGTAGCATCTCACAGGTTTCAAATAAAGCCAGATGCAAGACCTTTACATAAAGTGTTGGAAGTATCTACAAAATAAAAGGCGGAGGTCCAGGTGAAGCTGGACAAAAAAGGGGCTGTTATGGGTATAAGGGTTAAAAATGTTAGTTGGCTGACATTCAACTGCAGACAAGAGTGAGTAAGTGATTGAGTTGGTTTTACGCCGTAGTCAGCAGTATTCCAGCTACATGGCGGCGGTCTGTAAATAATCGAGTCTCAATCAGACAATCCAGTGATCAACAGCATGAGCATCGATCTACACAATTGGGATACGATGACATGTGTCACCCGATCCCGTTAGTCGCCTCTTACGACAAGCATGGGTTACTGAAGGCCAGTTCTAACCCGGATCTTCACGGGTCTACAGGCAGAGAACAACATATAATCTGCTACACCGTCATGACTATTGGTTCAGGTTAGACTGGTAAACATAGCTTTATACGTCTCTGTTTTTCACACCACAATCTCGCACGAGTGCATGGTACAAAATACCGTGGACTTGCTATACCCCCAGTTCCCAAAATGTTCTATAACTATTTTTATGTATTCAAATGATTCCGGTTGTACATGTATTTTGTGAAGCTGTGAAGCTTGGGAGGGGTCAAAACTTTTCTACTGTTATCGACCGTTTATTTTATTTGTTTGGTGGCTGTCGAAGTGGCTGCTACAGATGAGTGAGTGAGTTTGGTTTTACGCCGCTTTTAGCAATATTCCGGCAATATCACGGCGGGGGACACCAGAAATGGGCTTCACACATTTGCCCATGTGGGGAATCGAACCCGGGTCTTCGGCGTGACGAGCGAATATTGCTACAAGCGGCGTAAAACCAAACTCAGACAGACGAGTTGACATATTAACCCGGTGAACTCTTCCAAACATGGTCCGACAGAGTTATAATGTGCCTGACACTGAGAGCGTGGGTTCGAATCCCGTATGGGACTCAACCCAACAAAGGTACTAAAATCTGTACTGTAATGCGTGGTCGAGTTGACATATTCACCCGTGGCGCAGTGGCTTCTTCCAAACATCGGCCAATAGAGTTAATGTGGCATTTTCACTTGTCGCACCATCGAGTTGATGTTCTCATCCTTTCGGCAATCGAGTGGGTTGAATAGCTGACTTTATGTGCTGGCGATTAGGTGCCTGGCTTTAAGATTGTTGGTTCGAATCCCGGATGGGGCTAAACCATCAAAAGTACTAAAATCTGTATTTTTTTACTGTTATCCCAAATTATACATGTGTTACATTTGACCACTTTCTAGATAACACTGTATATTCAATCGACTTAACATTTCAATAATGGGCAGATTTTGTTGTAAGGCAAACTTTGCATTTTCACTGGTAGTGCCATCGAGTTTATATGTTTACTTTCAATGGACTACACCTTTCAGTCGAGTGGACGTTTCCGGTTTGCACCTGAGTGTTTTAAGTTTCAAAGTTCAATCACGTGACCTCGCAATTTGATAATAATAATAAACAAATAATAAGACGAGATAAACATGCTTACAAGAAACGACCCATGTTCTATTTAGTGTGTGTGTGTGTGTGTGTGTGTGTGTGCGCGTGTGTGTGTGTGTGTGTGTGTGTGTGTGTGTGTGTGTGTGTGTGTGTGTGTGTGTGTGTTAGGTCATTTCGTACAAATCTTCTTTTTCTTTGAAAACCATATTGTTCCGCGTGATGTTTTCATCGCATGACATTCTGTCCCGAGAGACAAACTGCTTCTGTCATTCAAATTCTTGAATCATCCATCGCCTGAAATCTTATGATTATATTTTCCATAGTATCACAGATTTGGATACATGTGAGTACCATATGGTGATATTTAAATATCTTGTACTGACACAATTTTGAATAGATGCTAATGTTGAACAATAATATTGTTCATTAGGTGCCATAACCGGTTCTGCTCTGTTTAACGAGGGTCGGTGGGGTAGCCTAGTGGTTAAAGCGTTTGCTTGTCACTCCGAAGACCCTGGTTCGATGCCCCACATGGGTACAATGTGTAAAGCCCATTTCTGGTGTCTCCTGCAGTGATATCGATATTGCTGGAATGTTGCTAAAAGCGGCTTAAAATTTCAGGAATACGACTGCGGTTTGAAGGCAAGGCAAAGGTGGAATGGACAGAAGGCTCGGGCGACAATGAAAAGGATTATTCAGCGAAGGAGAAATACTTTAAAGATGATATCTTACTTGATGGGAGAGGTAAGGACACATGCACCTTGCCTACCTGCACAGTTCTGTATAATATGATGTAACGAGTCATGACAAATTTACCATCTTATATTGCCATCAATGTCCTAAATAATAGTTAAAAAACATTTGACTTGACATAAACTAGTGTCCACAAAGAAACGATACCACGTGTTTCTCCATAAAGATCACTGAATTTGAAGCAAAAACAAAACAACATAGACATTTTAAATTGATATCTCTTCATTAGATAAATGTTTTTACGGCATGTGTACAAAAACGATACCATGTTTCAAAGATCACTGAATAAAACAAAACAAAAGATTTACAATCATTAACACAGGGCTTTAACACAAACGAAGTGTGGTGCCCAAAATTGAAAATTCATTTTAGCACAGTGGAGGAGGCTAGTGAGGGTAGTCTCTGAAAACAGTCTTAACGCCACTTTAGTACCGGGTATGTCCTCCAGCAGCTGCGATACATGCCATGACACGCCTCCGAGCTGATGACGTCAAACGTCGGATGACGTTAGGGGTGATTCGCTGCCACTCATCCTGGAGACAATGTTCCAATTGTTGGAGGTTGGCTGGGGGCGCAGGGCGTTTTCTGATTTTCCGATTGAGGTGATCCCATATGTGCTCAATGGGATTCAAATCCGGTGAACACGCTGGCCATGGCAAAACCTGTATGTTGGCGTTGGCAAGGAAGTTCTGGGTCAATCTTGCCGTATGAGGCCTAGCGTTATCGTGCTGGAACACGATTCCTCCTGGATGCTGTTGGGCGAATGGCTGCACGACTGGTCGTAAAACCTCATCCTGGTAACGCTGTACATTCAGGTTCCCCCGAATAATGACGAGCCTCGTTTTCACATCACCGCAGATACTTCCCCACACCATTACACCTCCGCCTCCAAATGCATGGACTTGCTGGATGCAGTTCGGCGCCAAACGTTCAGGAACTCTTCGGTATACTCGCTGCCGACCTTCGTTCTTGTAAAGGCAAAACCGGCTTTCGTCCTAAAACAAGACACGTGCCCAGTTTCGACGTTGCCACCGCCGAACACGCCTGGCCCATATCAATCGGTTGACTCTGTTTTGACGTGCCAGGTAGACTCCGCGGTAGGGGCGACGTGCACGGATACCATGTGCCTGCAGTCTCCTGTAGACGGTTTGTCGACTGATCCGGTGTCCCAATCCCCTCGCCGCCGTTAACGTCGCAGGAACGAAGCGGTTACGTAGGTGAAGTAACCGGATGTGGTTGTCTTGAATAGGCGTGGTCACCCGGGGTCTCCCGCTTCTCGGCCTGTCTGTTGTTCGGCCTGTTTGACGCAACCGTCGCATTAACCTGGTAACGGTTATGCGCGCGCATCCAAACGTTCTTGCTACAGCGGCGTGTGATGCTCCCTGTCGGACCATTCCAACGGCTCTTTCTCTCTCGATCGCTGTCAAACGTGCAATTTCTTTTGTGTGCTTTTTACTGCTGTGGGCACAACGTGTCGGACCAGCGGTTTTATACAGTTCATCTGCACGTGCATTTCGTGCTACACGACTTAACGTCATTTTGAGTATTCGTGCGATTGCTTCTTAAGTGAATAAATGTTACCGGTTTTTCGATCGAATACGTTTGGTTAGGAACGTGGGATACACAGAAATATGTTTTTCTCCAAAAGTATCATTAATTTAAAAATAATGAAAAAATATTTGGTATCGTTTCTTTTTGGATTATGAGTTTATTGAGTGATTGGTTCTTCCGCGTTCGTTTTCACACAGCAAAAGCATATAGCGACTTATTTGACAGTGACTTGATATTTATTTGACAGTGGCTTTATACTTATTTGACAGTGACTTGATACTTGTTTGACTGGCTTGATACTTATTTTACAGTGGCTTGATATTTATTTCACAGTGATTTGATACTTATTTGACAGTGACTTGATACTTATTTGACAGTGGCTTTATACTTATTTGACAGTGACTTGATACTTGTTTGACTGGCTTGATACTTATTTTACAGTGGCTTGATATTTATTTCACAGTGATTTGATACTTATTTGACAGTGGCTTGATACTTATTTGACAGTGGCTTGATACTTATTTGACAGTGACTTGATACTTATTTGACAGTGGCTTGATACTTATTTGACAGTGGCTTGATACTTATTTGACAGTGACTTGATACTTATTTGACAGTGACTTGATTCTTATTTGACAATTGCTTGATACTTATTTGACAGTGACTTGATACTTATTTGACAGTGACTTGATACTTATTTGACAGTGACTTGATACTTATTTGACAGTGACTTGATACTTATTTGACAGTGACTTGATACTTATTTGACAGTGACTTGATACTTATTTCACAGTTTTTTTTATACATATTTGACAGTGATCTGATACTTATCTGACAGTGACTTAATCCTTCGTCCGGGTATAATCTAACTGAATCTCAAATGTGTATCACAATAAGACAGTTTACGGATTACTTTGCTCATAGTTCTATTTTGATATTTTGGGTTAAGTTTCCTTTCTGGAGATATCAATCAAACGTGTTTAAATTAGTGGGAGATGGTTCTCCAGTTGGATCAAGTAACATCATGTTTTCCTTTCTATGTAAAACCAAATGTTTTCAGAGTCAGTTCTTGGGCGGTGGGGTAGCCTAGTGGTTGAGCGTTCAATCGTCACGCTGAAGACCCGGGTTCGATTCCCCACATGGGCACAATGTGTGAAACCCATATCTGATGTCCCCCGCCGTGATATAGCTGGAATATTGCTAAAAGCGGTGTAAAACCATACTCACTCACTTACTCATAGTGAGTTTTCTGTCTTCTTACAATAAAGTTTTCATTGGCACTTGAAGGTGCTGACGTAGACTGTATGGCGTTATTGCTGCATAGGTCTCTAACAATATGGCTGGCTTCCCAGCCCCATAACTATTCACTATTCACTAAGCTATTCACAAACCACAGCTCTACTCTGTGGCTCGTACTTGATATGACTTGGGCCTTCAATACCACTGCTATAATAAGCACGATACAGGACCACATATGGAACAAGATGTCCATTTTGAATTACATGATGGATGTACAGGAATTCAAATCTTAATCAGTATCATCCAGTTTTATCTGGTTATTCACCGTTATTTCTACTGAGAAATTCACCATTATTCCTGCTAGGCTATTCACCGTTGTGTCTGCTAGGCTATTCACCGTTATATCCGCTAGGATATTCGTCGCTATGTCTGCTCGGCTATTTGTCGTCATGTCTGCTAGGCTATTCACCGTTATATGTGCTAGTTTATTCACCGTTATATCTGCTAGTTTATTCACCGTTATATCTGCTAGGCTATTCACCGTTATATCTGCTAGTTTATTCACCGTTATATCTGCTAGTTTATTCACCGTTATATCTGTTAGTTTATTCACCGTTATATCTGCTAGGCTATTCACCGTTATATCTGCTAGTTTATTCAACGTTATATTTGCTGGGTTATTCACCGTTGTGTCTGCTAGGCTATTCACCGTTATATCTGCTAGTTTATTCAACGTTATATTTGCTGGGTTATTCACCGTTATATCTCCTAGGTTAAATCCGCTAAGCTATTCCCTCTAGACTAGGCACTCCCCACCCTAGTGTACTGGAACCTAGAGAACCGATTGAATTCTTGTAGATGCCTGTAACGGAGACCAACTCGAAGACCGTCGGCTGCCTGTGCTGTGAATCTGGGCCAATCAATGCCAACTTCACCATCGACCGACAGGGGTATGTCCCAGGGGAGGCCATTATTCTAAAGGCTGAAATAGACAACATGTCAGATGGCCAAATAGAGTCATCATCGGTCACTCTTACTATGGTGAGTTGAAATCTATAAATACTGGGGGATGCAATTTCATTGATGGAAACTGTCTCCTTGAAAAGAGGAGTGGTATAATTTCAATTTAAAATATGTAAATGTGAACGAGACAAAAATCTGAAGTGTCGCTTTTTGTAAATGACGGCAGACGTCTAATGCAATGTTTATTCAATAAATTAGTCGGTTCAAACAGAAAACTGATCCTTCTTCCTGATCAAAAGTCAAGGCATCATGAGAGTGTCTGTGTTTTTTAATCAAAATTAAAATCAAATGTGAGAAACAAAATCATATATAGAAACTTTGTTTGGAAGATATTGTTCGTACATAATTTCTGGCTGGTCGGAACACCGTAGTGTAGAGACCAAATATGATCCAAGACTTTGGGTTTTTGATTCCATTGACAAGTATTTGTATGTATGTATGTACAATGCCTGCTCTTGTGTGTAAATTAATGAACTATGATTTATTCAGCATAATGGCTACTTCATTATCCAATCCCGTATGGGGTTCTTGTTGTACGGAATAGATCCACAATACCTCCAGGTATCATAAAGCCCGAATGTTGGGATTAGGTGGTCAGACTCTCTGACATTTTCGTGCCATATTAATCTGGTGCTCTCCCGTTTGTCACCAAATGAGATCAAATGAATTGCAAAATAACTCAAAATAGATAATAGTTTATTAAATACCAATGCCGTACACGACAAGTATAACCATGTACCCAATGATATCATCCATGTGTTGTTTGTTTACCAATTACTGGTAAAATTGTTTGATGTTGTTGAGTGTCCAAGATGAAATATTTTATGGGGTTTTACAAAGATAGGAGGGGCAGCGCCAACACGCAAGGATACAGGGAATGACAACACAAGTCGTCTAATGATAGTTGTAGTCGCAATCTGAAAGAAGCCCTGGAGGGAAAGATCATATTCATCTGTTGCAGCTACGGCACCTAATGTCCTTTAAGGCTGAACGTTAGACGTCGGGGTCGCAATCTGAAAGAAGCCCTGGAGGGAAAGATCATATTCATCTGTTGCAGCGACGGCACCTAATGTCCTTTAAGGCTGAACGTTAGACGTCGGGGTCGCAATCTGAAAGAAGCCCTGGAGGGAAAGATCATATTCATCTGTTGCAGCTACGGCACCTATAGTTTGGCATGAAATGCATGTGGACCCGTTTTTCTTGTAAATATCTCTTCATCCAATGACCCAATCGATCTCAAACTGTGCAAGTGGATGTTTTGTCAGACAACCTAATCACATTGTAAATCACCGATTTTATGCATTTGTAGTAAAGAATCTGTCTATGTAACTGTCAACAAAATAAACAGCAGAACGCAAACTGCTTGCAGAGGGAGGGAGCCAATGACCTGTAACAGCGGCAGTGTTGGGTCATAAAGGTAAATGCACGTGCAGTTCATGATAGTTACCTGTGCTCTGCACAGTGATAGACCGTTTGGATCATTCACATTGACTACTTCTAGCTGTCATCATGAAAGCTTATTCAGATGATGCTAAACGTTTAATTAGAAATGTGTTGAATTTTTTTTAAAAGAGAGCAAACGTAGCAAACCGTTTCATAAGGTGTCGGATTACATGAAACGTACTACTTTTGCTCTTGGCATGAAAAAGAACATCGTGCTAAAAATTGTGAAAAATAAACCAGCAACCAATAAACAAAACCGTGTACAAAAAGGTAGGCATCCAAAGTTAGATTCTTTTGACATCAGGGTCATCAGAGATGTCATTCGCCGGCTATTTGCTAGAAATGAACACCTCTTCATACCTGTCACGTGCATAGCTGACCTATATTGACGAACGTTGACCTTTATGACCCAACACTGCCGCTGTTACAGGTCATTGGCTCCCTCCCTCTGCAAGCAGTTTGCGTTCCGCTGTTTATTTTGTTGACAGTGACATAGACAGATTCTTTAATACAAATGCATAAAATTGGTGATTTACAATGTGATTAGGTTGTCTGACAAAACATCCACTTGCACAGTTTGAGATCGATTGGGTCATTGGATGAAGAGATATTTACAAAAAAACGGGTCCACATGCATTTCATGCCAAACTATAATGTCCTTTAAGGCTGAACATTACGGACCGTCTGAACGTTAGACGTCGGGGTCGCAATCTGAAAGAAGCCCTGGAGGGAAAGATCATATTCATCTGTTGCAGCTACGGCACCTAATGTCCTCTTAAGGCTGGAGGGAAAGAACGTTAGACGTCAATCTGAAAGAAGCCCTGGAGGGAAAGATCATATTCATCTGTTGCAGCTACGGCACCTAAGGTCCTTTAAGGCTGAACGTTAGACGTCGGGGCCTTCTTGTCTGGAGACAACGCACTGTGTATTGGTGCATTGTCCATGATAGTAAGGGACTTGGCTGGCAGCTCAGGGACTACTGTATATTTACCCTCTAAAGAAATACCTTGCCTTTCATATCTGTGTGGCAGGCCTTGTTATCCTCGGCCTTGGCTCGAAAGACGAGGTCATAGCCTTTGAGCAAACCCCGACCACTGCCAACATGGTGAACGATAACTCTTTCCCCTTGCCTCGTTTATTCTTCGTTTTCGCTTGATGATTCGCAGATAATGATATCGGAGACGAACGATGTCAGATCGCTCAATAACACAGCATCTGTATCTTTCACATCTTTCTGTATCTGTATCCAAATACACGCAGATGTGCATACGTGCTATCAAAAGGTTTGGGGCCTAAAATACGTCTGATATGTGCATGATAAAACTTATGGTACGATATTGAAGAATGGTTTATATAATTCACATAAACGTAATATTGGCATGCATACGTCGCTAGTTTCCGGTCACGTGGACATCTAATCACATGTACCCCTAGTGAAACGGAAGAAATGGATAAGCTTGAGTACAGGGCAGTCATAAAGTTTTTGGTCCTCATTCATATAGAAGACACAGACAGTTATTGTATCCATGTTATAACAATTTCAGTGACTGGTGGAGGTTAAGAATGATTTACGAATCTGATGCAGTGAATTTATCAAACAAAAAAACAAATTCACTGGTTTTTGTACTTTTCTTTTCAGGAGACAACTTTCCGAGTAAAACACAAGACAAAGCATAAACAAACCAAAGTTGCCAAGTTGAAACATGGGTCAATCCTTATGGGAGAGCATGACTACTGGAATGGAGACAAACTCGTGATTCCACCTCTGCCGCCATCTTATCTTGCGTGTTGCTCCATCATTGATGTCAAGTACATTCTCATGGTGAGATGTTTATCATTGGTTAAATGATTTATCCACGCGGTAAGATCTCGATTAGGTCTGTGATCAGGGTCCTTATTCTCGAAACGTTCGTAGCCCTAAGAATTCTTACCTTTGATCGTAGCCAATATGTTAAGGATGGGCTTAAGAAGTTCGCAGGCCTACCAACGTTTCCAGAATAATTATTCTCGTACTGCGATATTTATCAGGAGTGAATGCTTGGCACTCGTGTTGAGATATTAATTGGGGTTGAATGAGTTATCATCATGGTGATATATTTATTAAAGGTCGAATAATTTACACAGGCGATGAGATATTGCTTATGGCTGAATGAATCACTCTCATAGTGAGATAACATAACAATAAAGTATGGAACTTGCTTGGCGAATATTTTTCAAATTTTGGGAATGAATATCGATGTATTGAACAGCAAAGAACTCGATGGTGAGAATATGTGTATCATGCGAGATCGTTTTACTAACGCTACGCTGTAACGCTACCAAAATAGCCAATGCCTTGGGTAGGCAAAGTACAGTCTACCAGCTTCAATAGGCAAGGAGATGTCAGTGGGTTCAAGGAACAAAAACCCTTGTAATTTCCTTGTAGCAATCACCTAGGTGATATATCCCATATACCCGCTAGGATCTGATTTATAATTGATCTTCAGTAACCCATGCTTGTCGTGAGAGGCGACTAACGGGATCGGGTTGTCAGGCTTGCTGACTTGGTTGACACATGTCATCGTAGATTGATTCTCATGGTGTTGATCACTGGACTGTCTGGTCCAGACTCAATTATTTACATACCGCCAACATAAAGCTGAGCTATCTGTATCAACTGGCATCACACGGTCAATGTAGTGTGAACTGGAATTAAACGTTCAAACTCACACTCATGGCGACGTACATGTGTGCGTGTGTGTGGCTGTGATTTAAACCATTTTGTAGTGCTCGCCTACTGAGATGTTGCCATTAAAGCCGCTAAGGCACATTATACTGGCTCGGCGATGACCAGTCTTTATTTTACTGCTTGACTGTCGAGCGTAGAGAAGGGCAACAAGAACAATATTTATACGTGTTTTTGGAGTGACGTGGCCATGGCATCAAACTTGTAAACTATGTTCCAGCTGACAGTTCGTCCTCCAGGACTTACATTTGATCTCAACATCCATCTGCCGGTCATAATTGGAACCATCCCCTTGCAAAGTGTCTTCGACAGTCATCCTGCCATCATGCATCCTGCGGCGTACAGAGAGACTTCATCTTCCTTCCCAACACCATCAGCCTATCCCCCGGGAGAAACGCTACCCACAGACACATTTTCCTCAGGAGCGGGATACGCATCACCGGTAAACCCACCACAGCGATCAGCATTGCGTAAGTTGCCATTGTGATTTTATGCATTTACCACACAGGGAATATAATGTGATTGTGTGGTAAAATACGCATAAACGCGTTAGAGGTTTTTCCATTCTTAGAAATGTGTTTGACACAGCTTTTAGCAATATTCCAACGATATTAGGGAGTGGGGACACCAGAAATATGCTTCACACATTGTTGGTAGTCGAATCCAGGTCTTTAGCATGACGAGCGGATGCTTTAACCATGAGAATACAGAATTAACCCTTCCTTTTTGTGTCGTGCTTGTGTCCTCTTTGTGTCGTACTTATGTCCTTTTTGTATCGTACTTGTGTCCTTTTTGTGTCGTGCTTGTGTCCTTTTTGTGTCGTGCCTTTGTCCTTTTTGTGTCGTACTTGTGTCTTTTTGTCTCGTGCTTGTGTCATTTTTGCTTCGTACTTGTGTCGTGCTTGTGTCCTTTTTGTGTCGTGCTTGTGGTCTCTTTGTGTCGTGCTTGTGTCCTTTTTGTGTCGTGCTTGTGTCCTTTTTGTGTCGTGCTTGTGTCCTTTTTGTCGTGCTTGTGTCCTTTTGTGTCATGCTTGTGTCATTTTTGCGTCGTATTTGTGTCGTGCTTGTGCCTTTTTGTCGTGCTTGTGGTCTCTTTGTGTCGTGCTTGTGTCCTTTTTGTGTCGTGCTTGTGTCCTTTTTGTGTCGTACTTGTGTCATTTTTGTGTCGTGCTTGTGTCCTTTTGTGTCATGCTTGTGTCATTTTTGCGTCGTACTTTGTGTCGTGTTGTGCCATTTTGTGTCCTTTGTGTGTCTGTGTCGTGCTTTGTCCTTTTTGTGTCGTACTTGTGTCATTTTTGTGTCGTGCTTGTGTCATTTTTGTGTCGTGCTTGTGTCATTTTTGTGTCGTGCTTGTGTCATTTTTGTGTCATGCTTGTGTCCTTTTTGTGTCGTGCTTGTGTCCATATGCATGATAGTCAGAAGAGGCACATATAATAACATTGACTAATTACTCGCAAACACATTCCATATTTAATGCAAATTTAGCCTTTATGACAAAATGGTATTTATTACGCATTGTCCCTCACGCATTGATTCATATATACTGGTCACATAAAGAACCTGTGCACACAGAAAATATAAATATAGGCACAACTCGTCTTTATACATAAATACAGGTGTGAACATAGCACGTAATAGAGACAATCAAACGCTCATGCGCGTGCAAGGCGACGTCACGTCATTGATGGTGGCCTATGGACATGCAATGTGTTACTGTACGTGCAGCCCGTGCAGCTGCACACAACGTGTGAAACTCTGAAATGGCTCTCACTGTCCAAAGCTTGATCTTTGGTCATTCAAACGTTCACAAATTCACATGAAAAGTCACATGCACATCATGCCAAGATTAACATCTGTTCAACGTCATGAAACCATTGGAATGGTTCGAACAGGAATGAGCCAACAGCAAGTGGCAGCACACTTCCAATGCCATCGTAACACGATGTCTGCATTGGTCAGGCGTTATCGAAACAGTTATGACGTCGCCGACCACCCACGTTCTGGGCGACCCCGAGTAACAACGCCAAGACAGGGCAGATGGATTCGGGTGACTCATCTCAGACACAGGTTCCAGACGGCAGTGACCACGTCCCAGACAATTCCTCAGGCCTTCAATGCTCATTTGGTAGCCCCTATGCGTCGTCGATGCACCTCTGTGCTTCAGGCACTTGGTGGTCATACCCGTTATTGACCTTGTGACTTCGTCGTGTGACCCCCCCTACTCGACTTTGAACTTCTGACGTCATCGTTACGGATATTGTTCAGATTCTTCTGACATTTTGTTGTGGTCCAATACTTCAGCTTATAAGGTGTCTACATCATTTCGTCTTTTCTGTGTTGTATTCCAATTCTGAAGGAATTTTCTGTGTGCACAGTTTCTTTATGTGGCTAGTATAGTTGGTCACAAGTTGCCCACGACTCTCCGTGATTGCAGTATTTCCCCAGACTTTCTATATACGTCATTATACTCGCTACAGGGCTTATATTACTTACAGGCATGGGCGTCTGTGGGAGTGCTAGGGTAGATGATTTAGATTATGAAGTCCCAGATAGGCATTCAGAAATTGGAGAACATAAAGGCATAAAATGTCATGTACAAACACTTCATTGTCCATAACGATAATCCTGGGCTACCTCTTCCCCTGTCATCAGCATGAAGTGTTTTGCTCCCGGGTGACGAAGGTCGTACAACAAACAAGTTGTAATCCATATTTGTTATATGGCGCCACGCCTAGGATATTGTTGATTGGTTGTTGTGATAAGACGTTTTATTACTCGCCCGTGGAAGATACTGCAGTGTAATATGTTTACGGCAATATCTCTGTAACAATGCTGTTAGACCTTGCTTGACTCGCGGAAAGCTGAGTCATCACACTGTAGGCAGTTTCGCCGCAGTTCTTTTTTTTCAATTTATGTTGGAGAGTAATAAACAGAATACTAAACTCGCTTCTGTGAAATACCATTTTTATTGAATTCGTGAAAAGATTAAGTATCAAACTCGCTTTGGCTCGTTTGATACCAAATCATTAACCCGTTTAATAAACATGGTATTACACGGAAGGTCGTTTAGTATCCTCTATTTATTACTCGCCCGTGGAAGATACTGCAGTGTAATATTTTTACAGCAATATTACACTAATGTAATACCGCTAGACGTATGACGCCATAATGGTTTACAGCAGAAATGGTATTACACGTTAGGTCGTTTAGTATCCTCTATATACGTCACTTAGAATTAGTAAATATCTATGTCATGAAATGTTTGAAGAATACTCATATAGTATACTGGTTCATGTTCCAGCCCCTCCTTCATATGCAGAGTGTGTGTTTGGCAAGGTCAACATCGCCGAGGAAGGTGACACTAAGTATGTGAAGGGTGATACTGAATATGCTCCTGCCTACACGTACTATAACTGGGGCCACAAGCCCAGTGCTCTCCCCGTGTAGACAACATGGCAGACGTCTGTTACAGAAGATAGGCCCTAGTTTTCACTAACTGCCTACATACAAGACATCGACAACCCGTCTTCTTCCATTTAGTCATCATGGCAGACGTCAGTTACAGAGGTCGGACACTGGTTTTCACTAGCTGCCTACATACATTACGACAGGTCGACAACCCGTCTTCTTCTTCCATTTAGTCATCATGGCAGACGTCAGTAACAGAGGTCGGACACTGGTTTTCACAAGCTGTCTACATCTACAACGACAGGTCGACAACCCGTCTTCATCCATTTAGCCATCATGGCAGACGTCTGTTGCAGAAGACGGACATGGGTTTATACAATCCGCCTACACGTAAGGCTACATCGATCACTGTCCATCTCCTTTAATTTAATCAACAAGCTTGACATCTATTTGATAAGGATACACCTCTTGTGGTGAGAAGGGAAGTCATATATGCAGACTTCCAATGCTGAGTTAGCACTACTTAATGGCGTTCTATGCGATAGTTACCCCTGTCTCGGTAGGTATGTACATGTATTTTATTGGATGAAGGTTACGATGAACTTTTTGGTAAAGCCACTAGTACTTTGTGGCGGTGTCATTTGAAGAATGCACTATATTCTTTTTTAACGGAAAATGGTACAACTCAAATACACTCATCTCATGTACCTGAAAGGTGTTCAGTTTGATAAGACCACAAAAAACGTAACTATTATCTGCATTTGACTCACCCATTCGAGAGCACGGTATCATCAATGATTGATAGTGATTACTATGCACTTGCTCTTGACATATTCGGAATCATACAATCGACCCTTTAATAGTCATCAAGGCTTCTGAAATCTGAAATGTTGCAAAACCCGAAGACGCAAAAGGTTTTGAATGTCAGCGCCATATTACTTTACACAGTTTCTTGTGAATGTATATTCCTCCAACTGCTTATATGTGTAAATGTTTCATTCTCACAGCTCAAAATTCTAGTAATCAGAAATTAGGCTTGTAATTGTAATGCCAATTTAGCAGATATTGACTGTTTATTCTGCATAGTTATATAAGTTGTTAAAGCTTTTATTAACTTGTCGAAACTCAATATTTGAATATTACCGGCTCCATATTTATGAATGGATCGTTGATTTAACAATAAAAATACACTAATACCATATATGTACAATCTTATCAAATGTGTGCGCAGTATATCCCTATTTGTAATGTTATTCATACCTAAAGTATATCTGGTTGTCAAGGCAATATGTCATTCTGCATGCATCATATGCCTGAAAGTAAAGGTGACATTATATTTTATGCGATTCTCGTCGTTTTACATACATTGGTCACATATATGTTCCAAAGGTACTGTGTTATATTGCATAGATTTTACATATGCATAGCTGTTAACACTATGTGTTTTGTGTATGTCTAGACATTATTCGATACATGTGAGACAATATAACAGGTCAAATAAGTGACTCAATGCTTGATATCAGAATAACAGAAGGGCTCGGACAGGCAATCTGTTTCGGTGACTTTCTTGATGGAGAGTTCGATTCATTTTGGAGTAATCTTGGTGTATTAAAATACAAAGTATAACTCATTGTAAAAATACGATGTCACATATTCTTAGTGCGCGTTTCAGTTTCTATCCAATGTATAACTTGGGTATCAAATTGTGCAATATAAGCATGAGTGTCGAATTACGTACGTCGTATTTTAAATGGCGCTTTGTCTACAGGTAAGTACTACTTGTTACTTACTGTAATCAAAGACGTATATACACATCGCCTAAGGCTTCCAATCCTTTGTCTATACGTCTGTGCTGTAAACTTGTCATTTGTATGGTGCAGCATGGTTGATTAATGTATTATTACTATTACTAATAAATACTTTTTATCTTGTGTTATCATCTCCATTCCATTAAATGAGCATTTAGAGATAAAATGGGTCACGTGAATTAATAACTTGACACAAACATGCCTGACGTAAATACCAAATAACGCCCATTCTCGCTTATCCAGTATATCATGTCATCTATATATCATAATATAAACACAGGGCCTAGTACTGCCACAGGTTCTCTTCGGAAGTGGCGTCACCAACTCCCATCTCATTACTAACTTCGCACAAAGTTTCTTTTAAAATAGTTTGCCCACCAAACCCTGGAGAATATGATAAAAAGGAGTCCCAACTTAAATCGAGAATAAATATGCAAGTCTATATGGCATCAGGTCAATGATTTAGAATTATTTAGGGTTTTTTGTTTTCTTTTGTTTTTTTTTTTTGTGGGTTTTTTGTTTTCTTTTTGTTCTTGTTGTTTTTTTGGGGGTCTGAAAGTGAGTTAGGAATAGAGATAGAATGCCAGACTGTGGGTGTTCGACAGATGGCATCGAGTCAAGGGACTGCTGTTAATGCTGGAAGTGCATGTCAAATGTCAATCGCGAATCTGAATGTGATTTGTTTGGACAGTTATTCGTTGTGTGATCACGTGATGGCGGATAGGTCCAAGGTATTCATCGTGAAAGGATGCAGATATAACACACTGTATAAGTTAGGATGATCTTCAGTCAACTTGATCCGGATAAGAATTGATCTTCAGTAACCCATGCTTGTCGTAAGAGGCGACTAACAGGATCGGGTTGTCAGGCTGACTTGGTTGACCCATATCATCGTATCCTAATTGCGTAGATCGATGCTCATGTTGTTGATCACTGGATTGTCTGGCCCAGACTCGATTATTTAGAGACCGCTGCCATATAGCTGGAATATTGCCGAGTGCGGCGTAAAACTAAACTCATTCACTCACCCTGTATGTAACATAATAAATATTAATATCAACATGCTGGATAAGAAATTTCCGGGATAGTTTTGCGCTCTTCGAGAAGCTTCCAGATTACACTTAACTTCAAGTTAACAACTGCCTTGAGCTGAATCTTTACGAAAAACCACGTAAGGCAATTACTACACTGATTTGCAATGAATACCACTGCCACAGACCAAAGTCAGCCTACAAATCCTCTATTTAAAAACACTTCACATATTAATCATTTACAGTTGTGTGCATCTGATTCGAAGAAATATGATGAATAGCAAGAAATACCATGCCAATTTTAAGTGCTCTGTTATTTCATTTTGCTAGCACGTGAGTTGTAACCCTGGCTGTTGATCACTGGATTGTCTGGTCCTGATTCGATGATTTACAGACCACCGCCACATAGCTGGAATATTGCTGAGTGCGGCGTTAAACAACAGACAAACAAACTTGTTCTTTCAGTCACTACGGACAGATTACCGCTGGTTAGCATCTAGTTATCACCACCCAAAGGATAATAATCAGATACATCAGTACATAATTAATCAATCAATCAATGTTTTATTATCGTCTCACTTGTGTACATGTTACAGTTCATAAAATATGTACAAAGTTATAAAAATACACAACCAATCGTCCATATTAATACTAAAATACTAAAACATTATAAGAATATGACATAAACGTATCTAACAGGAGATAAGACATTAAAATATACACATAATAAAAGGGTACCAATAAGAATAACAGTTTAGGTATATAAAATACTCCTTCGTTTAAAAAGTATATTATGGCAGGTTCTGGAGGTGTGAAAGACTATATCCGGGTGTCCTAAAATATTACTAAAAAACTGGCTGGTTGACAGGTAATCTAGGTTTGGCCATATTCCCTTGCTAGCATTGACGAGATCTTTCCGTTCTTTGTTGTAAAGCGGACAGGTTTAAAGCACATGTATCTCGTCCTCTATAAGTCTCTACAGTGGAAACAGTCTCTCGTCTATGGGAATATTTTCGTAACGTCCTGTTTCCTCTCTCGGCGGCGCTACTCCACATCTAACCTTAGACATTAATGGTGTTGCATTAGCGGTTTTCATTTTCATTGTTGTGTTTATGAAATACATGAGGCATGTAACGTTAATGTTTATTTCAACGAAAGTTTCATTGATATTTTTACAGACAAGTTACATTGATGCTCATCGTATTAACCTAGTTTTATATATGTTGACCTTTAGTAACGAATTTGTTGGTTGTGTTTTTGTATTTGTTACTAATAAAAAGAAATATTATACATGTTTGTTTGCTATTTGTCCGTGCTGTAATTTCCTGCGGCGGTGAGTTAACTTAGTGGTTAAGCCGTTGGCTCGCCATGACTGATGTGGGTTCGATTCCCCAGTTGTACGGGTTGTCTGTAGTGGTTATACGATTCCACGTGCAGACATCGAAGCCTGACCCATAGTGACGATACGATCATTTTGAGCGAGTGCGTTTAGTTTTACGCCGCACTCAGAAGTATTCCAGCTATATGGTGGCGGTCTATAATTAATCAAGCCTGGACCAGACAATCCAGTGATCAACCACATAAGCATCGGTCTACGCAGCTGGTAACCGATGACGTGTGTCAACAATGTCAGTGAGCCTGACCACCCGATACCGTTAGTCGCCTCTTACGACAATTATGGGTTACTGAAGATCAATTCTAACCCGGATCTTCACGGGTCCGGTCATTTTGATCTCACAATCCTTCTTGTAGTAGCATATCTTACTGCATATGCAAAATATCCTATAAGTCCAACTGAAACGCTTCTACTAGACCGAACTGCTCAGATTTTATAATGAGCATGTAGTTTGTGGTTCATTCATCAAGGCGCCGGACTTTTCTAAATGGACATTAATGAAGGTAATGCTGAACAACATCCAAACAAAGCCTTCACAGTGCTTGAATGTTTGAAATAGAATATTAATGAAAGTAGTGCAAAACAACATCCACTCTTTAATTTATCCGAATTACTAATTTAGTGCCGTTGTTTTTGGTTTTTGCCGTAACAAGTCATCTGGCGTCGGCCTGCGTTATCAGTATATCAACACTAGAATGAAGGGCCAACAGGAACTTGAATAGTCATGACCCCTGTTATTTGCGACAGTGCTGCAAACGCAGGTTGCTTCTTTCGGATTGCGAGTTGTACCTTCTGGATGCAGTTTTCGGGGAGTTGAATTGAAATCTGGCGTTGTACAAACGTTTGGGTTGATATTGATGCGAAGAATAAAAGACAGGTAAACTTTCACGCACACATGCCCCACACGCGTCTGATGCTAGAATCACCCAGTTGTCTGTCATCGAAGGTTAGAGGACGCGTTGTTTATCATCACGTGACACTGTTCGTCATTTGTCTCTTGAGGCTGTTCATCATTTGTCTCATCCGCACTCAAGATAAAATAAACGAAACTGCCATCATTTTCATGTTAGCATGTTGAATGACAAAGACAGAAAGGACGATCACCGATCGTGCTTGACCAGACTTTCACTTCTCAATATATTACTCCTTCATTTTCTCACACGCCAAAATGTTTGTCGTAAGAATCGACTAACGGGATCGGGTGGTCAGGCTCGCTGACTTGGTTGACACATGTCATCGTATCCCAGTTCCGTAGATCGATGCTCATGCTGTTGATCACTAGATTGTCTGGTCCAGACTCGATTATTTACAGACCGCCGCCATGTATCTGGAACATTGCTGGGTGCGGCGTAAAACAAACTTCACTCACTCACACGTCACAATTACAACAATGCGGAGATCTGCATCGAGCCTGGAGCAGTCAAAACAGTGACTGGCAGTGTGAGGTCAAACCGCGACCTCGGGACACGCCCACGTAGTCATCCATATCACCATTGGGTCCGTGACAGAGGGATCTATGCAAACTCGGAATCATCACGAAAACACAGCGAAACATATGCCCAAAGAAAAGGTTTTAGTATGTTTTCTGTTACTTGAGTTGAATATTGATATCAAATACATAAAATGCAAGGGGGTGAGACCCGTGAAGATCCGGGTTAGAACTGATCTTCAGTAACCCATGCTTGTCGTAAGAGGCGACTAACGGGATCGGGTGGTCAGGCTCGCTGACTTGGTTGACATGTCATCGTATCCCAATTGAGTAGACCGATATTTATGCGGTTGATCACTGCATTGTCTGGTTCAGGTTCGATTATTTACAGACGGCCGCCATATAGCCATCCTCGAGTGGAGATTTATCGGAACGTATACCCTGGAGATTATCGAGGATGCAATATATAGCTGGAATATTGCTGAGTGCGGCGTAAAACTAAACTCACTCACTCGCAAGAGGATGATAATTTTGAGAAAGTAATTTCCTACAAATATGTGCAACTTAAATTCCTGCATCTGATGTTATACAGAGGTATTCTCAATACAAAATCACAGACACTCCTACCCAACACCAGATGATATGAAATATTTTATATGGATATACACCTTCTTTATCAATATATGAGCGACGTTTTGGTATATATCTACTAACACCGTTATGAAGCAAGTGATGATAGTGATCACTTAACATTGCTTGATAACGGTGCTCGTAGCTACACCGAAACGTCGCTCATATTAATCATAAAGAGTGAGTGAGTTTAGTTTTACGCCGCACTCAGCAATATTCCAGCTATAGATGGCGGCGGTCTGTAAATAATCGAGTCTGGACCAGACAATCCGGTGATCAACAGCATGAGCAATGATAAAGAACTTGTATATTCATTGAAAATGCCTCGTTGTTCAAAACACCAACTTTTAAATGCCACTCAAAGAAGTTACATGAACATTATCTGACAATATACATTGAACATTTGAAACGATTCCCATTTCGAAATTATTGTCACGTAAGAGGTTTTACCAACAACTACTTACTCGTCCTTTCATTGCCTTGAAAATCGTTGAACTGGGATTCAAGAATACTATTTCTTGCTGTACAAGTTTAGTCTAAATTAAGTTTCCTCAACATTTTACATGTTATGTAGACGAGAAATGACATTGTCGTACAAGGAGACACGGTGAAGCCATGTGAGTGGTGAATACAAGCGTATATATGTAACTATAGGGCTGGGACGGGTCCAAAATTTCTACTCGGGTATCCCATCCCTATTACCCCCTACCCGGATACCCGTTATGTTCATTCCTGACATCAAATTTGCAAGAAATGGCAATATATATATATTCTTCAGCTTGTAGGCTCAATATTTTTAGTTTTTCAATATCTTAACCATGTATTGTATATATATTAAAAAGAAGTGACTTAAATTATGTGTAAATCTTCAAAGACAATGCAACCTTTTAATCATGAAAGAATAACATATTACATTGTTTAATTATTAGTCACATGATCATAACGGGTCCCGGTATTGAGATGGGTACCCGGGTCCAACTCATTACCCACCCGCCTTGGGTATCCGGGTTACCCGTCCCAGCCCTATATGTAACATGACATTGTTACACATAATTTCTCAGACACCTACATGATTTTGCGTAAGTAATACTTCACTGAATTTTGGTTTATCAATATGAGATCTGTCGTCCTCGATTTAAAATAAGAACATTTTTAAGTCGACATTTGCATGAATTTATATGTAGTCTTGACTAAAGAAAACATGGACATTATATACACTCTCGTTGTTCACTCGCCTTGTACGAATGTTTATACCGGATCTTTTATTGGAGCGACAATCCAACCGAAGGAACCAAGCTATATGTTGCTGATGGAGGTGGTTCACCGAGCATAAACGGACTGGGTCCATTTAACTGGACGGAGCTCAGAGTCGGTTACACTGTCGGTTAGTAGACAGGCGCCCAGTCAAAACATCGCCAAAATGTTGGCGGCGCGTATAAATGGCAGAGAACCAGCTGAAAGGCGCCCCCTGTGCAGTCGCATTCGGATTTCCTCGGCTCTCAGCGACGTTGTGATTGCGTTGCTCTAGTGTTAGGTTACAGGAAGTTCACCGAGGTTCTTTCGATTGTACCACACGCTTACAGCGCCATTTTGGAAATCAACTTGGCTCTAGTAAAAGTCGTTACAAACCCAACAAATACTAAGAAACCCTCAATTTTTCATCATGCAGAGAGACGAACCCGGGTAAGATACAATTCATGCGTCGTTTTATCAGTCTTACATTATGCTGTTTGCAGTGTTGTGGGCGAATTTATGTTTTCATGTCGTGTAAGTACATAGCCTACATTTGCAATAGGCATACAGTACAGGACTATGTTGCCGGGAACGATATAATTGACCGAGATTGTGATTGTCTGCATAGCATATCATAGTATATAGTAGAAGGTGAGGCGAAGGAACTCCCCCTAATGTGCTGTAGCACCTAAAGGGTTTAAGCAAGGTTTTTAGCTCTTTGTTCCAATAACCCACAAAATCGAACACCGATTGGCTAATGTCTTTTCTTCGCGTTCTTCTATATGACTTAGGATATTCAACCAAAACGTGACCACCATTAAATTCACAAGTCACCATTGGCAAATTACTTGGCCAGTTACTTCCTTGGTAGTTTCCCGCTCTCTCGTCACATGACCCTGAATAAACTGAAGCCATCAGCTTATTAGTTATTCAGTTGAGCTCATGCTAGCAATAGCACCATAAGGTGAATGTGCACCTCTAGATAATGAAGTAAATCTAGTCATATTATTTCATTGATTATCGTGTTTTGTCCTGTGAAATTAAAGACCTCTGCCTGAAGAGTAACAAACATTAGCATGATATGGTGAAATGGTCATACTTTCAAAAACAAAACTTTTAACTCAGAAAAGGTTATTGTAATTTTATGATAAGACTTCCGCCTGTATCCCCCCTAAATATTCAGGATGAGGAGAAATTTCTTTTGAGTGGCATTTATAGAAGTAAAGTATGTCTTTCAGTATGTTCAGATACAATATTAAAGAAACATGTTAAAACTCATCCTTATCAGATGAGGAATATATTCAGGTGATATGATTTGACTAGAATGAAATTTAAGGGGGGATACGGGCGGAAGTCTTTCCGTGGTTAAAGCGTTGACTTGTCACGCCGAAGACTCGGATTCGAATCTCCACATGGGTACAGTGTGTGAAGCCCATTTCTGGTGTCCCCCGCCGTGATGTTGCTGGAATATTGCTAAAAGCTGCATAAAACCAAACTCAGTCAGTAAGTCAGTTGTGACATGGGATATTGCTCATAAAATATCATGAGGATGACAGCGTTGTTTGAACAGCTTACCTCAGACTAGAGGTGGATGTATGCTTTCTGTTTACCTCAGACTAGAGGTCACTTTCCTACCCAGAGTTCCATGCGGCAAGCCAGCATAGTACCTCTGCCACAGGCCAGAAAAATGTGACGATTCGTCACATCTTGCAAATTGCAATGCAATGTCCATTCAGTATAATGTACAGATTTCTTTTACTCTTTTATTTTTGACGAGTCTACACATCTAACTAAACATCTTTAATAGAACGGTTTAGTTTCACTGAGAAAATATCCAAAGACATGTAAGACTATTTCAATTTGTGTAGCGATCCTTTGTTTACATAGGTTGTACGGCTCCACGTGCTGTCATCGAAGCTGATGGAGAGTCTCTTCTTATTATGAATATGCACGTTTGATTACAAACAAGAGAAAAGTCCGGTCACATGATATGCAAATTAGCCTGTGGCAGTGATGTTAAGTTATCGCTGTGCCAGAGTGTGACTAGAGGTGGATGTATGCTTAGGTGCTTCCTGTGTGACCCCCCCTGCATGAAAAACACAAACAACATAAAGAAAAATTGTTTGACTTGTCAGTGATAAAATACCTGATGAGACGTAATTATTAGTCTGCCATGCACATACGAAGGACAGTAGTTTAAATTGTTATATATAAGTATTTTAAACACATTAAGGACCGCCTTCGTGGTGTAGTGGTTAGAGCGTCCGCCCAGAGAGGGGAAGATCTAGGGTTTGATCCCAAGCAGCATCATACCAAAAGACGTTAATGAATGGTACTTTTTGGTCCATCTGGTGCTCTGCATTAATGGGTACACCAAGGACTGGTCTGTGTAATGTGTTTGAGTGTGGTGTTCATGCGTAACTGCAGCATGGTATCTAGGTGGATTGGAACCATAAACCAGCTTAAGTCTAGGCTTGTACAAGCAGCCACACATACACTCGCATGTGATTCACTATATTAGCGAAATATTCTTAAGTACGGCGCTAAACCCCATTTCACCTCACCCTCACCTAAACACATTAAAAGTACATGGATTGAGTAGTAGTGTAAATTGAACAACCACCTTGTCAACTACATTAATCCTATGTGCATCAAATATTTAGCAGTAAAACATGTTTGTTTTCTTTGCAGAAAAATCTTCATTGGGGGCTTGAGCTGGAACACTGATGCAGGTACACAACACAGTATATCAATAGCCATATAGTTTCACTATAAGCATGTGTACAGATAAATGATTTGAACATATGACAGGTTTCTGTTATCCTTGTCAAAAGAAATTTCTACACCGAGTACAACCTGGCTAAACGGTTTGGCTGCACAATCAAAATTTCTATTGCACCATAAAATAATGTCACTGGTAACAAAAATAACAAATACTTGTTTAGCAATTTTCAGAACAAGTCGGTATCAGATACGTTTAGAATCTGACCCCATAATGATGAATTATTCAATATTGCATTACCGTAAAAAAAAAAAAAAGTTTTTATAAATCGTATATGTTCATGATGTAAGAAGTCATGTGGAGAGAAACATCTTACTTCCAGTCACTTACTTCCCAATTAAGGCACACGATGACAGCTAAAAGATGTTTGAAGATTTATTGTTACCTGCACCGGCTTCCATTTCTTATTGAAGGTTACCTTCACCAGTGCAAGTTGTAAATAGTGAAATTGCACTATGTTTGTTCTGTGCGAAAACGTTTTCATTCGTGCAAGTTATCCAGTTAATTGTGTATGGGTTTTGCAACATTTGTGTATGTCCACCAAAATGTATACAGATCTGATGTCTGAGTACAGTAATGTTCCCACTTAAACATTGCGTAAGTGTTTTTGTTTTTGCTTATGTTTCTAGAGGCCTTGAAGTCATACTTCTGCGCTTTTGGAGAAGTGGTCGATTGTGTTGTTATGAAGAACCCACAGACTGGCAAGTCTCGTGGGTTTGGTTTTGTCACATTCAAGGACCCAAGTGTTCTTGATGTGGTACTACCAGAAAAACACAAAATCGATAACAGAATGGTAAGACTTTAAAAGAATTACTGTCTTTTTGCAAATGAATTATACACCAATTGTTAAATTTGTCCTTGTTCATGGTTAGAAACCATTTAGTTTTTTCCATTTTGTTCATGTTTATAAGCTGATCATTTTATCTTCCAAATGTCGTTTTGAAGAATATATTTGGCAAACTGACATCTGTATATTTTGATCCTTAATGGTGTTTCCTATACATGTAGAAGTGATTATATATGCGGCAATATGATTTCCTCACTGAGTTTTTAATGTAAGTATGTCTTTCTGATCATTTTGTCAGTACATGCTCTTCTTTCAGGTTGATGCTAAACCATGTAATGCCAAGCAGGGAGGAGGAGGTGGAGGCGGAGGAGGACGTGTATGTGTATTTATTACTTTTGAAATCAAACTATTTGTCATGTTTGTTAGTTAGACTTTAGTTATATACAGTCACCCCTCTCCATAACGGTCTTGGGGTCCATGGAACAGTCCCTCCTGGATTCCACGGCAAATTTAAGTAAATTATGCATCCTATTTTTCAAAATTCTATCAAAAAAATTTACAGTTAAAAACTTGGGGGGGAAAAACACACAAAATAATCCAATTTCAATCTTCATAAAGATCAATTTTGTGAACATAATTGCAGTGTCAAATTCAAATAATATTATTGTAAGGTGCTGAAGAAAATATTAACTCGTGAAAAAATCTTTATTTGTAAATATTGTTTTAATATTGTTATAACAAACGTCTCAGTTCGTTTTTGTGTAACCAATCATACTTCGTTTTGGTTGATGGTCAATCTTGATTCTACTTTCAAAATAAACAAATTCTGCAGCAGAAAAATGACCAAGTCTGCAGGTATTCTGCATGAAAATGTGTTTTCCGCAGACCAGACGTTTTTCTGCATTAAAAGGTAATTTCCACAATTTATTCTGCAATAATCGCAGAATCCAGGAGGGATTGATGGAAATTCCCTCCCCTATGCAATGCATTGGTGTTTATGTGGAGATCAAGATTACTGTGTGCATTTGTATTGTCAACTTAGCCGGAAATAGCCACAGTTGAGTTCTCACGGTACATGCCACTTTTATAGCTAAACACAAAATGTTTGCAATTAATTGTATAATATGACTTTCAATTAGTGTAGTCCTGGGGTCCATGGGTGACAAGGGGATAATCAGAATTTGATCGCTGAGAATAATGTGAAATCAATGGATTGTTTTGTCCAGACTCAGTTATTTACAGACCGTAAATGTAGCTAGAATAGTTGCTGAGTGCAATGTTAACAAACCAACAAAAAACTATTTGGCAATAAACTTTGAGAACACCAGTTTGTCTCTCTGAATTTGAGAACAGACCGCCATAAAACATCTGAAATATTGCTGATTGTAACTTAAAATGAAACTTATTTCAGACATAGTTTGTATTACCTGTGAACTATACCCAAGTTATAGATTTATCTTGCACCAAAGCAGGTATTTTTTTAATTTGAGTGATCATGTTTATGTCAGGGAGGACCAGGAGGACCATATGGCCGTGGAGGTGGCGGCGGAGGTCGTGGAGGTTATGGTGGACATGGGCATGGTGGAGGCGATAGTCGCGGTGGTATGCAAGGAAAAACAAACAAGATCTTTCTTGGTGGTATTCCAAATGAAGCTAATGAAGACAGCCTTAGAAACTACTTCAGTCAGTTTGGAGGTGTAAGTATTGTGTGATTGTGATGTTGGTTAAACATGTTAACGTCTGTCAGTGTTCATAATGACCACTGATACATTTGACGAAAAATTTGGTAAAACATGAAATATATGTTTGCAAGTTTTGTGTGTTTTTCATCTCTAGATGGGCTTGAGTTACTGTCCACTAAGTCATAAACTGTTTAAAACAAAAGTGTTTGTATCCACCCTTCGATGTAATAACACATATATATTTTTGTTTCATTACGAACACTACTGTTTTGTTTCACAAAGAAGTTTGAAGAAAGAGATTAGTACTGTTGAAGTGCTCTTTCTGTCTTTATGGACTGCACCTTTAAAGCTTTCAACACCATTCAGTGATAAAATTCTATATATGAGAGTCCTGGCCCTAGTGTTATAGTTTTCAAGAGTCGTTAGATTCAAATTACATAGGGGCTAACCCCAAGGACCCCTTATACCCCTCTTAATCACTGCTAATACAACTGTGCACTTAGAATATTAGCATAACAGTCCTGCATTAGCCCCACAGCCTGAGTGTATTTAACTTCCCTCTGGTCTAATGAGATCAGTTTATGTTGGTTTGTGAAGATTCTAATATACTCCAAATATTATAGAAAGACGCATGGTGAGGCTTGTCAGACTGCAATAACAATTCAGTTGTTGGGCACATTTTACCCAGATTTTAGACAGTAGACAACTTATGACACGCTGAAATGTCTTTCTTTCTCAAGAAAGAAAGGTTGGATTTTGTTTGTGTTACCTAACTACTCCCACAGATTTTGATGCATGAAATACACCAAATGATATGGAAGTCTGAACGAATACTCCTCTCTCACTGTTATAGGTGACAGATGTGACGATAATGTATGATCAAGAAAAAGGCCGTTCTCGAGGTAAGATTACTGAACTGTTAGAGAAGATGTAACTAAACCCTCTTACTGTTTTTTAAAAACTAATTAGATATGTTTGTTGGAAAATATTATGAACGATGTACTGTCTCAGTGTATAGAAAAACATCATGAAATAAGTAAATTTAGTTAAGTATAATGATTTAGTTAAATATATTTTATATATACATATCAAGACCTGGTGCTTATACCATGTTATATTTGATCTCTGACATAATGAACCTGACACATGAAATGTAATTTAGGCAACGTAAACACATAAAATACATGCTAAATTCTGAATAACTTTAATCATGGATGTTTGGTACTTAAAATAATTAGTCAAGTTTACATATTGAGCAGCTGTACGCATAACTCCTACCTGTTTCAGTTGTAACTTGAACTCTTAATGTTGTGTTTAGTCTTCTGCATCGAGTAATATTTTTGTTTTACATGGTATTTAGTCCTGAAAACCCTAGTCATATTACCTTACCAAAGTCATTATTGTATGTGCGATACACTTTCATTAAAGAAGTATGAGCATAGATACTGATTTCATTGTGAAATTAGCAGTTTCTGTTCTGTTGATGTGTACTTGTCAAGTCCTTGTTGATGTAGTGACAATAACTACTATGAAAACATACACAGTACAGTAATCATTATGGCTGTACACTAATCATTATGGCTGAACTGATATATTCGGTAAAACGGTTACCTGATTTTGTGGTTTGAGTATTATTGATGCAATTTAGACTTGTGAATAATTTGATCGGTTAGTTAGAGAATTAGTCTACAGTGCAGTTGAATCGTTATAATTCTAAGTTTATCTTGCTCTACAAACGTTCAATATGGGTCTGATATTTTATGTTAGTATTGCATTGATTATGTTTATGATAATTTATTAGATAAAATTAAATGATATTCTTCTTAGAATGTCTTTTCCATCATGTGCTATAAAAACTGAATTTATCATGTACTTCAATTCTGTATTTAGACATTTCAGCTATCTTGTGGTATTTCATCTGAAGAACGAAGATTTGTCAGGCTTACATAATGTCATTCAAAATATCAGGAACTATGCTCCAATTTTCCCCATTTTCTCATGATGAATCCTACCATTGGATAATTGGTTGGATTTACTTTATTAATTCCATATATATATTTTTAAATTCATGAAGAAATGAGTGCCTGATTTTTTGTCATTATGTGAGCCTGGAAGTGAGATTAAAATGAGTCAACTTTAGGTTGGTTCTTGGATCTTGTTCGTGGCAGTCCAGATATGTTTCGGGGGAGAAGAGAGAACTTTACATTATTTCAAATGGGATCTTCATGTTCATACCCTCAAAGGCCATTTTAAGTATATATTGTGATTAGTACAATACAGAAAAGGGGTATTGCCTGTCATGGTTATTTTGCTGCCACAGCACTTGATCCAAGATTGACCATGACTTGCGTTTGTTCCATGGTTCTCAATCCTGTCACTGCATGTTGCAATGACACAAACCTATCAGTTACTTGTGCACTGTCACCGTAAAGCAATTGGAGATTCAATGGGTAAAACAGAAGTCACTGACTCATGAAAACATTTTATACTTCACTATGTTTTTCATAATACCACAATAAGCACATCACCAGTACCACTGGATTTTCAAAATAGCTCTTTGGTGTGGTGTTCATGTCACACACGGCAGATAACAGAATTTCTATGTTAAGATGTATTAAATCACTGAGTTTCGTGTGCAAATTTTTAAAAATTCCATGAGTTCTCATGAGTGATTGACTTTCAGCATGTTCAGTGGGTAAAACAAGTTTTGATCCAACAAGTGACTGAAGCGTTCCTTACAGAAGACATGCAGTAATAGCTCAAATGTAATAGTTCTGTTACAGTTGATTAAGGGGAATATCACCTGTTTATTCATGAGTGAGTTAATAGTGAGCTTTCTTCTTGACATTTCTCAGTCAGTGACAAAGTCAGCGCAGTGGGCAATTACAGACCCTCAAAAATGTTTCCTTGTAGTTCACTGTGGGCGATAAGTGAATATGCTCATGGTACACTTTATTCCATGCATTTGATTTGACCTTTTGTGTGAAAAAGTATCACAAACATGCAGTCATATTTGTTAGATTTTTATACTGAATGTGATCAGAAGAAATCTGGGTTCATGGTTAGGTAATATTGAGAAATATGAGAATAACAAAACTGCTGCCATGGATCAAGGAACAATGCCCTGTCAAAAGATTTCAATAAAGTGGATTGTTTCTGAAATGTGTTTGTTGTTTCTATGCAAGATTTATTATGTGAATGTGTACAAATGTATGTTCTAAAATATCTAGTTAATGTTGAGGTGAATGCCAATAATCAAGTCTGAATGGTGCATTTCTCCTCAGAGAAAATGAAATTGCTAATTGGTCGCATTTTGTTAAATATTTTGGTAGTTAACAGGAATATGTTTGACTAACATTGTACACATACACAAAGACAAACTTTTGTTGGCAATGGAGGAGAAACATCACTAATCAGTACACTTTTGTGTCACTCACTGTCTTATAAAGTTTTGCTCATTTGTCCTTAAAAAAGAACAGCTATTTGAAACTATTTGAAAAAATTAAAACAAAAATCTGAAGTGGAAAATGTTTCAAATGTGAAGACCATCATTCTCATCTGAAGTCATGTCATGCTTTGCTGCTATTTTGGATCCATATGCTGTTGGTTAGTTGAAGAATTGATGTATTGCTCATGCCACTGTTATTGCCTGGTGTCACATCAAGAGTTTGTCAAGAAAGTCATTGTTGATAAGATTGTCGTAACCATTACTTCCCCCTTCCTTTTAGGTGAAGATGCTGGTGAAGTTTGTGAATGTTTATATGCATATGATGAACCTGCTTATTATTGTCTTGCTGTTACTATTAACTAGGCTTTGGGTTTTTGACATTCGAGAGAGAAGACAGCGTTGAATTGGTGTGTGGAGATCAATTTCATATTGTGGACGGGAAGAAGGTTATTTCTTATTTACACAACACTATAAAATTGAATTATTGATTATTAATTTAATGAACACATATAAGGATATTATCCATGTTCAGTATTGTTTTAATAGTTACTTGTGAATATTTTCCTGTTTCTTTAGTGAATGTGCATAAAAAATATTAGACATTTAAACACTGGAAACAAGACTGTATATATCCCCTTAAATATTTGATATTTTAACCAAATGGGGATTTTAGGTGATTCAACTTTGGAAGAGATGTACTGCTTGGTTTAGTTTAGATTATAGACTTTAGTTTATTTCCCTGACCTAAAATATGATATACATGTGTGTCATGATGGACTGGTGCATGTTGAACTGTTGATTCAATCAAGGTGAACAGTGTGGATTGTTCACTTAATTACTTAGCATGATTACCTTGGTGTATTTATTGCCACCATGAGATGTGAATAGATTATAAACTACAGCTAATATTAGTTCTGGTTTAGATCTTTAAAATCAGTTATGTAAATTTGGTTATTTAGTGCAGGTAATTTAGGTGAAATGTGTTATTGTAGAAGCCATTTATATATATAATACAGCAGTCCTAATGTATAATTGGGACATACTTTTACCAGCTTTGGTAAATGGTGAATACAAATGCATGTTTACTATTGTCTCGGCAATATCTTAATCATGTTAAGTCCAGGTGATCAAATTGTTGCGCTTAGACTGTGGGCTTTGCTGGTTATTTAGTTTAGTGGCACAGGTTGTCCAGTGGACTAATGCAGAACAATTTGTGCAAAGTTGCCTCCCTTCGCTACCAGTATCTGCTGGTCACACATTCACACTGATTATGATCTTTAGTTTGTACCACCATCTGTGTTGTCATGGAGATCACCGAAGTGGTACATGTCTATGACCTGAGTCGTATAACTAAGGTACTTTATGTTCAGACCAAGTTAAAGATATTGTCAACTTGTGGTTCAAAAATACATTCAAATGAGGAAATATTAGGGAACTGGTTGTTGTAAGTATATGTGCCGACATGATTTCTTCCACAAACTGTATTTCAAATCATTAAGTGTGTTTAAATTGTAAAGTAGGTATGCATTCGAGGAAACGGGGAAAGCAGTCAACGTTCTTAAAATACTGTCAACTTTACATAATACTTCATATTCATAATAAATGTCAAATGTTCTACAGTGGACCATAGATTTTGAATTTGTCTGATATTTGAGACACTTATTTAGGTTAGCACTTGTCTTATAAAACTTGTCAAGATTTCTCCAAAGCATGATAATGTGAAATCAGTAAAACCTGTCAAGATATGTAAATATTAAATAGAGATATGGTCAGGATCAAGGTTACAGCTAGTGCATCTCTTCCGGATGAACAAATATGTATTAGATTTGTGTTCTCTACAGTTAACAAAAGTTGTTGTTTGTTATGCTAACATGTTTGCTTATGAAGTTATTTGATCCAATTTCGATAGTGCCTGTTTGCTGTGCTAAGTTACATGTTGTGCAAATATCTGACATTGGGGCTATGTAGCAAATACATTTAGAAAAAAGGATCTCTTAAAATACGTCTTTTAGGAAATATTTTCAGCTTGACAGCTACCAACCCTTTCACATTGCATTATGATTAGATTACCAATCTGACATACAATAGTGAGTATGTATACCTGTATCTTTTCATTCTGATAATGGTTGAAGAAAATGATTTCATGTCTGAGGGGTGTAGGGTGCAGGACATGCTCTTCTTTGCTGCATGTGAAGTAACAAATGGAAGCCACTGTGGTGCTTGGTGCACATATCAGACTTAAAGCTCATCATTTCACTGTATTTAAATATCCTGATTTGTATGTGTATCGCCTTAATGTTCACAGGTAGTAAAAATAACGAAAATGGATGTTATGTTATGTTCGTGAATGTTATCTATATTCACAGATAGTAATAATGGATACTCTCAAAAGTTATCTCTATTAGGTTATTTTCCCCAGGCAATGTGGTTACTATACCTTTAATATACCTTTTTATAATGCAATATTACAAGATGTTATTTTACAGAGAAGACTTGTAATATTGTGTTATGTCTGTGAGACGGGTGTATGTTTTGACTAATTCCAACTGTTTAATGGTGAAAGCTTCCCAACTGAATGTATGTGTTGTGTCCCAGGTGTAGTAATGTTGGTTATGGTGGGCAGGGATGAGAATTCTCTATTGATGGTACTTTCTAAAATATTCCATTCATTAAATTCATATAAATTCTTCTCTGACCACATCTTCGGCTTGTAGTAATTATGTATTTGAGGTTACTGTTACTTAAAGGCCATGATTGACTCATTCTCATCCCTGAATGATCTGTATTGGTGTGTTAGTGTTGGCAGGGACATTCTGATAATGGAGAGTTGTCTCAACTCAAGTTAGTTCCTTTATGAGTTTGAAAGAATATGATGAAGTTATCGTCGTAAAAGTAGGCTTTTATGTACTGAAAGGGTTGGAAGCTTTCTGTAGCCCTTTTGTCAAGATATTTAGTTGACAGTTAGCAGCTAGTTGAAAAAAACTGTGTTAATTAGGTAGTTTAAGGAACAGATATTGATATACTTAAAGCTTATCGCCATGCCATTCACAATCATTTGGTAATTTCAAGTTGTACACTGAACCTTATCTTAAATAAGTCGTTGTTGTTTCATTAGTTAGATTAAAGATCGTATTACATCACCTTTGTTTACTGTAGCTGTATTGACTGTACCATCTTTTTCCTCCTACAATAGATTGAATGTAAACGTGCAGAACCTCGTCAGGGTCGTGATGGTGGTGGTGGAGGAGGAGGAAGGGGGCGTGGACGTGGTCCACCTGGACTTATGATGGGGGGAGGTCCACATGGACAGGGCCCTCCTCAGTTTGCACCTCCCCAGGGACCTGATAGCTGGGGACAGGGAGGAAACAACTTTCCACCCCAAGGAGGTCCTCCAGGGGGCCCACCTGGCTACGGATCTAATGGGCAAGGTTATGGGGGTGGCTATCAAGGCTATCAACAACAAGGTGGTGGATATCAAGGACAGCAAGGTAAGTTTCCTTTCACACACGCACAGATCTTGTCGGGCCGTGCTTGGCAAAAATGTTTTTTGACAAAGTTTTGTAATTGCTCTCAAAACATTAACTAGACAATAGATTGTTGTTTTATTAGATAAATTGAGATCAAATATATTCCCAGAGCTCAAGATGCAAAGCCTTTTTGTGTACAATAGTAAGGAATATTTTTATGAATTGTTGGCACCTTCATACCAAAATGTAAAACAGCTGTTTCACTTTCAAGTGTATTGAACTTGTAAAGCTTTGTACAAAAACTGTTGGACATTAATTGTTTGTTAATGTTTATGTACAAGTTAAGACATTAATTAGATATGCAAAAAGAAATTTAACTGGAGAAAGGCTTCTCTTGAGCTTTGGAATGTGATCAGAACAGATTTTTACTTGCTATACTGCTGTGTTTACAACATGCTTTTATAAGTTCAGTTGATTTTTGTCAACTTTTGCTTTGCATAAGTTAATGTGAACCTGGTTCTTGATGATTTCAGTGGCATGGCCTATGACTGGTATGTTTTGTAGTAACCGTTAGTTATTGCACAAAGAATACCCAATGTAGCCTCTTGTGACACATTTCCATATATATGTATATTTGTTCATTTATAAAGATTTCTGAAAGAATGTCCAAAATCTATTTCCAAATGCGACCATATCATGTGGATGTTGTCACTGTTGTTGAAGAAGCATCATTGAGGACCAGATACTGCTTAGTTTCCTCCTAGGTATTCAAGTGTAGGGTTGTCATGACACTCCTCGCTGTTGGCTACATTCATGTGCTTGTCGCCCTACAGTCAGCAGTGAAAAAGGGTTTGTCTATACCATTAAATAAGTCAGAAGTCTTACTCAAAATTCATGCTATCAGACCTCTGTTGAGTATGCTGCTGTGACCTTTTATCAGAAAATCTATTAACAATACATGAGACATGGCTTTTTCTGGGCACAAGTATTGTTTGTATCACCAGCACATGACAACTCTTCTGTGTTGGATTGAATATTCATTAACAATGGTAGTTTGTTCATTCACAGGATGTTTAAGTTAAATTCCTTCATATTATGGACCAAACATTACCCTTTAGATCTTTGGCTAAACAATATTATGCTTCTTTCATATATTCATTTGTGATTCCATCTCAACTTGCTAATGACGGAGGGAACCTGGGTTATGCATAAGACAGTGTTCAAAAATCATGGGTTCATGTTGTATCAGTAATCTGTAAGTTAAGAATCAACTGGTCTGGGTGCTTTAAAATGTAGATTACTAAGTTCAGATTTTGTAACCATAATGTTTGTGTCCCCCTTTGAATTTTGAACACTGTTTCGATAATAATCACTTATTATGTATAGTTACATTAGTTGAATGATTTATTTGTGCATTTCGTTTACGCCGCTCATGCCTATATGTATGCAAGCATCGATACACTTCTGTAGAAAAGGCTTTAAAATAATAATTCACATTGATCTGAAATGTTTCCTCATGGTTTTCAAGCACCTTGCTTTGAGAGTGATGCTTTGCAAAATTGCAGTGTTCAAGAAGAACATGAAATGATATACAATGTAGTGGTTTTATTTTATCAGAATGGTTTCTCACTTCAGATGGCATTGGTGATTTTCCATCCTATTCTGACATTTGTTTGTGCAAGGAAATGTCTTTGACCACATCTTCTCAACTTTCTGGTAACTGTTATATGCAGTTCAGTGTTACCACTGATAGGAACTGTTTCACACAATTATCTTAGGGAAGAAATTTCATATTTCTTTTTTTTTCTGTTTTTGATTTTCTTGAAATAGTTCAAATGTCATGGATGGACAGTCATGTCATTGGAAGAAGGCATTAAATGAAATGCATAACTTGAACAGAGCTGCTTAAATTGTAACTTAAGCAGTTTTGTAGCTAAAAGTATTTTAGTGGTTCTTTTTTACTTTTGAGCATGAAGTTTCTGGTACATCATGTTTAGGGGTTCAACAATGCAAGTTCCAATACAATGCATTCATTAGTTCATTTGTAGGTTATGTATTTTACTTGGTAGTATGCTTAGAATTACGGGAAATATTTCCTGAATGAGGAACATTTCCACAATCAATATCAGAAATAGGTTATCGTCATGATATCCTGTGATTGTTTTGGCATCACAGGCTATATTACTTTCTCTTTTGAGCATTGCATTGACTATTGTTACTCCCCTGATCATGCTACATTGTTATGTGTTAAGTAACATTGTTAGAAATCCAATGTTCTACATTAAGGAGGGTTGGTTCAGTATACTTAATGTTTATTAGTTACTGATTTCTAAGTAATTAAGCTTTTGTGAGCGTTCTACTGTTGGTAATCTAATAATTTATTCAATTACATTTACTTGATTTTTTTCGACAGTCCAGTTTGTGCTCTGGAGATGACTCTGAGTCTTTTGATGTGCTTTTGTATCCTCTCCCTGTAAATCAGTGGATTCCTGAACTGGTTTCATTTTAGTGGCATGTTCCAAAGTAGAACTAGTCACATGAATGAAGTGTTTTAAGATCGTGGAAAGGACCATTTACAGAAAACATTGATTGGGTGTCCCAGCATTTGACTTGCTTTACCTGGGAATGGGTGAAAACTGACATTGTTGATCTAATACTAAGTTGACATGTATATATCAATGTCAAGGACAACAATGTTAAGGACAGTACTTGTTGATTTTGATTCCTATTTGACTAGTTAACCATTATGGTGGGACCCATATTGTTTCAAGGGTCAGTGATTTGGACCACAATAATGGATTTGAAATTCTTGGACCATAATATCATTCTTTTGTCATTGTGTAAAACAGCTTAACTGAAGCAACATAACTGTTACATCTTCACTGAATACATCTGGGTCAAAATTGAGCCTGTCAGAATTATATGGTCTGTTTCCAACGGTCATTTAGGAGTATAGTATTAGAAATGGTATTAGAATTATGACAGTGCTTCAGTAAAGGTTTCAGAGGTTATGCCGAAAATGCTTTTGCATTGATTTTGGTGTGAGATCACTAGTTAATAACTAAGTATATCACTTCTCATAAACTGCATCAAAGTGATTCCCAAAATGGGTAACAAGCAGACTTTTCTTTATATCTTGGTCACTTTTTTTTTCTGTGCGCCAAATACTTTTTAAGTACATTTGAAATAAGTTATGGCCAGTTGAGCACATTTATTGCCTTGACATGTTTTCATATATTTTTGATGAAGTCAGTGCATGCTTGACAATTAAGATATTTGCCACATTGCACAAGCTATTATTATCATGAACCATATGAAGAACTACCTTTTCTTTTAGTTTGTTATACATTCTTTGCCATTTAGATGAATGTTCATTGTCAGTAGTGTGAATTTATTGTTTGTCTGGTGAGAGAGTTAGCATGGATAGTGTCGTCTACATCAGTCCTGTGTGTTTACAAAGGTCTGTATTTGTAGCCTAATCTGTTTTCCAGGTGGTTATGGAGCCACACCGCCAGCTCCAGGCCAGGGTGCTCCTGGGGCCACCCAGTCCCCTACCCCTGGGGCGGCACCTGCTGCACCTCCACCTTACAATCAGTGGGCTTCCCCTCCCCCCCGGGGCAGCAGCCCCCTCCACAACAGCCACCACCGCAGGCACCACCACCACAGCAGCAGCAACAGCAACCCCAGCCCCCTACCCCGGCCCCAGGCTATACAGGTTACCCGCCTCAGGCTCCTGGGGGGCCAAGTTACGGTGGTGTACCCACCAGTCCCACTCAGGCCCCACCCCCCAGACAGCCTGGGGCACCACCAGCTCAGCAGACATATGCAGACTTCAGTGAGTGGTAGTTAATATACAGTGAATCAAGGAGAAATAAACTCGATATTTTGGAATGCAAGATAAATCTGACATAGCATGATGTCAGTATTTTCCATTCAGATAAAAGCATTGTCTTTTTAGGTTGTTTTTTTTTATTTGCCCTACCACTTACTCAAATTTGTTCACTCAACTGATCAGTTGACCAGTTGAGTCTGTTGGATCATGCATATCGTCCTCAGTTAAAGCATTGACTCAAATAATAAAGGTCATATCTTGCTGATCAGGACCCTGTTTCACAAAACAGTCTTGAAGCTAACATTATAACTCCCATACTTAAACATAAACATGATAGCTCTTACACTGAGATTATTTTGTGAAACACGGTCCAGGGCCCTGTTCCACGAACAGACTTACCTGTGAAAACTAGCAGAGAGTATCCGACAAAACAGACCTTAGAATGCATTGTATCTATTAAAAACCACATTTTCAATGGAGACTGCATATTTGTTTGTTGCAGTTGCCTGATTTAGTATTTGTTTCAATTGAAAATTTAGCAGGTTTTTCTATCACACTTCAGTTTGATTGTGTTTTGATGGCTGTTGTGATTTAAAGTGTGTTCATATTCCATTGGCTGGTTGCTCTCTGCTGTTGTACGCCCCATACTTTATGATACTACAATGGTCATAGTGTGGAGCAGAGCCCCAGATAGTGTTTGATCAGCACCAATAAAGTAGCAGAGATATTTAGATAAAACAGAAACCTACTGCTCTTAAAATAAACATGCCAATGTTTCTAAGGCATGTACTAGTTTGTTTATTTGGTTTTGAATTGATAGTGCACCTTATTTCATTAAATTCTGCATTAAAGCACCCACCAATACATGCCTCCCACTGCCCTCTAGCTCAATAGTTTGTCTCATGGTTCTGTTTCTTATTTGTGGATGCTTATGTTTGGGCAAGGAAAGTGATCCAATAACTGAGACAGTCAATTGCTAGATACTGGGTTTGTTGTAGAGGAGGCGGGTTCCCTTTGGAAGATTAAACCTTAAAAGCATGTGTTTTTACTTGCCACTGACATATCGTGGTACAACGTATGTGCATTCACATAGAAATCTAGTATGACATGAAATGTATTGCCAGTTCATACAATTTATCATTTAATAATTTAGACTATTAATATTTCAAAGTATAAAGATTCCACTTGAGCACAGTCTCATTGCTTTGGTATTTCTGCTGTTTACTTTCCATTGTTGATTTAGTTAATGGATAATGACACCAGACTGACAGTAGGTAAGTCAGGTGCTTGCAAGGTTTTTAGATTGTTCAAACAGTACTGAATATTTAGTTAATCATTTGATTGAATTACTCAAGGTCTGCTTTGATAAGACAAAACAAACATCACTGACATGTAATTGTAAACAGTTTAATACTCAATTAAGTTTGAACTTAGAATGAATATATACTAAAAAATATGTCAGACCAATCAATGTACCTTAACAACCAGACCTTGAGAATTATCAATATCTGTGGTACTTCTATATATGTTATGGTACCTACATTTAAAAAGATTTAATCATTTAGTGTTTGTATCATTAATAATGATAAATAATCATAATTGATCATACAAATACAAATAAAGGGGTAAGGAATACCTTGGCTTTAGCACAGTCCATGCCCAGTACCAGTAATTAGATACTTATCAGTACATTAAGTTAGACTGTCATTATTAGTTCATGTTTACAGAGTTTCTTAGCTTATCCAGTGACACTGACTCAAATATGTTATCTTCTTTCTTGTATTCTTAAATATTATGATTTTAAAGTAATTGGGTGTTTTGGTTGACCAGTTGCTTCATGAATTCATTGACCTATTGATTTTGTGTAAAAACAAACATTCTGCCCCAAACTTTGTTTCAGTATATAGCTATTGAAGTTCATAACAGAATCGTGTTCTGCTCTAACCAGGTGTTTTTGTAACGGTTTAAAAAGTACTTTTGGTATCAGCATACAAATGTCATTGATAAGTTGGATGTTTCTGTCATTTGAGTTCTTAGTTTCTGGAAGTGACAAAACTGATGTTTCAGTAGATAGTGGTGGATGTGTTCTGCCTTTCTGGCCATCACCATTTATGGTAACAGAATTAGGGAAATTGTTTGAAACATATGCAAAAGTGCTCAGAAAATATATTTTCTGCTCTTATAAATTTTCAATTACATTTACTCAGATTGTTGAAAACCTTTGAGTGTAATTTTGCTTCTTACTCTTATTAATATAAACTAAGGTGTAAAGTACTGCCCTTGTATGTTATAGCAGTTTAAGTTTCTGTATTATAGTTTCTTTTGTTTTCTAACTAGAAATATTAAGTGATGGGTTGATGCACAAATAGTTGGTCTTGTTTCGGCCCACATATTATTTTTATCAAATGTTAGTTAGTGTTAGATTATTTTAGTGTCATCTGCTTGGATTTAGTCTTGTTTCGGTCATTTTATTAGAATATTTTAGATTTCACATTAAGAGAACTGTTAGTATGAATACTTTAGTTATTAGTAAAGTACTTTGTGCAAATTAATGTGATCAGTTCAGTTTTTCAATTCATTACCTTTTCCTTCTTTGTAGTAGAAGCATTTCTTGCCTGCAAGCTTTAGAAATTCTCATCACATGAAAATGTTTTGAAAAATTGATCTGATCCCACACTCACTATAATTACAATTTTTTGTTTTGCTAATGACTTTTCTTTTCCAAACAAACTGATCTTGAGAAAATTGCCTAATGTGTATCATTTTCCTGCTTACAGACCAAGCTGCTCCAGTGCCCGCTGTAGCACAAAGTTACCAAGGTTACGGTGGTGCCTATAGCAACGGTCAAGCACAAGCTGCCCCTGTAGTAGATCCATATGCTCAACAGACTCAACAGTCACCAGGTATGTTGCTACTCTGAACTGTTTACTCATCTCTAATGTCTCTTTAATTTTATACATGATTCTGCTTGGATAATGTCACAATTATGTAGTGATCTATGAAAACATAACTGAATTCTATATATATATATATTGGTGGTGCACCTTTTTTCATGACAGATAATCGAGCATTTACACTTTGTTTTTATAGCCATGGGACAGTATGCTCAAGATGCTAGCAATTATGGCCCCAGTCGAACGTATGGACAGACAGCAACAGCAGGTGCCCCTGCTGGTGGAGCATACAGTCAACTGGCTTCATATGCTCAGCCCACAGGTCAAGGTAGTGACATGTCTCTTATTTCAATATGGTCCTAATATTAGAACCTAATGTATAATAGTTAACACCATAATGGTTAAGATAAACTGGGTATTGTCATGTATATTAAACCACATGAACTTTTGATCATGCTGAATTAGTTTTCTTGCCTGTGGACATTGAGGAGTCGACCACTGATTCATCAACCCATACTTTTTGTGAACGTGTAATTCTTTAAACATTACTATTACATTTTCAGCCGCAGTGTACAGTGACCCAAGTGGCTATGGAGCTGCTGGAGCAGCTGCCTCACAGCAAGTGGCATATGGAAGCCCACCAGATCCTCAGCAGGCAAGCTATGCTGGCTATGGTGCTCAAAGGCAGTCTGCAGGCAGTCAGCAAGCATATCACCCATATCGACGATAAACATCAGGCTGCCTTATTAATCATAATGTGTGGGAGAGAGTGAGGACTGACAACAAGCAATTTTAGTATTTCTCACTTCAGGAGCATTTCATCCATCATAGCATCCATGATGTTTTAATTAATTGTACTATCTTGGAGTTGTCAAAATTGAGTTGTAAATTATTTGTGAATTTAATATACCCTAAGAACTTGAATCATGTTTATAGTTGAGGTATGTTCCAGCGTAAGAAAAGATTTACTGAGAAAGACTGTGCCAAATCATTCATTTCATCTCAGTTTGCTGTCCGTACTGAAAAGAATTTTCAATGAGGACTTGTTTCATTTTTGGCATTTGTAAGTTTGTCTGATGTGCAGGATTATTATTATGTACCATCTTCTTGAGTAAAATGTGTTGCTATTGTTTGATGTGACTCAACTATTTACACATGTCAAGAGATAGTAAGGTGGCCAAGCCACAATCTTTTTATTTAGGATCTGTCTCCCAGTTTTGGCTCTTTTGAATCTGTCAGTCTTGTTGATAAGTTTAACACAAATATTTCACAAATTTTATCAAAATACATCATTGAGCAGAAACTGTTGAGCATATCTATTTGTGACAATTTCAGGTTTTGTTTTTTGTACATAGTCATACCATTGCTCATCGATCTGCTAAATAAACATTTTATTGTCATGAATCTGTTTTGTTTTCTTGTGTGAAGTGTATTTTGTGTTTCATAGGCTATGTGACAACTACCGTAAAGTAGCAGTTGTGAACAAGCTTAGTTCTAGCATCCATGAAACTAAAACTTTCAGTGAATGTTGCCTGCCAATGTTAAGTGGTCTTGACACTACAGACTGTTGTGCAATGTTTTGGTCTAAGTTGGGGCAGTTATAAGGCTTACAGCTAGTTTAGAAGTTTGTGGGGGTGTAATTGCTGGAGAAGGCATCTAAATTCGACAAATATGGTACATGTATCATGCAAGTCAATTTCACAAGAGTTATTCGAAAGAAAGCTATATTTAATAGCCATGAGTATTGAAAGGATTCCTTAAAGATTTAGGATTGGTCACGATCATTTACTGGAGCAAGGCACTTGCATGTATGGCAAGCATTTTCAAACAATGAGATTGATGGGGTTGCCATGCACACATGGGTGCAATGAGTAAAGCCCAGTTCTGGTGTCCCATGCTTTGATACTGCAGAAACCAGCTTATGCCCATACTCAGTGATTCCGTTGATTCCATGTCACTGTGACACTTGGTGAACCAATGGTTTGTCTGATCCAGACTTCATCAGACCCATGTAGAACTTGAACATTGCAGAAGCAGCCTTAAACAAGGCAACATGACACCTTAGATAATGTAGTGACTGTGTGCATAATAAGCCTGGAAGGGTTATTATGTTATTGGGTACTACAGAATGTACCTCGGATACTTTTTCTTCATACATGAAAGCACCCTGGTTGAAGTCTGCATACAGAAATAGCACTGAAGCAAGGTCCATTCATTAATTTATACAATGACTCCACATTTACCACTTTGAAATGGCTATCTATTCCTAACTTTACAGGTTACAGGTGAAACTAGAAATGGCCTATCAATAAACTGGCCTAGTTGCTTCAGTGTCAATATAAAGGGTCGGTGGGGTAGCCCAGTAGTTAAAGCGTTCGCTCGTCACACCGAAAACCCGGGTTCGAATCCCCAGTAGGGTACAATGTGTGAAGCCCATTTCTGGTGTCCCCTGCCGTGATGTTGCTGGAATATTGCTAAAAGCGGCGTAAAACCCAACTCACTCACTCACTCACTCATCTGTTGCAGCCATTTCGACAGCCACCAAACAAATAAAAATTACGGTCGATAACAGTAGAAAAGCTTTAACCCCTCCCAAGCTTCACAGCTTGACAAAATACATGTACAACCAAAATAATTTGAATACATAAAACCAAACTCAGTCATTATACAGTGACCAGCTTGCAAATGTTTGTCAGGATGTCTACCAGGTTACATTTCTGTAGTTTGAAAGGTATTGATCGGAGATGAATAATTGAATTCTCGTGCAATCTGTTGTTGAATCATGATTTAACAGATACTTTGTTATAATTACCACATTTGTGGCAAAACCAACAAAACCAAAACACCCCACTGACGAATTTCAAAGAGTAATTTAGGAGTAATGTAGTATACACCAATGCCATGTTAAGTGTTGTATAGCTGCCTTCTAAAACATACTGACCACGTTAGTTTCCATGTTAGTACTCTTTCCACTCAAACTCCGACCATGAATTTAACAAATCATGTAAGATCTTAATAAATACCACCCTAAACACTAGTCACAAGGACCACTTAAACCTAATTTCACTTGTCATTGGTGAACCCATGAAAATGGGTTTGAATGAATTGTTCTTTCAGCAATAGGGGGTGGTGTAGTCTAGTGGTTAAAGCGTCTGTTCATCACACCGGAGACCCAGGTTTGATTCCCCACATGGGTACAATGTGTGAAGCCCATTACTGCTGTCCCCGCCATAATATTGCGTGGAGTAAAACCATATTCACTCACTTTCAGCAATACATGCTTATCTTAAGGGACAACTAACAGGCTCAAGCTGATTTGACTGACATGTTATCATACCCCAGTTGTGTGGATCGATGCTCATGTCATTCACTGGATTGTCTAGTCTGGATTTGATTATTTACAGACTGCTGTCATATAGCATGAAATTGCCGAGTGCTGTGTTAGGCAACACACAAAGTTTGTCATCAGTGATTAGCAGCTAGTCCTCTGAACAAGAATAAATGTTTACTGTGTTTGTCTTTTCTGTCGGTTAAATTCAGTTGTAGCCAAATTGAAGCACTGAGAACAGGTTCAGAATCATACCTCTCAAATCCTAGTCAGTGAGGACTACTATCATTGGTGATCTACTTGTTCTCTGTACAGTTTAGTGGTGTCTGACAAGCAAACTAACATGAATGTCTGATTGTGTGTCATTGTACTCAAAACAGATATTTGCCATCTACAACATTACATATATAGACATTATTACAGAGCAAGTGTGTCATACGTCTTTAACGAATAGGAGTGTGAAATTTTGTAAGAGTTTCATGTAAGTCATGACACACTTGCTCGAGTGTAACAAATTCTTTATTATCCATTTTAATCATGTACATAGCGCAGTAAGACATGGTAAGCAAATGTGACGTCCCACTTCATGGACGTCATGTTCAAATGTTTAATGACGTCACAGACAACGAAACACAGAAACAATGGTTGTTCGGCAAAAGTGATATGTGTTGTCTCTGGAAATGTTTCAGAAAAATAACAAATATCATAATTTGGTTTAGTACTTTTAGTTTAAAAACAAAACCATTATGGAAATTATCTTTTACTTTAAACAGGATGTATGCGCTTTTGGAAAACATGCATTTTGTTTTCCTCAAAAAGGTTACCTTCTTTTGAAAAGTGAAAATCAGAATGACGGTTATATGGTCACATGATTGTCATTTTTGACAAGTGAAACCTACGTTTAATAGTGTTGTATGAGCAAAATAGGAATAGTCTTTTGCTTTAAAAAGCAGTGCTATCATATCTTTAACAATATTTCCTTTAATTGTAAATACAAATGTTTATGATATCCCTAAATCAGTTACCAGATGAACCTTCTCTAACTATGGATTGGTCTTCCCAATTATTTTAGCCTAACATTTCCACAGCTTCACATCCTAGTTTTGAAATAGGCTGGCCCTTAACTTTTTATTCTCGGTATATATATATACATATATGACACTGGTTATGTTTCACCACGTGGGTAATAAAAATAACTATTACAACACAGCATCAACTCTTTACCTGCAACAAATCTTCCATTGCTTGTGTCCAATTCATCCCATACACAGCTTCCTTTCACCTCTTAGATCAGGTGAACTGCAGCTTAAAACTAAGTTGGTTGAAACCCAGTTTTCTAACAGTAGTTCAGCAAGAAGCAAACCATTGTGAAAAATATATATAATTTATTGCAAACAATTTGAAAAACCAAGATACAAAACTACCTGAGAAATACTATATGTCTGTAATCGCCATACCATCTGATGTTCTGTTGAATCATGCTACCTACACGTTCTACGCTGAAGAAGGAATACCTGAGTAACTACCAGTAGAGTGATATGGAAGAATGGGGTGGTTCTAAGTGGAATCATTATTCACTCAAATGACAGATCTAGACTGAACTGGTGCCAAGTTGGCAGACTAATATGTGGCTTGCATGCATTGCAAGCTCTGTTGATCATCTGAATACAATGTATTTAGCTGATCTTGAACACGAAGTGATGACAGATTCACTCCCTATCTTTTAGGTCTTCAATATGTGATCAAAGTTTATTAGTCATATTTGGTGTTTTTATGTTTATTCCGTTTCGTTTAGTAACTGTCACTATTACACCATTCTTATCAGGAAGGTCCAGAAGTTGTTCAAAGGCATCAACCACCTCTTTCACTCTGAAACAAAAAACAAAATTTGAAAACAAAACAAGCCATGAACTACATGACTTACGATACTAGTCATAGTTAATAAATCGTGCACACCCTGCATTTGACATAAGTAAGATGTCTATTATTATACGTTCTATCCTAGTTAACTCACTATAAAAATCCAGTTTCAACCCTTGCTAAACTATGCTGGAATTTTGCAGCTCAATCACAGCACCACCAGTGGCTATTACTGGTTATGTCTGTTAGAGCTGTAACGAAGCATCAAACTATTGATGCATTCCAATTGTTCAGTCTCCGAGAGCAATTAATCGATGGTAGAAATGAAAAACTATCGATGCATTGACAGTATGTGTGACTATCGATAGTTTAGTAATTGATTTCAGTTGATGGACAGGATATTTGGGTACAGACTTGCAGCTTCATTGAGTTTATGTTTTAACTGTTTACTTGATCTGGGTTTCAAGTTTCTCATTAAAAGAGACTGAAACTTCTGAAACTTGTTTTTTTTATTTCATATAAACTACTAGTATACATTCATTTCGGAAATCACTTAAAATGAAACAATTCAAGGAGAAAAATAGATTGGGTCGCAATAGACTATTGCTATCGCAATAGTTGTTTCCCCCTCAATAGTCACCCCTTATGTCTATTAGTGTTGGGAATTGGTTGAAATTTCATAATTGATGATTGCTTCATTACCAACGAACAATCATCGATAAAAAATGGTTAGCGTCAATTTTCAGATTTTCCTATCCAGGTTGTTATTGCAGATATGTATAACATAATGCACCTTGCTACTTTAAAGTGATGTTGATATGTCATGAACATAAACCTTCTGGGGTCTTCAAGAAATATTCAGTCATGACTTTTCAGTTAGTGAAGTGAGTTTTCTAAGAATTAAACAAGTTTTCAGGCCCTGACAACTTCGAAGTTATGTTCCATCGTCAAGTGTTTCAAAGACTAAAACAGCAGTTCCAAAATCGTTTGTGTCTTCGATTATGAGAAAATGTGATCGATTGCTTGGTCGTTTGGTCACTTCGACCAATCTTTGATTATTTCAATTAATCGGAACACCACTAATGTTTATGCATTCTCATCAAGGACACACACATTTAAAACAGAAGAAACATTGACATAATCACGTACAAGAGCACACTCCAAGGAGTAAACACTAAGTAGGGTCTGACATGCAAATATACCCAGTGAACACTTAGTATATACAATATTCACCAGGGGCCCGTATCACAAAGCGATCGTAGCACTACAACTGACGACGTCTATGTTAAAGTATGGGAGTTACGATCATCTTAGCACTACAACTGCCATACGTCTATGTTAAAGTATGGGAGTTATGATCACCTTAGCACTACGATAAGTTTTTGAAGTGGGACCCTGGCTTCCTACACCCCTCTGACTTGACTTGGCTGCCATTTTGAACTTCTAAAGTAAAACCTGGCTGTCTCATTGCCAGGACAAAATAATATTGATACTCACGACATTACACCCAGCATTTTCACCAGTTCCCGTGCATCATCAGCATACAGAGACTTTTTGCCATCATCAACTCCTTTCATTATCTCAGTATCAGCAAATGTTGGACAGAAACAGCAGAAGCTAACACCCATTGATTCCAAACGAGGATTGTCCTAAAAATGTGAAAAAAGAAGTGCATTTAAAAATAAATTTAATACTAATTTAATTATTTAATTTAATAATAATTTAATATTTTAGGTTTGTCAGCACCATACCTACTGCTGGGTTTCACTCAGTCATAAATGTCAAAGGCCGACATCATTTCAGTCTTACCTCCCACTTTACATGGTCACCCCGTGATATAAAGGAATAACACTGAACGCAAACTCACTGTGATTAAGGCAGCAAATAAAATACTGGATTAGAGTTTAGCTTTTTTTTTCATGGGGTGTAATTCGATATGGATAGATCTGGATTCCATGGATGTGATATGATTCATATTGTGATACTGTACTCGTATTGTTGATTTATCATATACTTATGATATCATATTAGTTGATTTATCATATACCTATGATATAATATAAGTTGATTTATCATATACCTATGAATAATATGGACCATTTTGCACACACAATACTGGCTATCGGCATATGTCCATATGACCACCCGGACCGAAAATGCATATCAGCCATATTGCCCAGCTACTAAACTGGTACGGAATGAATACACTCAAACGCTCATGTAATAACCTCTTAATATTTTTCACATGACATGATCAGTTGCCTGTAAATTTTAGAGATCAAAGATGGGATATTGTTGGTCAGAAACATAAAACCAAGGGGGCACAGTAAATGTTTATCTGCAACTGGGAGATAACCAGACAATCTGCATAATCTGGATGTTGAATACTTTTGTTTAGCATTTTAAATCTTACTATTACATGTTTTACACCAGTATAAGTTATAATGTTATGTATCGTATGTATCACGGTACAGAGGTTGTAAATCAGTGTACAGTATTGTGGGCCTTGTAGCAGAATACAATCCTGCATCGCTGTATCCTTACAACCCTACTGGGGCAGTGGGGTAGCCTAATGGTTAAAGCGTTTACTCATCACGCTGAAGACTCAGGTTCGATTCCCAACATGGGTACAATTTCTGGTGTCCCCCGACGTGATATTGCTGGACTAATGCTAAAAGCGGTGTAAAACCATAATCACGCATACAACCCTACAAAATGTTATTTACCCAGTCCTCCGCAGTAACTTCAACATGTACTTACTGCCCAGCTTCGTGTGAAACCAACAACACCGAACTTGGAAGCTGCATACACTGGTGTGATATAGACTGGTGTCAGACCTGTGAAGAGATGAACCATTACTTGTTAAAGGAACTAGCTGTCTGATTGGCTAGTTACATCTTGCAAAAACCCATACAGGTCCTCAAGCTGACCTGTATTCATATGACACCATAGTGTTTGTGATATTGTACGCTTGTCTCATCACGACAGATCCTGTTCACATGTCAAATACTAAAAGCATTCACAATACAAATCTCAGTGGCATACAAACATTCTACTGAAAAGAGGTTCTAGAGCAGCAGTAGTATATTTCTCTGACAGTAGTCTTCGTAGATGGTAAACTTGTCAATCTGAACAATTTGTTCATCAGGACAATTTGTTAATCTGGACAATTTGTTGATGAGGACAATTTGCTGATCAGTTTGCTACATTGGAACACTATCTTCATCTTGACAATTGTATACCTGAGCCTCCTTTCACAAAGCACTAAGGTGATCGTAAGTCACTAAGGTAACCTTTGTGCACCATAAAGAATAGTAGTTAAGGATAACCTTAGTAAAGGTTGCTTTGTGAAAGGAGCCCCTGGACAATTTGTTAATCTGGACAATTTGTTGATGAGGACAATTTGCTGATCAGTTTGCTACACTGGAACAATATCTTCATCTTGACAATGTGTATACCTGAGCATCCTTTCACAAAGCACTAAGGTGATCGTAAGTCACTAAGGTAAACTTAGTGCAATGTTAAAGAATAGGAGTTAAGGATAACCTTAGTAAAGGTTGCTTCATGAAAGGAGCCCCAGGACAATTTGCTGGAAACAGTCCAGAATATTGGGTTTCACTGAAAATGAATTGGAGATGTGGAAGATACCTGCAGCAGACGACACATTAATAACAAGGCCTCCATTTCCTCCCTTGTCACGTCGCAGAGCTTCCACTGCATACTGAGACCCCATGACAACTCCCTTCTGTTCAACACAAACAATAACAGTTGTGCTACTTTACTTATACTGATCAGTACTAATTAGAAAATAACCACCAAGCTACGAGGTATCACAGACAATAATGATTCAGAGTTATTTTTTCTGTGTATTAACTATACATGTTTATGGTTACTTTAATAGGGAAGGAAACACAGAAAATATAGAAATGTGAACAGTTCTGAAATGTTTCAATGAAACATTTTTTTCTTATGAGTCTGTAATGTTGTAACCAGCTTATGATTCTATGGGACACCTCATGTATTGTTGCATTTTGTTTATTGCTTATATAAAATATAAAATATAAAAATATATACTCAACATACACACCTTGAGTGAGTGAGTGAGTATGGTTTTACACCTCTTTTAGCAATAATTCAGCAATATCACGTCAGGGGACACGAGAAATGGGCTTCACACATTGTACCCATGTGGGGAGTTGAACCCCAGCCGTTGGCGTGATGAGCGAATGCTTTAACCACTTGGCTACCCCAACGCCTAATACATACCTTGAGTTACATGTGTAGATGATGACAATAGTTATGTTTGTATTTTACCAGAATAAAGGTCTTGGCCACAGATCCTTGTAACAAGAAAACCTAGCACCTAGGTATATTTTTATTGTCAGTGTAGACAATGACAATAGTTAAGTTTGTAAGTTTGTGTTTACCAGGACACAGGTCCTTGCCATAGAGGCTTATAAAATAGCATCACGGTTAAGTTTTATTGTCACTGCTAAAACTGCAGCAGTGAGGCCTAAAAAGAAATGTTGTGGTTTGGATTACCCTACCTATAGCTACCCTTGAATTCTGGTGCCCACCCCATTTTCTTTAAGCAGTATGAATAAAAAGCTTTCAGATACCATTGTTTGTCTCGGCACTGATGGACATCGGTCATTCTGATAGAGAAAGTCAACATGATGGCCACAAGCTTGATGGAATAAACAATTACACATTGATAAATGTGTTATTAGTTTGTACTTTACTTCTAAACGAACAAAAGTATAAAAAAAATCCTACCCACCTACCCTAAATTGTAAAGGGGTGTAATCAGAACCACAACATTTTTTTTATTTGGCCTGACGGTATATACCTTGATGCTAGTTTTTTTTCTGTTATCAGCTATTGTGGCCTCAGCTAATGAATAGGAAAATATAGGACAATTTTACCACTGTATCATCTGCATCAGTTATCCTGTTGGTTTTATTAATGTGTTCAAACAAGATGATTGTAGAGGATACAATGTACCAAGAATAATAGACCAGGCTCCACTCACCAGGTTAATATCAATCATTTTGTTCCATGCCCCTTCATCAGCTATGCCAGCATTGTTTATCACCAAATCCAGTCGACCATATTGTTTCTTCACAGCATCAAATGTGGCTGAAAGTTTGAAATAACTTCAGGAACTGACAATATTGTACAATATCGGTGGCCTGTTTTGTTTTCATTTACAAACAAATCTTAGGGACCATTCATAATTTATGGCCAGGGGGTGTGATGATGATTTTAAGGGGGGTCACCCATTTTGTTCTGGGGAGGTATGGTGGTTCATCAATTTCATAAACAAGTACTGGGGGCATGGATTTTGTACATGAATGACATGCATGGGCTTCTCTTACTTTTGTTGTTGTTTTGTTTTTGTTTTGTTTTGTTTTTTGCCTTTTTTTACTTTGTTTAATTGTTTTTTTTGGGGTTTTTTACTTTTTGTTTGTTTTTTTGTTCTTGTTTTTGTATTATTATTTATTTATTTTTTTGTTGTGTTTTTGTTTGTGTTTTGTTTTGTTTGTTTTTTTGTTTGTTGTTGTTTTTGTGTTGTTGGTTTTTTTGGGGGGTGGGGGGTTGGGTTGTGTGTTTGTGTTTTGTTTTGTTTGTTTTTGGGTTTTTTGGGGGGGTCATTCACATTGTACATGCCTCTCCATAATGAAAGTCATCATCATCCCCGCTAGCCATAAATTATGAACGATCCCTTATCGATCTAGTGTTGTTGATTTTACCAACCAGGAGGAGCCAAATAATTTGCTTATGCTACATCACGTACCTTCAACCAGTGCAGTGGTGTAATTGAATAATATTTAAAGGTATATTTCATAATGAGGAATCGAACCGTACCCTTGATGTCATTCTCTTGTGTCACGTCACACTTAGCGAAGAAAGCTCTGTCTTTGCTGTACTGCTGTTGGAAAGAAGACACGGTTGCCTCCCCTGTTTGGACTTTGATATCGGCAACACAAACCTGTTTGTAAACAAAACATAAGCTAATCAGTTATGTTATGAACTTTGACACTTCCTGTAAAAAACAATACATTAAAGCAAACTAGACTGTAAATACATGGCAAAAGGTCGTTATGAATGGGCACTTCAGATATTATGCTTACGTTAGCCCCTCGCTTCAACAGGACCTCCGAGAAAGCTTTTCCAAAGCCCTGAGCTGCTCCGGTAATAAGTGCAACTTTTCCCGAAAATGACATGATGCGTTAATGGTAATTTGAGGCATTCAAATGACGATGCACTTCAAAACAACCCTTTCAACGTGTGTGTTCTGAGATCCTGTCAAATTTTGAGGTTAGCCTATTCAATAAGACATCCGCATTCGTCAGTCCATTCGTCTTATCCAGACTGTTGGGTCACTGTACGTTAAATGGATAAACGAGGGTCTTGCGTTCATTTTCCGTATGGAAATATCACTCCTGAGTGATCTGTCAATAAATGCTGGAATGTGATAAGCGAGTTATCACATGTATTATTAATGATCAGTGACAATGGATTTCACAGTATCGTTGACGTAATGAACTTGTGAGTGAGTGAGTATGGTTTTGCGTCGCTTATAGCAATATATTCCAGCAATATCACGACGGGGAACACCAGAAATGGGCTTCACACATATTGTACCCATGTGAGGAATCGAACCCGGGTCTTCAACGTGACGAGCGGATGCTTTTTCCATTGGGCTATCCCACCTCCACCGTAATGAACAATTAAGTCTGGTGTTGATGCAATGATTACAGATGGACCACAATACCAATGACGAATTAAACACAGCATTCTTGCCGCCTGTCAAGTTCATCCTGTATATCTCTGAACACGGTTTAAAGAGGATATTCTTCGTAATACATTCGACTGTTTGTATAATTGGCAAGAAAGAGATTATTAGTGAAATGGGTTTGCCCATGCCGCTTTTTCGTGTCACATATAACTTCCCTACCATTGCTCATCCCAGCTAACACACATTTTCTCAACGTTGTCGGAGGGCTGTACACTGGAAACGTCATGATACTAATATAAGTTGTGACTGCATAAATGGGAGTCTACAGAATAACGTTGTACGCATGCAGTGTTTGCCCTTATCCTGAAAAGCTGCAGGGCCTAAGGACCTAGAACCATAAAAAGTTGTGTGTCCTGATCAGAACGTGTAGCTACAATATAAGTAATTCCCATCAAACAAAAAATGTGACAACTAACAAACTGAGTTAAAAAGTTTAATTTAACTCTAGTGCCTGGCTAGTCTTCATTTTACAACAGAATCAACACCCATGTCAATATCCAAATCTCCTGAAAAGTCTGTAATCTAAACTGCTTCCTCGAAAATGACAGTCGTTTCACTCACAGGGGCTTGTACATAACGCTAAAAACTGCCATCAAGGTATGTACTGTCACTGTTCCTTTAATATAGTACTAAGACCCCGTCAGTGACGGTATATACCTTGATGGCAGTTTTTATCATTACAGGCCCCTGTAGTTTCACTTACAGACAACAGCTGCTGATCGGGTTAAAAACTAGAAATTACTGAATATTTCCTGAAAAATAATACTCTTAGTTATTGGGGATGAAAAAACTGTCGACCTGCAGAAAAAAGCTGTGGGTCCGAGTGGTTTCCAGTCGGCTTGGGGCTTTAAGGACCGACGTTAATTTCGAAGGCTGGTTGTACGGACGTGATATGACAGCGTAGATATAACGTTGTGACAACCTGAAATTGTAAGCTGGGATGTCGTTTTGAACAGTGTTTTGTTACACCAGGTGATGGATACTCTTAGTTACACGGTGTTTTGAAAGGATGTACATGACTGTAAGACCCTTGTAAATTCCGTATTTCCTGAGGCGCAAAACAAACCTTAAGATCTTAGCTTATCTTTAAACAGCAACATTCAATATTAAATATGATACAACCAATTATTTCTTTGAAGCATTTTAACTTATGGGAGGGTCAATTCAATGTTTTATCTTTTTCTGATAACTGTTTGAGATAACAGCTATTGTTGCCTCAGTTATTTTGTTTACATTCATGCTAAAACCTAAAAACATGACCATTTATTGCACCATATACTTATAAACAGTCACATATGTGACGCCTAACTCTTTCCATTTCATAGCTGTTTTTAAGCAGAATTTATCACTAGATTTTCCAAAATCAGTATATTTGCCATGACAATTTGATTTAAAATGGAAACGTCACAATACATTTGAAGGAACACTCTTGTCCAAACTTCTCTGCTGATGCAATCATCCAAACCAAACTAGTTTACATGAAGACATAAAAAATATAATAAAAGAGCACAAGTTGAAACTGCCCTTTACTATATAATGATCCATTAGCATGTATCATTTTATCTCAAAACATATCTTATCATATAGCTAACAGGCTTCTGTTTAAGGATAATTTCTTGTCTCTTCCATCTCATACTTGATCAATTAGTTGACAAGTTCTCAGACTTCTTTTCTCAGAAGATTTCCACAATCAGAGAATCACTATCACATGATGACGTTCCACACAGTGACCCCCAACCAGCAGCTGCATTTCCATGCCTATCCCATTTCCGACCAACAACAGAAGCAGAGATTGTGAAACCTGTTTCTCAGTCACCGACAAAGTCTTGTATTCTTGACCCTATACGTACATGGCTTCTCAAAAACTCGCTGGATACCTTTGCCCCTATATTGACCTCTGTTGTCAATAAATCTCTTCAGGAGGGTGTGATGCTGGATACATTGAAACATGGAGTTGTAACTCCACACTAAAGAAGAAAAGTTTAGATCAAGAACTCTTATAAAATTATCGGCCTGTCACAAATTTACCATTCACCGCAAAGTTGATTGAACGTGTGGTCACAGCAGGATTCAAGGAACACGTGACCTTAAATGGGTGTTTCGAAGTTATGCAATCAGCATACCGGAATTTCCACTCCACGGAAACCGCACTCGTTAAATCACACAGTGACATCCTGAGAGCTGTTGACAAAGATGGTGCTGCAGTATTGGTTCTAATTGATCTGAGTAGTGCCTTCGATACTATTGACCATTCTATTCTGATGTCCACACTTGAGGCCAGGATGGGTATTAGAGGCACTGCTCTTCAGTGGTTTGAGTCCTACATATCAGGTAGACATCAGTCGGTGATCATTGATGGTCACATCTCCAGTCCTAAGAATCTTGCTTTCGGCGTGCCTCAAGGATCGGTTCTTGGACCTCTACTTTTCACCATTGACACATCTCCTCTACGTGATATCGTCAGATCCTTCAACCTTGAACTGCATTTATATGCTGACGACAATCAGATTTACATATCTTTCAAACCCATACTTTCTTCATCAGCCGTGTCATAAATTCTCACCATTGAAGAGTGTGTCAGCTGCATCAAAAACTGGATGTCGTCACACTATCTCAAACTGAATGATGATAAAACAGAAGTTATAGTTTTCCACCCTAAGCGTCTCCAAACCAGTATCTCTCTTCAAAAATTCAGAATCGGTCAGCGTGAGATTCAGCCAAAGCCTGAGGTGCGTAACTTAGGAGATATTTTTGATACCCCACTGTCCATGGAACCACACACCAATAACATCTGTAGAAGGGCGTACTGTCACATCAATAACATCTGTAGAAGGGCGTACTACCACATCAATAACATCTGTAGAAGGGCGTAGTGCCACATCAATAACATCTTTAGAAGGGCGTACTACCACATCAATAACATCTGTAGAAGGGCGTACTACCACATCAATAACATCTGTAGAAGGGCGTACTACCACATCAATAACATCTGTAGAAGGGCGTACTGCCACATCCGCAACATCGGCATGATTCGACGATACCTGGACGTCAAGACTACAGTATCTCTTATTCAGGCATATGTAACATCTCGTCTCGACTACTGTAATGCTCTTCTTGTGAGTCTCCCAAATCATCTTATACACAAGCTTCAGAAGGTACAGAATACTGCGGCCAGAGTGATCTCTCAGTCAAAGAAACCGGACCATATTACTCACATTCTTCACTCACTTCATTGGCTTCCCGTCCATTACCGCAAAAACATAAAACTCTTCTCCTTGTTTTCAAAAGTATCCTTGGTCTTGCTCCTCAGTATATCTGTGATCTGTTCCACCGTTATATACGCCTGCACGTTCCCTCCGATCAAATGACCAGTGTCTTTTGACAATTCCTGTGACTAGGACAAAAACATATGGTGACAGGTCACTCGAGGTGGCTGGCCATCATCTCTGGAACAATCTCCCATCTTAGCTGTTCTTAAATCAAATCTAAAGACTTGTCTCTTCACTGAAGCATTTGATCTCTATGTGATATCAATGCCATCTTTGAGCCAAAGCGCCTTTGGGCGGTTCACGGATATTAGCGTTATACAAGTATTTGTATGTATGTATGTTAACTATAAACTTCAACGAGAATAAAGAAGCCTCCCATCTAAACAAAGGACAAGTCACTGAACAAGTTTAATCCATTGTGATCAATGAGTGATGCTTATTGAAAAAAAAACGGTATTGATTCACGAACTCAATGTGGCTTTTGCGGCGATTCGCGGTACCGAAATTTGTACTTGAAAAGTGGCTTTAGGGGCAATTGGTATTTTTCAAATGTGGCTTTCCCAGGCGGACACCCAATATGGGCGGTGTGCTGTGTTGTCAAGGCCACCATTCTCCCAACCATGCCCTGGATGAACCCCCAATCCACGCTGCCAGGTTGCACCAGAACATGGAGACTCTTATAGTCCGTTTGCCTCAACAGCGGACCAATGAATTGCAATCTAACTCGAAAACTAATAAACATATAATACTCAATGAAACACTGATCATAATCAACACATCAGACCAACTCTGTGATTTTTTTTGCAGAACTTATGCCTTAAAAATAAAAAAGTTGTTTAACAAACTATCATCAACATATTGACACAGTTCACTGTTTGTTACGAGGGAGGAGTGCAAAGAAAGGGACAGCCAGGTGTGCGAGAAACAATGAAGACGGCACAGCACAGGTTGATGAATCTATAACTTTGTCGGCACTTGTGCACGTGCTTCTCGTACACCTGGCTGTTCCTCTCTTTGCACTCCTCCCTCGTAACAAATAGTGAACTGTGTCAAAATTTTAATGATAGTTTGTTCAACAACTCTTTTATTTTTAAGGCATAAATTCTGCAAAAAAATCACAGAGTTGGTCTGGTGTTTTCATTATGATCAGTGTTTCATTGAGTATTATATGGTTATTAGTTTTCGAGTTAGATTGCAATTCATCGGTCGCTTTTGAGGCAAACAGACTATAGTAGTGGACTCCTTGTGGAGTTGCAGAACTGGCTGCAAACCAGCACGAGGTTGACTCACACAGAAGTAATAATTACCAGAAACTTTCCTGTAGGACCCCTCCCCCTCCCCTTTAACAGCCAATGTGTCTCTTTACATTGATCATTCCCACATTCTAAAAATCAAAAGTTTTCACAAAGTTTATTATTTCTAATGAATATAGAATAGATTTACTGTGTCCTTGTACTTTCTTTTGCCTTCTGCTTTACATGATTTGCAAGAACACACAAACACAAAACATGTTTCATCTATTATGGAAATTTATTAATTCATGTTTATGGAAAGAAGAATATACATAAGATTCATGGCACACAAAATAATTGTAAGATCTAAATTTCAAAAACGTATGTCATACTTCATGCATTCAAACTAGCATACAAAATAATTATGGAATAGTGTGATATTGCCCCATGAATACTCAATTACATGTACCCTGAATGATATGGTAATTCCTTTTTACACTGGGATGTTTATTGCATATTCACTAATTGGTTACTATGTTCCATGTGAAATATAACACACACAAATATTTAACGTACACCCATTTCTTTCCTATTACTATGTTAATCTGTCAGAGCATGTCTGATTAACTACAGTAAGATTAACCAATCAGGTGCTCTTGAAATTTGTTGAGTAGTATATATATGCAATAAAACCCTGCCCATGTTTGGCATAACAGTGGATAAATCTAGGAGACAGCAGTTTAATAGTAAAATGTCATTCTTGTATTGCATTGTGTCTTATTTTTGATAGGTTATTACACTTGGAAACAGTGGTATTATCACTTTATTGCATTTTATTCACAAAATAAAATCACAAATCATTACTGAATATTCATGGTTACACATTTTCCACTCTGTAAAAAGCAACTGTAACAATGGTAAGGGTATTGGATCTCAAAATAATGACCTGATTCAAACAAGGCAATTTGATAAAAGCAGTACCACAGATAAGTGAGTTTATTTAAATTGCCTTCAGCATGTATTCTTTTCAAACAGAGTTTCTGTTACATACTGAACCCCAAAAATAAGGCATCATTAACATTTTTGAGGATGCTTTTTGTTGTGAAGACTGAGCACAAAGTTTGATATAATACATATGACCCGTGAAGATCCGGGTTGGAATTGATCTTCAGGAACCCAAGCTTGTTGTAAGAGGCTATTGGGTGGTCAGGCTCGCTGACTTGGTTGACACGTCCCAAATGGGTAGATCGATACCCATGCTGTTGATCAGTGGATTGTCTGGTCCAGACTTGTTTATTTACAGACGCCACCATATAGCTGGAATATTGCTGAATGCGGCATAAAACTAAACTCACTGAATCATATAATAGATCATCCCAAATATATAATATATAAAATCCCATTTTGCTGAAGCACAAGTGGATGCTGGGCCAGCTACCATAAATCCTTGAATAGATGCCCATCACCTAGGTATTTCAGACCTCTTACACTTAAACACCTATTCAAGAAATCTATTTGTTTAACACAAAAACTATTAACGTCCATAGGGGATGTTCTAAAGTATACTGTATACCTCACATATGGTAATAATAAACTATCTGTGACATCATAAATGTAATATTGCCCCGAATCACCATCCCTATATCTTTACAGCCCTACCTGTGATACCGTTACCTTCAGTTACTACTAACAACAATTATGCATGTACAGTATATATAATCTGTCACTATCTACCATCTAGACAGAAAATGTATAACCCTGGAATCAACTGTACAGGTCACTGATTCCCTGAACTAACGATTGTCATGCTATACCATGTATATATTATTGAGATTTACAGGATTTTCTAACAACCACTTCAAACCAAACTGTTCAACATAGTTCCTTCGGTAGGGATGCACAGTATACCCCGGCATTAGTAGAACCGCGCTATTTTGCCTCCGGTTCGGTATACCGTAATGCAATAAAAAAATTCCGTATTTTGGGGTTTTGTACCATCATTATATTAACCTTTTTAAACCTTTTCTAAAATGTCTAGAAATTGTATCATTTTATGCATTTCTTTGCTGGATGGCTGCTATTTTCCCGGAAGTAAGTTCTCATATACCGAACCAAAGGTCTTGTACCGCAATACGTACCTTATTGTGGTAAGAGCGTTTCACCCCTATCCTTCGGAAGCTGTTAATCAATGCAATCCCATAAAATCATATCTTTCACTCCAATACAAGACAGTTCTGTGCTATGATCTGAGGACCCCTCCATAGAAGAAACCAGAAGGTGAACAGTGAGAGCACTCTGACCATCCAACCTCAAAAAGCTCTTGAGCCATTCAGCAATCAGCTGTTAATAATATGACTTTATTTATTATCAACCTGGATTCTGAAATTGCAAACTATGCAAATGAAACTCCACACCAAACAAAAACACTCCTCAGGTAGTCTGTTTTGGGTGTACATGCCATGGGACTCAGAAAGTGAGTGAGTGAGTTTAGTTTTGCACCGCTTTTACCAATATTTCAGCAATATCAAGGTGGGGAACACCAGAAATGGGATCCACACACTGTACCCATGTGGGGAACTGAACCTGGGTCTTCAGTGTGACAAGCTAATGCCTTAATCACTAGGCTACTCCACCGCTCCAAGACAATGTTAAAATATTCACTGAACTGTCTACTTTGGGAACTTTTCATTTTAGTGGGTTTTTTTATACAGCAATTACATTTGCTTGTTTAAATGCTTTAATCATTTGTAGTGAGAGTTAAACAGTCTCCACACTGATTGCTTCTGACGAAGTTCCCCTGATACAAACTACCAAGACATGGGCTCAGATCTTCATGCACGGCGTTAGAGTATTAGAGAAAAAAATATGATCTTATTGAGAATGTATATCAACACATCATTTCCTGACACTTTTCTCATTTCAAAAATAATATTTGTGATGCATAAACTATAGATCTCATTACCAAAGTATTCTTCAAACAACCTTCTCTGAATAAATGTTTGAGCATCTCTGCATGGAGCTATTAATCTTGTTTCAGTTTCAAAGAATGGTTTCTCTTTCTAAAAATTCAGAATCTTTGACAACTTACCTTGTCACAACTAATATCCAAATCAATCACTTCACACCCATTGTGAATTTCAATATTCTACCCACATAGTGTTACACCTAGTAACTAGATATACATATGTACACAATACCTGGGCTAAAATGGCAGGCCTGCAAAGGTGAGCTGTTTCTTACGCTTCTTACGTTCTTTTTGCAACATTTATTTTTCACTTAATTTAAAATCTCCTGACAACACCAGCCTATACTTAACCAGACACATTACAAAATAGTTTGTGATAGCAGATTTGACATAAGTCAGCATCTTCTGCCAAACCTGTACCCCACAAAGGGAAAGTTGATGGATTATGTATAAAATACAGAACATGCCCTACCTTATCTCCAACATCAAACACCTAGTGATGTGACTGTGTACAGCTACAGTAAATTAACAACATGCGGCTTATAAAGCTGCTCTGTCTGCTGAATTCCCTACCTGTGATGAGTATGGCTATACAGGTTCACAGGATACAGGCTATACAGGTGCACAGAGCTCTTATCCTTCTTTCTTGTTTACAGATTGAACTTATGAGGGTTTTCATAAATGTGAACATGTCTCATCATCTTCATCATGCTTGGTGTGTTCATCTTTATCATAGTGTCATCTTTATCATGTTTGTGGTGTCCATCTTAATAGTGTTTGTGGAGTTCATCTTTATCATGGTGCCATCTTTATCATGTTTGTGGTGTCTATCTTTATCATGTTTGTGGTGTCCATCTTTATCATGATTGTGGTGTCTATCTTTATCATGTTTGTGGTGTTATCTTTATCATGGTGTCACCTTTATCATGTTTGTGGTGTCCAACTTTGACGTTTGTGGTGACCATCTTTATCGTGTTTGTGGTGTCCATCTTTATCGTGTTCATGGTGTCCAACTTTATGTTTGTGGCATCTATCTTTATCATGTTTGTGGTGTCTATCTTTTCTTTATCATGTTTGTGGTGTCATCTTTATCATGTTTGTGGTGTCTATCATTATCAGTAATGACTAATTGTTCTTTTGGGACATGTCATCGGAGAGAGTTACTAGAAGGTAACAAAACAGTGTCTTCCTTTCATATAATTTTTGACTCAAGAAAACATAAAACCATAACTTTAGTAATTAGACTGTAAAACTCGGTCCAAGCAAAACAATGGAGCAACAACGTATCTATCATTTAACATGTGACATACAAAGTCATCCTGTCAAATATCTAAACATTTACATAATGTGTCTTCATGTGAGAATCTAAGGTGGTGCTCCATAGGTATTCCTCACCACAGATGAAACACTTGAACGGCTTCGCACCATCATGGCGCCTCATGTGCATGTCCAATGTCACCCGCTTCGTGAACTTTTTCCCACACTTCTTACAGTCAAAGAACTCCCTGGTTGAGTGGAAGTTGGTGTGGTGCTCCAACAGGCTCTTGGTGGAGAAGGACAGATCACAGTGCTGACATTTGTAGGGTTTTTCAATGAAGTGGGATTGGATGTGAGTGTCCAGGTCCTCCTTGTTGGTGTACTCCTCCCCACAGATACCGCACTTGAACTCATTACCCTCCTGGTGACCCACGGCATGTTCCATCAATCCTCTCCGTCCTCCGAACTGCTTGCCACACAAGGTGCAGCGGTAGGGGTTCATGACGTCATGCTTCTGCATGTGTCTGCGGTAGGCACTGTTTTCTTCATAGTTCATACCGCAGACAGTGCATCTGTATGGATTCTCGTCCGTATGCTTACGGTGATGTCGCTTCAGACGGACTTCTGTTGGGAACTTCTTACTACACACTGTGCACACAAATGTTTTCTCAGTATGACTCTCCATATGCTTGGTGTATTGGCTTCTACGTGCAAACTTTTTGTCACAGACTTCACAAGAATAAGGAGTTTCTCCAGTGTGATGACGCACATGCATGTTGAGAGCTGAACTTTGTCGGAAACACTTGCCACACATTTCACACTGGTACGGTTTTTCCCCAGTGTGGACCCTCATGTGGATCCGCAGTGGTGGTAGGGTCCGGAATGTTTTCCCACAGACATTACACAGGTGGGGCTTAATGTTTGTGTGGATCTTCTGATGCTCCAACACACCACGTCGCGAAGAAAACTGCTTCTCACAGATCGGGCACTTAAGGTCCTGAGTAGTTCTTTTAACATAGAACTGTTTCGATAATGTATATGGACTATAGTTTGTTTGGTCAAAGTGTTTACCACAGTTGAAACAATCAACCATCTCCGTTGAGCTGTAGATCTTGATTTTACTCTCACACTGATCACACTGAAAGAGACGATAGTAGCGATGATTCTGACGACGATGTTTCTGCAGTTCATTTTTAGAACCAAACAGCTTCTTACAAGTACTACACTTCCATTTATAGGGATTTTCGTCTACTTGAGTTCCGATTGTCTTCACCACTTTTGGTTCTTCTGACTTTGGTTCCTCTGGTGTGGCATCAACAATGTCTCCACCTTCAACAACAGGCTCATCTACTTTTGCTGCAACATCTTCTCCCTCATTCAACTTCTTCAGTTTCTTTAACTTCTTCTTCTTCTTGTCCTTCAATTTCTTTTTCTTCTTTTCTTCAACGGGCTTTGGCTTGAAGGAGCATTCCTTACAAGCATTTAAGTAGGTTACTTTTCCATCTTCAATTTTTGCGATTACAGACATTATTTTCTCCACATGTTTCATGCATACCTGACATATGTCTTCTGGAGTTTTAACCTTAGGTATAACTATAGGAGGAGCTGGGATTTCAGGGACTGGAACTGGTGGTAATGGCTCTGGTTGAACTTCACCCCTCCCTGCAGCAATCTGTGAGTTCTCCCGAGCTAAACAAGCATTACAAGTATCAAAGAACACACTCTTACCATCCTCTCCAATCTTAAACAACACCGACTTATCTGGTTCTACAAGCTCCTTTGCACAGAAGTGACAAGCCTTGACCTTTGGTTTTCTGCCACTACCTTTCTTTCGTATCTTCGGCATCTGAAGAGTTACGTTGTCCAACATCACTTGGTTTACCTGCCCATCATCTTCCTTTCCTGTTCGTAGAACTGTCATCTTTTTCTTCTTCTTCTGAGATTTATCTTCCTCCACTTCTTTCTGGAATGGGTCCGTGTTGTAGTCGGAATGAAACTGAGCCCTGAGTTCCGTCAGTTGACAGTTGTCGATGGTCTGGGTGACAACCGCAGGCTGAGGAAGGGTGTTCAATGTATTCACAGAGTTGAGAGTGTTAATAGTGGCACTAAAAGAGTTCACTGGATTGTTCACTTGTGGTAGAATGTTGGTATTGCTTGCATTGATATTGAGATTAACATTACTAAGTTGAACTGTCTGGTATGTTGTCATGCTGTCCTGCATGTTATCGGGTGTCATTATCATCAGCGCAGCTTTGTAAGCCTCAGATGATTGATAGTTCACATTCTCTCTTTGGGGCTGCATCATATTTCTGGAATACCCATGATCCTTTGCTTGAGTCACCATGGTATTCCCAGGATGTTGCTGCATTGACCCTCCGTTCATGGACATTTGGGCATAGCTGCAACTCTGCCCTGGAAGTGTGGGTTGCATAGCTGTCCGTGGAATTCCCATAGTCCGTGGCACTCCCATACTCTCCTGCTGTGTCTGCATGCAGATGTTACCCAGCATCTGTAGCCCGTCCCCCATGTCCATCCCCGTGGGAACCATGTGTACTGGCCTCATGCCCCCAATGTTTCCCATGGGGGGAGGAGCATGGATGTTTGGAGGGGCTAGATGCTGGGCCTGGCTGGCTTGAGGCATGGGGATGTGACCTCCCATGTTCATAGTGTTATGATGAGAGACTGGGGTGTGCTGGACTTGCCGCACCTGCGCCTGATTCAAGTTGGGAATGTAGTACTGGAAGTCCTCGGTGACCACCAGCACATTCTCATTGTTATCTGGCATTGGCAGATCCATTGTGGGGATCTTCAGTGATCAAACGTGCAGAGCTTCAAACTGAAACATAGATACAGAAAGCATGAAGACTTTGCCAACACTTGTTGAATCTGAAAACTCTCTAATCATTTTCAATATGCCATGTGACAATGATACCTTCATTAGCTTGTGTAAATTCCAACCTTGAATAAAGTTTACAGTGAAAAGAAATCTTATCAAAAGTAGATCATAATTCATGTTACAGCCAAAGACACTGTACCTAAGGTGATGCTGGTAACATGCGTTACCAGCATCCCAACATGGCGGCAGGTAAGATCGATTGGCGATTATTTCCCTCGAATTAGCAGTCTTCCACTTGTATACAATCAAAATTATTGAACACACTGATAAACCTTGATGGTGCAAATACATTCAATGCAATGAATTTGCTTATTAATGTCTATGTGTTGAAGAATAAGCATTTTTAAAATCGAGCGAGGATGTCGATAACTCAACCGATAACCAGACTTTGAGTTACCGACAGCCTCGCTCGATTTTAATAATACATATTCTTCACCACATAAATAATTTTGATTGTATACACGTGGAAAACTGCTAATTCGAGGGAAATAATCGCCAAGCGATCTTACCTGCCGCCATGTTGGGATGCTGGTAATGCACGTTACCAGCATCACCTTAGGTACAGTGAAAGGAAGACCAGAGGTCATTCCATCACAGGTGACATCAGAATGACTTTTCATAAGACCAATTATAGTCTCTCTTATCAGATCAGGACAAAGACAGTCTGAATGTGTTCTCTAATTGTCAGCTTCAGAAAAGTGTTTTGAATGTCATAGTTACTAGCTGTAAGACTGAATCCACTCAGACAGTGTTCACGAATAGTGTCTGACCCTCTGACAAATCCGGCAGATTCGCCAACGGTCAGACAGAAGTCTACAACCCGCCGGCCCCAGTGTCTGACTGTATATTTCACAATGACTTTGACTGAAGTTGTTTTATGTGACATGTGACACTTGTTTGCTGTTTATAAATCTTATGTTTGTTAATAATTTCAATGTCAATTATAAGAAATATTAAATCTGAAATGTTTGTTTAATTTTATTCCATGGGTCCTGTGCATTTTCAATGGGTCAGACAGACATCTGAAACTTACAGGACCCAATGTCCTGTGACTTTGAAACACCATTCGTGAACACTGCTCAGAGCAGAAATGTACCTATTTTACAGAAAATCATTGTTTGTGCAGAAGTCTGCCACAGAATTAGTCACAGTCACTGTATAAATTGAACATATGACTCAAAAGCTGGTTTTAAATGTATAAAAAGTGCATAGGTTAAATGGAATGAAGTTATGATGTGAATTGTGCATTGTGTAAAATCATAACAGACGAGAAGACATTATCATCAATATCCCCCGCCACAGTGTTCTATTCCTGTTTGGTTCCTGTTTTTTAACTCCACCATGACATTCATGTCCTGAAAACACATACCATAAATAACGGTTTCTGAGAAAATCTGTCCCCATTGGAGATACCATGTACCAAATCAAGAAATGTATGACAAGCACCATAACTCTGTAACAAATTGTAACATGGTTTCCATTTTCGAACTCCCTCAAGGCATTCATGTCTTGAACACACCTACCAAATTTGGTTTCCCTATCTATAACGGTTTCTGAGAAAATCTGTCCCCATCATCTCTGACGGATGGACGGACTGAGCTCAAACCTTTAGAATACCCCTCCCACTTTGTGGCAGGGGGAAATAACTAGGAAAGTTTGTGTTCGATGGAAGAAGTTAAAGAGATAAAATTACAAACCATTTTTAAACAGTTTATGCTATGACAAATTATTAAATTCCTGAATTTGTTCTGAAGTCAAATCGAATTATGATCACGTTTTTGTTCACCAGAAAAGTGTCTGTATTTTTACACTAGTAATCTCTATCTTAAACTATTCTAGCCTTGACTGATCATACATATGCCTGCCAAAGTGAAACTGGTGCAAAACTGTTGAAAATACCAAAAAAAAGTCTACAAATTTGCAGAATTATCAAAATTTGTCAGAAGGATGTTTTTCTAAATTGTCACCAGAATCTTATTTAATAATATTTTCTGCCTGGGGACAGGAACAGAACAGCCATAATCGTGATAACACAACTGATAAAACATTCCTTTAAAGAATTAATTGCAACAATAACTGTGTTAGGATGGAAAATATATCCTTTTACAATTTTGCTTAAGCTAAGCAATCAGCTGTGTATGTGAAATACAAATTTCTTTTGAGTGCCTTGTTTCCTCATTAAAGAAGTTAGTGTCAAGTGAAATATAAAACAACAGAACGTGCCAGTGCCCTTCGTTTATAGTCAAGCGATATACAGAACCACAATCACATAATACTAGAACGTTTCAAGCTATTATCATGATTATTGTCTGTATTACACGGATGAAAGAGTAGCTGTTTGGTTCCGTGAACGGTATATTTATTCCCACCACGAGTTATCTGCCCTTGCTGGCGATTGCGATACTATATAAACAGATTTTATAAGTAACAAATTCAATCTACATACACTGTAACCACGAGGTTGTCATCAGAGTGTAGTAGAAAATATCAAAATCCAAATACACTCGATCAAACATGTCACAAATTATTAACCTTTGAGCATTGGAATAAAGAACTGTACTAATATGTTACATTTCGTCCAAAAAGAACTCCTTTAAATCCATTTCTAACGGTAATTAATCACTTACTCATGTGTAAGTATCTTGTGTGCTGTAGTTTGATAGCCGTGGCGTGTCACTGCCTGCGGGTATGTACATTTCAGTGCAATACATCCGGATATTTGACAAGAAAACCTTTGATTCTGACAAGCACCTGTCTGGACAGCATTATACAGGTGGCGCAGTTTCAGGAGGAGGTAACTCCTACGTTTTAGGAAGACGATTCAGTTTGGTGGTTGAGCGCATGCCTTCTAAAGCAAGGGTTTCACCCGTTTTGTGCTGATTAAATAAGCTAATGGTACAAATCAAATATGGTCATACACATGATGCAAACCACTCTCACATATGCAAATCCTTTGGTCAGGAATTCCTTTTTACTGGACAAATTTACTGGACTTCTAAACAAATTGAATAGCGAAAGAGGTATATAAATACAAGAAAAGTGGAAGTAATGCAAAATCCGCTAATCTGAGATATGTTTCAAAACATCTAAATGTAAATAAGGGGTTCTCAACACATCGAATTATGACGAATCCATATTTTCACCTATGACTACTTATCATTGTGATGAATAAATGAAAAGAAAAACAATAGAAATGAAATTTCATTTAAGAGTTCAGCTTACCACTGCCATTTGTATCTCGCCAAAATAAAATCGTACGCTTCGATTCAATACGCGCTGGTTGAATTTCTTGATGCATTTATTATCCAGATACTGAAGTCATTTCTCTCAAGTTCGAGGTAGTTCATTAATAACATATCTGTTCACTTGTAAGTATATGATTCCTCACTTGAATTAAAATTTCCCTATGTCATCTTCACTTGAATTGAAATGTTCCTATGTCAAACCTATACGTGGTGTCCCCAGCATAATAGGTCTTGAATGATGTTCAAAGTGGATTAGGGGCGGTTTGGTGGCCCAGTGGTTAAAGCGTTAGCTTCTCACGCCGAAGACCCGGGTTCGATGCCCCCACATGGGTACAATGTGTGAAGCCCATTTCTGGTGTCCCCCGCTGTGATATTGTTGGAATATTGTTAAAAGCGGCGTAAAACCCAACTCACTTACTCAATCACTCAAAAGTGGATTAAAACGTATCTCCGATAACACGGTAATCTGGCACACTGACCCCAAAACAAATATATCCAAAAGCCCATGCACGTCTATCATATTTGTCAAGTCGATCTATATTAATGCAGTTTCGAGAATAAAGTAAGCCAAATATATTATATTCCATATACTGTTTTCTACTGTAAAATATGTTCATTTAAGTTCAAATCTGGTAAAAGAAGTATAGTCTGGGAAGCGGCTGTAAAATATCCCGTTACTGCCTCGAACCCGCGCAAGACCCGCGGTGGATTCGTAGACGTTATTAAAATGGGAAAAGTTTAACCTCAATGATGATGAAAATCGACGAAAAGTGTTTGCATTTTGTTAAATAAATAAAATATATCAGGTAAGTATGATCGGCGGTGAAAATATGCTTAAAATAATAAAATAATATAATATGCTTCACAGCGGTCCACGTCCGACAAATTGGTGTAAAATTAAAAGATATGTATTAGGTAAGTATCGTTATTCAACATTCAACTACGCAGACCAGCAGAGAAGTAGCAGAAAACACTTCTTAAGAAACGCATCTCCTACACAGAGTATTTCGCAATCAAAATCACAACAACTCAGGGAAACCTGTTAATCCTCCCACAACAATGAAAACAGTCGGGAAATTATGATGAGTAGACTAATTTTGTCCTTATCATCAGCCTTATCATCGTCGACGAACCCTACATCTCCTTATCATCATTTTCGTTATACACATTCTAAGTAAAAATCAAACTTAATATATACTATTATTCAATTATTAATACACGTCTACGAAATCACCGTCTACGAACCAGTCTGGGTTACGAATCCATCGCGTCTACGAACTGGTTTAGTCTACGAAATCACCGTATCCCTATCGGAGGATAAACAATGTGGCTCGTCGTTATATTATTCATTTATTGTGGTAATATAATGTACTTTTTAAAGACAAAATCGTTTCTGTTTAGTTTACCTGAAACGGCTAGCTAATGCTCAAGAAATGAATTTATTCTGTGTAATATTTGATGGGGGCAATATAAAGATCAATGTAGAAATCTTCATCGGTATTGGAATACGTATACATTAATAGCAAACTGTCTACCGACTGCTTTACTTTATGTAATGTTCTTAAACAAATTGCTGTACGATGTACTAAAAGTTTTGATAGAGGTGAATAAATATGAATATATAATTAACATAAAAGTAAGAAACTTGCCTTTGTTTCCAATCTGATTATGATGCCATACCGAGGCACCCCGACTGTAATACGAACTATCATCCATACCTCGTATTACGTTTTTTTTTACACTTAAGAAACATTCGTTGACATCTTTTAATCAGTTGAACGACTATAAAACATCTCACAAACTTAAAAGAGATCATATACCCAAACCGTCATTCAATAATTTACAATGCGACGCAACACCCCTCATTTCAGCACAAGTAAGCACTGCCGTACGACAACGTATAATGTCCGAAAACCTATGATCCGACGATAGCTACTACTACTACTACTGCTGCTGCTGCTACTACTGTTACTGTTACTGCAGTTGTCATTGTTGTTGTTGTTGTTGATGATGACGATGATAATGATGATGATGGTGGTGGTAGTTGTGGCGGCGGTGGTTTGGGAGGAAATGAGTGTTGTCAACGGAAAAAAATATAATCTATGAATTATCCTCGATAGTAATTATACTGCAGAAACGAGCCAGTTTTTTCCGATTTTTTTCATCTCAAATTTGAAAGAACGTGCATTTACTACTGATTATATCAAGGTAAACATGTTGGATTTTACAAGTTTAGGTCAATGTAAGTGGATTAAAGATTTAGAAGATTTGAACCTCTGATATGAGCAATAAAACATTCCAAAAAGTAACAACCGTGAAATTACAGTTACCTCCCTTAGACCATCTGGAGCTCTACTTAAGGCAACAGGTGTGTCCAAGTTGCAAGAAGTAGAGCATAGATCTGCATCTCTCAAAAAAGTCTAAGTAACGACAGTAAGTGTGTTTTATTGGATTAGTACAAACTAGTTTTTCAGCTTTTTAATACTTTTTAACGACCCGAAGTAAATCATGCACGGACGATAATGTGACATTTGACACCCGTTGGCGTTTAGTTTTAAACAGTTCTGGTCCATTGCCAATATTGACAGAAAATGGCTGCATGGAATCAAAATGTCACCGGCACTGTGCATTTTTGTAGGTTTACTTGTGGATCCCCTTTTCAGACACTTCGTCTCCATCTATGTACCCTGTCTTTTTCAAAACGCTGGATCAACATCAGAAATCTGAACACTTGACAAACGCTTCCCATATGAGCATTCGGTGTAAGTCAGAAAAAGTAGCCCGTGCATTTTTATCCAGGGGACAAATCATTACAGTATCCTTATACAGTTTCACAGCTTCAACCCATTCACATATCCATCTAAGGTATGTTAATATTGAATTATGGGTATTACTTTTCATGATACTAACATCTACTTATTCACAGTTCTTGTGCATAAAAAGGCTTTGGTTTCATATGTAAGTTATTGTTGGAACAAAGAGGAAACTAATTATTACAGATTCGTACATCTGGTGAACTGAACAACCCATTCCGTGGAGATTCGTACCCAGCAATATTTTTGTTCAAACTTGTACTCAAATATTGGACGACCCATACCCCCTGTACCTATCCAAATGGATCACTTGTACCCCAAAAAAGCCAATCATTGTGAAAATATATAGAGGATATTATATGAGTGCCCATGTCATACTTTGTTTACGACACGAGTGCCCAAATGTTGGCATTTCCCGGGCGAGAGCGAGGGATATACCGATCTTTAGGCACGAGTGTCATAAACATAGTATGATATGGGCAAGAATATATTACCGAAGTCGTCAAATTGAGGAAAATAACCCAAATCTACTTTCAAACATAGGCTGTCTACCTGCCTTCGCTGCATGTAGAAGGCAACGTCACAGAAGAAACGTGACGTCATAGCATTGTTCATGACGTCACGTCACCATGACAAAGTGATATTTTGCCCTAGGGCATCGTATGAAAAATATGAACCCAGATATGTTCGCCCTCGTAGGTAATAAATCTTTATTACTCACCCGTTGAAGATATCACTGTTTAATAAATCTACAATGATATTAAACATTTAGTAATAACATCGTGTGATGCCGGACGTATGACGTCATAATTGTTTACAGTTATGACCTCACAATGCTAATGCCTCTTGTCACAATGGCATTAGACCTTGCCTGGCTCATGGAAAGCTGAGAGTCATCACATTGTAGGACATTTCTATCAATTTATGTTGGAGAGTAATAAACAGAATACTAAACTAGCTTCCGTAAAATACCATTTTTTATAAAATTCATGAAAGATTTAGTATCAAACTCACTTTTGCTCGTTTGATACCAAATCATTAACTCATTTAATGAAAATATCTATTGAACTGCAGCATATCGAGTACATGGACTAAACTTGATCGAAACGAGTGGCTTTCTCAACTGAGACTTCGTTTGATTTCTGCTTCTAGTAACACGTGTTGTACATTCACCTTTATGTTCTCTCACGGACTTCCAAGCCTACCTTTTTTATATGCCAAAACAACTGCCAAATATAGCGCACAGATGTATATGTTTAAGAAATACAGTTCAGTTAACCCCCATGTATAGTGTAATAGAGTAAAGCTTTGCCGTGAACTATTATAGTTAAATCATGAAGATGATTCCGTTCGAGTGCTTAATGTTGTAATAGTTCAGGGAAAGCTGTACTTACATGAGTATGAAGCGAAATATAATTCTTTTGTACGATGCCAAATTATATACTTGAGGACAATTCATCTAAAGCACAAAGCAATAAGAAAAACAATGTTGTGGGTTACCTACATTAACAATTGTTCAGGGCTAACTGACATGCTGTTCTATGAATGTGTCTGCACCCCTACACAAAACCACGAAAACAAATGATACAAAGTTTCAACATGATCTCTTTATTATTTCAATTACATTTATGATTTTCGTAAACCACATGGGACAATATGAATGTCACATTTTAAATGCCAGTATGTTTAGATCAATACACCCAGATGAAGCTGACTAGTCATGTGACATTCTACTGATGCATTGTGGGACTGTGGACATAGGTCTAGTTAGCAACCATTGCTGCGTTACTGTTTAATTGTGCATCAAGCTGAGGCATTTTTTTCATCGAAAACGTAATGTTTCCATCTGTGATGTTCCATTAGCAACTGCAAACCATGAAACGCGCTGTAAGAGATTGTACATGGCAATGGCAACTGACGTTCATCATGATGTCGGTTACCAAAGGGTATATATATATGTTGTTTGATTATTTGGGGGCAGACTAGAATGGCTCAGTGATGTCATTTCAGTGTGCCATAATGCAAAAACATACTTTATGCCTGATAAAGTACTGTAGGTGCCTTTGGTCTTTTAGGGAATCATCTTAGAAGACACTATCAAAAACATCTCACCGCATATGTGGAATCGGTAAATATCTGAAACTCTTTGCTTCATGTTTCCATATACAATGTAGTTGTTTTAATTTGTAAATTGTTATTAATATTTCTTTTAGACAATATAAATGAATGAAAATATGCATACATATATAAGAGTAAATACATAGATATCTATGTCCATCCATCCATCCATCCATCCATCCATCCAAACTACTTGATGACTGAGTCACCAAATCATCCACAGCTGGGTATGAGTCAACCAAATTTGGATATGAGGCATCTAAATATGTGTACGGGTCAACCCAAAAAGGTACAAATGCTATACTGACTGACTGACTGAGTTTGGTTTTACGCCGCTTTTAGCAATATTCCAGCAACATCACGGCTGGGGACACGAGAAATGGGCTTCACACATTGTACCCATGTGGGGATTCGAACCCGGGTCTTCGTGTGGTCGAGCCAACGCTTAAACCACTAGGCTACCCCACCACCCCTCACATGCTATAAAATAAGTATGAAAATAATGAGAATATTAGGTATGAGTTAGCCATAAATGTCTGTGGATACGGATAGTCTAGTATCCATTGATGAAATGTATAGTATGTTAGTATGTTCAGAAAACTAAAGTATCTATTTGAGTATAGGTTTTTGTAGGAGATAATGTTATCCAAATTTTTTCTGAAGTAAATGGTTTTCCTAGAAGATATCTCCTTGGTGAGATCAAGCACAGGAATACAAAGTTATACATGTACTCAGGAAAATGTTGGCTTGTTGATAACATGGCTCAATAAGTGAGTGTTTTTGTGTGGGCACAGCTGTGTTTTCAAGTAGATGAATGAGGAGATATCAATACAATTGCATCACAATGGTTTTCAGATCACTGTGACATCATCTGGTTGTTACCATTTATCTCAATTCAGTGAAGCTGAAGTTGCTTACCTTTACATTTTACACTTGAGACACTGGTAACCATTGTTTACAAACTGAAAACAAGTTCAAAGAATAATTTTGGGTAATAAATAAAATCTCATCTTCACATATTAAACCTGTATCGACTTGTCTTTATGTATTTGACATCAAAAGACAGTTGGGTCAGATTCTGTTGTGTACCTACATGCAAAACACGTCCTTCATTCAGAAAGGCTCGCTGACTTGGTTGACACATGTCATCGTATCCCAATTGAGTTGATCAACGCTCATGCTGTTATTCACTGGATTGTCTGGCCCAGACTCGATTATTTACAGACCACTTCCATATAACTGGAATATTGCTGAGTGCAGTGTAAAACTAAACTCACTCACTCATTGTGAATACTCTGTATGAAAGTCAAAATAGTATTTTGTTATCTACTGCCACAGGCTGCCATGTCACATATTGAGTGATTCAGGGTCTCAATAGGGATCATTTTCCAGGACATTGATTTTTATCCAAAATGTCAAAAGTCCAATGTCAAATAGATAGAGGTAAAGTTCATTTAGAAATTAGTTAAATCTTTGAAATATTCAAGAATGTACTAATGACTTCGATCCCTGATGTTGCGTCAAACATTTGTGTTAAATAGATAAATAGTGGAAATTCTGAACAAAATATTTTTGCTACAGATCAACCATCCCCAAATATCCCTTATGTTTTGATCAATATCCTGGGCACATTTGCCACAGTGGCTTTATTCAAGGCCCATTCAAAGTGTTTGATGCTAAAGTTAGCCATCCAAACAAATTACTCTTCCAAGCAAGAGAAATTATATATTAAATTTCTTCTTAAATGTACAGTGGCAAATATGTTTGTGGTATTTATCATAAGATAATCTAGATTTAATGCATTGCAGGAATGGAAATAGTGCTTCATTTGCATGCCATGGCATAGTAATTCTTGAAATAGCACGAATGAAATATTTTCAATGTGCCCTGGTGGCACAATTGAAATTATAAAAATAATATACAACATGATTCATTTAAGGGAAAATGCAATAAATTTGACCAACTGAAATGATTCAAAACCATAATTTATGCACCCGCTTCAACTGTTTATCTGTGGCACTCTCAATCTCGCAGCTAAATATGGGCATGGCCATTTTCAATGCCAGTGCCCATAACAGGAAATCCCATTTTGAATGATAACATAGTTCGTGAGTTAGTTTATGGGTCCAGGACAACTGAAGCTGAAATATTCTTGCAGTCATGATAGTGTTTAGGAAATCCAGCTCACAAGTTTAGAAGTTGATATGATGTTTACTGATTTATTGAACAATAGATTGAAATGACAGAATTGTTGGGATGTTGGAAGCTTAGTTGGATCATGGGCATGATTATTTTCACAAAGGCACGTCTAAATTATCTGTCTGGTGCCCTATGGCACCCATAAAAAATTGCAATTCTATCTCTGCAATACTTAATCTAGGATGCTCCAAAAAGCATATGGAGGATTTAATTATCAAGATAATAGTGGTCAGTAATTATGTAATTTTAGTCTGTTGTCAAGATTTAGGGTGACCTGGCTGGCTGTGTGTCATGGATTGGTGCTCATTCCGTCAGTCACTGGTGTGTCTGTTCCGGGCCTGACCTAGCTATGATGATCTACTTAAAAAAGTATCATAACTTTTTCCTTACTCCTAATAAATACTTGTCCATTGCATGATTCTGACCTAATTATAAGCGTGTGTTTATGAAAAGCATGATGATGATATCAGGTGTTTGCAAAACGGTGAGCATATCCGGCCCAACAAGTGGCACCCATCACAAACACCTATAAAGTCAAATCAATCATTCACTGAAAATGAATGGGAACATGTAGTACAAGTAAAAATCGGGACTAGCTTCAGACATGATTTTGGTTATTGATGCATGAAATAAGAGAATGTCCACCCCATAAAATGATTTTAAAGCTTTACTGAACATGTTGAGTGAGTGAGTGAATTTAGCATTACGCCACTTTTAGCAATATTTAGCAATATCATGGCAGGGGACTCCAGAAAGGGTCTTCACACATCTTGTGGGGAATCGAACCTGGATCTTCAGTGTGATGAGCGAATGCTAACCGCTAGGCTACCCCACCACGCCCTGAACATGTTAAACGTTGTAACCCTGATGAAACAACATTTGAGCAAGAGTTGTATGATGCTCTTTAAAAACTGTAGACTTCCCACACACCTGTTACTGTCATATATATTTCTACAACAAGACAGGTCTGTGTCACATTAAACTGAAAGCTGTGAGAATGAGCACAATATTTATTGATTTATGATTTTAATATATTTTCTTTCTGGATATTATATTGTGTATGAAACACGTGTTAATACTTTGAGACTTACTCCATACAACAGGGCCAAGTCTTACATTATATTGCAGTGCTTTTATCTACCAGAAACATCAAGTGGTATTGCTCTATTTGTGCCAAATAGTAACATGCTCTTGAAGCTATAAGAAAAATTAAGATATTAATTCATAACATTGGTATATTTTAGAACACTTGAATAGATGTAAAATATAATCATGAATTGAATCACTATTGCTTTGCAACAGTTATTTCTCAAACACTATTGGTATTTTTCATGTTTTCTGATATATGTTTCTTGTTTGCAGACAGCACCATGGCCAACGACAATCAGGAATTATCCAAGCTGCTGGCACCCAAAGCAATATTCTTCATTACCATATTCACAAACCTGTGTACAGCAACATGGCCGACCTCCAGCATTTCCCCCGGGCGGGGTCACTACCCCCCAGTGTTCTGCAAGATGTCGCATGTCCTTCTCGATGCCAAAGACAAAGTGTTTAAGTACAAGCAAGATCCTTCTTCCCTGAACACTTACGACAGTTCTTGTGGAGCAGCGGCAGGAATATGGTCCGTTCGCCCCGATGATCAGTCGGACTCAATGACCTGTGATAAGACATACGACGAAGGGTATGTGTTTACGATGTACTTCTACTTTGGCAGTAACTACTTCCATCTCCATTACGACATGATGATTCCCTTGTTTTCTGAGCTGCGTAATAAGGACAAGGGGAAGAAGATTGTGCTCATGCCCTCAGTCGAGTCAGTTCGTTTACAAGTAAGTGTTGGGATTAGTATCCTAAAGTAAAATGGGGTCTAGTGTGTGATAACGAGTACGCTTTTTACGCCACTTTGGCAGTATTCAAGTAAATAATAATTCTCCAAATAGATGAGTTATTGTATTTGATGTTGGATTGCAGTAGTTGATGTTTTGAAATAATTGCATTGATTATTCAGTCTCATTTGGAAATTCGAGCTGGTGTTAAGATTAAGATTATTATCCCAAGCCCAAATAAGTACTAGATCTAGAAAGACCTGCTATCAGTGTATGACATAAAGCCTGTCCGAGATGGTCTAGATTTCTGATGGATGGTCTAAATTTACAGTTAGCCAGCCCGATGGTGTGGTAAAATCTTTAGATGTTCCATACATCTGAGTAAATTCACCATATTTGGTCTGGTTAAATCCATTTTGGGCTGGTAACATTTTGAAGTTACCAGTCCTGATGTCTGGCTGGATTTTTGGCTTATTTCATACATTGCCTCTATCCATCTTTTACATTCAATTTACAAAGCATATGTTTCTTCTTGACACTTTGTGTACATATTAGGGCTGCAATGATTCAGCTCGATTCATCGAAAATGTAATTTGACACCTTGGCTTCAATTTTCGATAACCATTATCACTATTTCGATTCGATATTTGAGTGCTGTTCTGTGTTTAAACATCATATTTTATTTGTATGAAAAAGGTAACATCATTTACATTCCTGATTTCCTAGTCAAATCTTGGAAAAGGTTTTCAGTGCGATATGTTTTGTTTAATAAACTCAGAGTTAAATGACATATGACATTTTTACTTGTATGAAGTATCGTATCGAAAATGATCGAATAGCGGGTCCAATATCAAAAATCAAATCGAATCGAGGTCTGGGTCTGGAATCATTGCAGCCCTAGTAGTACATATGTTGCAGACATGAGAATTAGCCCGCGGATCCACAGATTTCCGGGATTTTTGTTTCATTTTGAACGTTTTTGAGATGGATGTAAATCTGCAATAAAAGACCGGGCCCAAGACCCTCAGCTAAATTTCCAGTGTTTTTGTGCTTTGCCGTTCTCATGTCTGATGTTGATAGTAGTCATAATAGTCACAATGTTCATATAACTTTTCTTTTTATTCTGAGATTTTCATAATTATGCAGTTTATTGTTTAGTACAGTTTAATGATTTTGAGATGTATTCGTAAGTGTGATGCATATGAGATCCTACTATTCCCTGTGTTTATATAGGCTATGTACTGGGAGACACAGGCATTCCAGGATGAATCCAAGTACTGGTACCAAATGCTGAAGGTGAGTGGAGTTTTTTTCATAATGATTCCAAAGGAATCATCATCACTTCTTCATAGATTTGCATTTCACAAAGTTCTTCCACAATGATTAATATCTGGATAGATATTCTGTGTAGTAGAATATGTAGCATTCAGTCACTAATGGATATAAGTCATGAATTGTACCTTGTGAAAACCCTTCCATGGCAATTTATAGTGAAAATGGATAGAATTATCATGAAAGCGCATGTATTTTATCAGAAATGAGCGAAATAACTTGATAATGCCCCCATATTGCTTGACGACAGGCCATTATCATACCTGTTGTTAGGTGACGTCATAAGGAGCTCAGCTGTTGATGTTCAATCACATACGGCTCGTTTGAAATTGGGTTCAATCTTGACGATATTTCTGATTCACATTTGTCACATGTACCTGTGTCATTATGCTCTCTCTTGCTGGTGCCAACCTTAACAATTGTACCATAAATTACAACATGCAGCAATGAAAACATTGACTGGAACTTTAACCTTGTTGAGCAATGAAACAAATGGCAGCTGGTAGTATGGGCAAAGGTCAAGGTCGAATGTCGTCACTGACAATAGTGATGTCATCTGTTTTGTTCTATGACGTTTCCATATTGTAAAAAAGTGTGTCAGTGACCTCCGTCGTTTGTTGTTAGCAATAAATGCTTCAAAACCAATGCCATTGTTTGTAGGGCTGCGCAATATAACCGGTTCAGACATGAAAACGATACGTATTGCGATACGCTGATCGAAAACCGGTATTTTGACTTGTATTCGGAAAACATCGTAACACTCGGAATTCTTCGGATATTTCCTTGTTTTATTTGTGCCAAATATTATTCACATTTTTATTTTATCATGATTAACATTTTGTTATTAAAGCTTAATCAAAGCATAGTGATTTTGTTGTGTTTTTGCTCTATAAATCAAGCAGTAACTCGATTATAAGTAGTTTTTTGTTTAAAAATACTTCATGCAATATATTGCAATACATATCGCAATACATGCTTTCGCATCGCAATATATCGCAATATGAATATTCTCTGCAATACCCACCCCTAATTGTTTGTGTTTATTTTATAAAAAATTCTATCCATTTTAGCTATAAGAACGGTAATGCTATTTTTCAGGGCATTATCATTTGCAGAAGCCCTTGGTCTTTTCAACTGCCCTACTTGGTCGGGCAATTAATGAAAGACCCTTATGGTAACCAGTAAACCTGAGTGCTTGTCGGTATTAATACCTGCAGGATCCCTCTCACTGGAATCTGGTTAAAATTAGTGACTACACTGCTAAACAGCTATGTGTGTTCTCAGATGATGGAGGAATCTAGAGTATACAAAGCTGTGAATTACTGACAATGTCAGGAACACTTGACACATTCATACTCGTGGGTTTTACCAAAATCATAAATAGTTAAGACCTGAAGCCAGGATTTTCTCTTACAGATACGCCATGATAAAACTAATAATAATTAGGGCTGCAGTGTATCCCTGTATAAGGTGAATATGATACGTAACACAAGTATAAGGTAACGAATACTTATATTCAGTCAGATAACAGCAAAATATGTTATTTGATATGTTTTGACCCTGTTGATTTGACATGACAATGACTAGTGACCACAAATAGAAGACATTCTTTTATAAATATTCATGAACATTTTATTCCAGTGTTCATAAATAAGGAATTAAATTCATGAAGGAGTACAGATCAATTCACCACATAAGCAGGTGAATCATAACATCCCTAGTAATAATCTGTGTGACCAGTGTGATGATGATGTTGCAGGTGTTGGCCTCCTCCCACACACTCCTACCACTGGATGACAGGATACACAGTAACCATGGCAACATATGCTTCAAGTCCATCAACTTTGGGGTCAGTAATACGATTTTGATCCTAGGTTTCAGGGACTTGCATCTCCATCTGGAGCCAGATATATGATATACCTTTTGTAGTAGTGAGCATTTTCTGTCCGCTACAGTATAGTCTGGATTAGTTTTGTCTGAGTGGCATTCTACAAGTTGGTGGTATACAGAAGAAGTTGATTATCCTTCAAGTTGTGTCATCTCCAGTCTTGAGTACGGATGACTGACTGACTGAGTTTGGTTTTACGCCGCTTTTAGCAATATTCCAGCAACATCACGGCAGGGGACACCAGAAATGGGCTTCACACATTGTACCCATGTGGGGATTCGAACCCGGGTTTTTGGCGTGGCGAGCCAACGCTTTAACCACTAGGCTACCCCACTGCCCCTGATTAGGGATGAAATTCTGCATCTAAATATCTCGGTGTCTTGGTGCAGTAAATTATTAATATGGGAGTTGTGTCAATACAAGGTTGTGAATATCAATACTGAATTCACTCCCATAGAACGTTTATGAAGTTTATGATTGTTCAGATGGATAATGAAATTCAGTTTTGACTTTTTATGGATCAGCCTAGTTTATGTTTATCATTATATTAATCAGTTGCAGACCTACATAGGTAGTTTGTAGCTGTAGACATTCAGAATGATTGATTTATCCTCAATACAGAATGCAGTTATTAATTGAAATCATGTTACTTTGAGTCAGACTGTCAAAGGAAACTTTCCAAATCAATGATGCCCTGGTTGGAAAAAATAATGGTTGTATACCACTCATAAGAACATGAAGAACACCCGATTCATTCTGATGACAATAGTTAATCTTAGTGGTGTTCTGATGATGGAAAATAATAGAAAATCAATCGAAAGAAGGATTAAAACTAATTATCAGTTGTTAAAAACAGGTTTTCATTTAATCAGAATTTTGTTGTTTTAGTGTAACACACTTGAATGAAGTAAACTAACCATTAAATTTGATGAATATTCACGACTAAACATGCGCTCAACAGCGTAAAGCTATGCACACAAATTTCAACCACTTTTATTGTTTAATTACAATTACAGTGTCTTTCTTGCATGTGTGCATTTCATTGCATGCCATGTACAGGGGCCCATTCCACAAAGTGATCATAGTGCTTAGGTGACCATAAGTCCCACATTTTAATATCTGCTTTTTTTGGTCATCATAGTGCTAGGATAGCTTTGTTGAATGGGGCCCATATAAATATACAATAATTCTGAAATAATAATGTCATAATAGGAATGAATATTGCCCTATAAACAATTGATAAAATACTGACTTAATAAAATGTATTCCTATTACTGAATAATTCAAGGTGCTGATGTTAAAATTGTAACAGTTTTTATATAAATGATATAAAACTCCCATGAGTCCATTTGAAATAATGCTGTATTGTGTTGCAGACACCCTTGTATTCCAGCCGGGACATAGGACTCATTCTGCCCTATATCCAGTTCATCAAGGAGGAGCTTGGTGTGAGACATGAGCAAGTCACAAAGGATAAAGTCGGTATTATCAAGAGGTAATCTCTCAGTCATCAAGTCACAAAGGATAAAGTCGGTATTATCAAGAGGTAATCTCTCAGTCATCAAGTCACAAAGGATAAAGTCGCTATTATCAAGAGTCACAAAGGATAAAATCGGTATTATCTGTCATCAAGTCACAAAGGATAAAGTCGGTATTATCAAGAGGTAATCTGTCTGTCATCAAGTCACAAAGGATAAAGTCGGTATTATCAAGAGGTAATCTCTCTGTCATCAAGTCACAAAGGATAAAGTCGGTATTATCAAGAGGTAATCTGTCTGTCATCAAGTCACAAAGGATAAAGTCGGTATTATCAAGAGGTATTATCAAGAGGTAATCTGTCATCAAGTCAGTCATCAAGTCACAAAGGAGTCGCTATTATCAAGAAGTCAAAGGGTATTATCAAGAGGTAATCTGTCAGTCATCAAGTCACAAAGGATAAAGTCGGTATTATCAAGAGGTAATCTGTCTGTCATCAAGTCACAAAGGATAAAGTCGGTATTATCAAGAGGTAATCTGTCATCAAGTCAAAGGATCAAGTCATCAAAGGATCTGTCTGTCATCAAGTCACAAAGGATAGTCGTTATTATCAAGAGGTTATCTGTCTGTCATCAAGTCACAAAGGATAGTCGCTATTATCAAGAGGTAATCTGTCTGTCATCAAGTCACAAAGGATAAAGTTGGTATTATCAAGAGGTAATCTCTCAGTCATCAAGTCACAAAGGATAAAGTTGGTATTATCAAGAGGTAATCTCTCAGTCATCAAGTCACAAAGGATAAAGTCGGTATTATCAAGAGGTAATCTCTCAGGATAGTCGCTATTATCAAGAGGTAATCTCAGTCATCAAGTCACAAAGGATAGTCGCTATTATCAAGAGGTAATCTGTCTGTCATCAAGTCACAAAGGATAAAGTCGGTATTATCAAGAGGTAATCTCTCAGTCATCAAGTCACAAAGGATAGTCGCTATTATCAAGAGGTTATCTGTCTGTCATCAAGTCACAAAGGATAGTCGCTATTATCAAGAGGTTATCTGTCTGTCATCAAGTCACAAAGGATAAAGTCGCTATTATCAAGAGGTAATCTGTCTGTCATCAAGTCACAAAGGATAAAGTTGGTATTATCAAGAGGTAATCTCTCAGTCATCAAGAGGTAATATCTCTCTCAGTCATCAAGTCACAAAGGCTATTATAAGAGTTGGATCAAAAGGCTATTATCAAGATATCTCAGTCATCAAGTCAAGGATAGTATCAAGAGGTAAGGTCATCAAGTCACAGCTATTATCAAGAGGTAATCTGTCTGTCATCAAGTCACAAAGGATAAAGTCGGTATTATCAAGAGGTAATCTCTCTCAAGTCATCAAGTCACAAAGGATAAAAGTCAAGAGGTATTATCAAGAGGTAATCTCAAGTCACAAAGGGATAAAGTCATCAAGTCACAAAGGATAAAGTTGGTTTTATCAAGAGGTAATCTAAGTCATCAAGTCACAAAGGATAAAGTCTGTATTATCAAGAGGTAATCTCTCACTCATCAGTCTCATCAAGTCTCTGTCATCAAGTCACAAAAGGCTATTATCAAGAGGTAATCTGTCTGTCATCAAGTCACAAAGGATAAAGTCGCTATTATCAAGAGGTAAATCATGTCTGTCATCAAGTCACAAAGGATAAAGTCGCTATTATCAAGAGGTAATCTGTCATTCACAAAGGTCACAAAGGATAAAGTTGGTATTATCAAGAGGTAATCTGTCAGTCATCAAGTCACAAAGGATAAAGTCGCTATTATCAAGAGGTAATCTGTCTGTCATCAAGTCACAAAGGATAAAGTCAGTATTATCAAGAGGTAATCTCTAACTCTTCAAGTCACAAAGGATAAAGTCAGTATTATCAAGAGGTAATCTGTCAGTCATCAAGTCACAAAGGATAAAGTCGGTATTATCAAGAGGTAATCTCTCAGTCATCAAGTCACAAAGGATAAAGTCGGTATTATCAAGAGGTAATCTGTCAGTCATCAAGTCACAAAGGATAAAGTCGCTATTATCAAGAGGTTATCTGTCTGTCATCAAGTCACAAAGGATAAAGTCGGTATTATCAAGAGGTAATCAGTCTGTCATCAAGTTACAAAGGATAAATTTGGTATTATCAAGAGGTAATATGTCTGTCATCAAGTCACAAAGGATAGTCCCTATTATCAAGAGGTTATCTGTCTGTCATCAAGTTACAAAGGATAAAGTTGGTATTATCAAGAGGTAATATGTCTGTCATCAAGTCACAAAGGATAGTCGCTATTATCAAGAGGTTATCTGTCTGTCATCAAGTTACAAAGGATAAAGTTGGTATTATCAAGAGGTAATCTGTCTGTCATCAAGTCACAAAGGATAAAGTCTGTATTATCAAGAGGTAATCTCTCACTCATGAAGTCACAAAGGATAAAGTCGGTATTATCAAGAGGTAATCTGTCAGTCATCAAGTCACAAAGGATAAAGTTGGTATTATCAAGAGGTAATCTGTCTGTCATCAAGTCACAGGGTAAATGATACATAATGAGTGACATCATTAAGGCAGTACTGCAATACCCTGTGGAAGTCATCTACTGTGGAATGGACACGTCGTAGCTGTGTTTGTGTTTAGGTTTATTGGCTAGGTTAGACATTCAAATACTACTGAATCACTTACATTTCATTTATAATAACATAACCTTGAAAAAAAGCTTATTTCATTTCTATAAACACTTGTACATGTCAGAGGTTAGTATTGTTTTAATGATTGAATGAATAAGTCTAAGTTAAATGTAAAATATTTATTAGGACTAAGGCAAATGATGTGATGTGAAGATCATTTAAACACTTTATGAAACAACTCTCATCAATATTCAATAAATCCTATAGTGTAATGTATTGTTGAGATTGATGTTGGCCTTGTCAACGTCATCAGGCTGCAGCAAGCATCATCATGCCACACTGTGATTGTACACTAGAAAATATGGTATATTCCAGCAATATCACCGCAGGGAACACCAGAAATGGGCTTCACACATCGTGCCCATGTAGGGAATTGAACCCGGTTTTGGGCATGACAAGCAAACGCTTTGACCGCTAGGCTACACCGCCGGCCTGGCTTAGTTATTTTATGTGATTACTCAATATATAATTTTTACTGCGATACAGCAGAACAGACAGACGATGCATCTTGAGCTGGTGTATCATGAAATTCATTATTTCAGAACCAACCGTCGCAGAATCCTGAATGAAGGAGAACTGGTAAAGGCTATATCCAACATTGCCAGTGTGGAGCTTGTCGACTTCTCTGGACTCACCTTTAAGCAACAGGTTTGGACTGTTATTTGTATTTGTACTCATTTATTGATTTGTTATTTGTTTTGAATATAAGTAGCTTTTAGCATAAACATGGCTTCTGAAATACCCCCTCCTTCATATCTTGTTAAGAAAAATATAATTTTTCCTTATCCTGACTCATGTATTATTGCTTGTCTCCTTCCTTTCGCGAACGTTAGTGGAACACTTGTATCTCCTTTTTGAAGCTCCCTTTCAAAAGAGCAGACATAAAATCACTACTCACCATGAGTTATGTCCCTCTGGTTTTGGCGGGCAAAACAGCCACCTGTCTTCCCACGCTTCACTCTCTCCTTCTTCGCCCTAGTGGATGGTTGGGAGAGCGCCTGTGTCTCCAATACGGCACTATATCCTTTGATTAATTAGTTATTTCCCTGTAATATACCTTTATAAGGCTTTAGGGAGTATCCTTCTACAATATGGTTTGAAATTTATTCGTAATTTGACTGTTTATTCACGTATTTTACGTGATTGTTCAGTTGTTTACATTTCATGAAAACCTGTTTTCGTTGTAGGTTTAGGTTATCTGCTGCAGACCCGCATCTACTGTGCCCTAGCTGCACTACAATATGTACTTCCAGCTCTCGCTGTAAAACTTTTGTCTGCAATTAACACAAATTCAATTTAATAATTATTATTTCTCTGTACTTAGGCGTGCTAATGATAAATCCCGTCGATTTTTACAAGTCATGGATAAATCGGCTGAGGCCATCCAGAGCTGTCCATCGTTGTCCGACAACATGCTGCCGTCCAGTGACCTGCCGGAGATGTCCTCGGAAGATGGGCGTGGGACGTTGTCCGCCATATCAACGAAGAGAAGGTCTTCTTCTTCGGACAACTCCTCAACCCAGGCGAAGAAGAAGAGGCCATCTTCAACGCAGAGAAAGCCTCACACCTCTAAGATTTCAAGCAGCTCTACGGGGACTTCTTCGCAGATGACGAGGACCTTTGCGTCCGAGATCGTCCCGATGGCAGAGAGAGGACTCTACGATGAACCGCTGTTGATCAACCCAAAGATACAGCATAAGAAAAGGAAGCAGCCCTCAGCAACGGTTACGTCAGCAGCCTTATCTACGCAGTCCGAGTCTGCACTGACGGCAGATAAGCGATCCCTGGACCATATCGCTACCATCGCAGAGACGACATCTCTACAATCGCCGCAGACATTCAACCCAGGGGCCTTCATGCAGCAATTCTCTCAACAGATGATGGAGATGATGGAGAAGCACTTTGCACAGGAAAGAGCATCGCATGATGGACAGCCAGGCGGCTCTCATGCTCAAGTCATCAACCTGAGAGAGGATGCAGACCTGCACGAACGACCCCACACTGATGATACATCTGAGAGGCCTACCAGTGAATCTAGCTCTAGGACCAAGAGCAGATCTATGCTACATGACGTCAGCAAGCCTGCGCGCAGGACGGCACGCTCTTCAGAACCAATCAGATCGTCATCAGAGGATGAGACTAACAAAGAACCTTCACGCAGGCTACCCACTTCACAGAGAAGGAAACCTACACCACCTAGAAGGTCGAGAGAGACATCTCGGGACTCAGACCCTCAACAGAATCTCTCACCTGCGCGAAGGTCATCTACAATATCGTCAACAGGGTCAACAAGATCGTCAGGAAGGCAATCCAGGACTAAAAGACGCTCACCTACACGCAGGTCGCCTTACAGATCGTCGCCTAGAACTACACGTAGTTCAGCATGCTCATCCCCACGCAGGTCGCCACGTAGATCGCCACACAGGTCTCCACGCAGATCCCCACGCAGATCCCCAACTGAGGATGATCAACGATCTTATGCCAGTGAACATGATAAGACGATGGCGGTATCATATTCTCGGACTCAGAGATAAAATATTGGATGGCTAATGGACTGGACTTAGCGTCACCCTCTAAGGAAGAGAATGAGGCACTCACGTACCTAATGAAGGATGATGATGTGGACACGACCACTCTACCACCAATTGATCCCATCTCGGAAGTACCGGAGGACTTAGACGCAGCCTTCAGGAAGGCAACGAAGTTCCAGGCTCCTAATATCCCACAGTTCAACGCAAAGAAGTTCTCACTACACAACATGGACCCCTTCAGGAAGGCGCAAGAAATAGATGAGAACTATAAAATCATCAACGACTCCCGGACCAAATCTTACAAGATTGAGGACAAAAAGCTGGCACAGATAGACACTATGACCAGAAGGATTTTCTTCGGACTTAACAGATCCAGGGCAGTTAATGAGACGCTGATCACCAAGTTTAAGAACTCTACTGCAGAGGAAGATCGGATGATTTATTCTGCCCTACTAACGCAGAAGAAGGACCACCAATTTATGTCGGAGCACCTATCATCCATATCAGCAGCGCTGACGCTAGCTAGAAGACAAGGACTATTGTCGTCATGCAACTGGAGCGAACGCTTCACTAAGGCGCTGTACAGAGCTCCATGGTCTACAACATCCATCTTCGCAGAGGAGATTGACGAGGTCGCCAAGGAAGTCACGAAGGAATCAAGGGAGGTCCTGATGATAAAGTCCATCGATACACTAGCCAGTGTCATCAGGAAGACGTCCCAACGCTACTCGGGCAAATCCAAATTTGCAGGCAACCAGAAAGCAAGAGAAAAGAAAATGGGGACCTCCAAAGGAGGAAAGGACTCTTTTCGTCGCCCATCCGGCAACTACAGAGGACGATCCGGACGAGGCAGGGCACCCAGAGGCGCCAGAGGCTATAGACGATGAAAGGCGGGTTCGGAACGACTGGAGTCTTCCACCCCCAGCCGTTCCTGTGCAACCTTCCCAAGTGGGTGGACGTCTACAACACTACTGGGAGAACTGGGGAATTCTTCAGGATCCTTTTGTAACCAACATCCTAAGAGACGGATATCACATACAACTACAAGCAGCCCCTCCACTAACAAATGCACCTCAGAGGTTCAACTTTGCAACCCAGCGGACAGAGAGGCTACAAGAAGCGGTCACATCTCTACTAGAGAAGGACGCCATAGAAGTGATAAACCACGACCAAATCTCACCAGGATTCTACTCCCCAGTTTTCCTCATACCAAAGAAAAACTCCAAAGAAAAGTTCCGACTCATCTACAACATGAGGACATTCAACAGAGATTATCTATGCAAACCACAAAAGTTCAGCATGATTCATCTACCACAACTACTACATCTCGTCCGTCCGTTGGACCACATGGCCAGCATAGATCTACAGGACGCATACCTGCATATTCCTATACATCCGGAATCAAGGAAGTACCTGAGGTTCGTACTAGACGGACGACACTACCAATGGAAAGTCCTGCCATTTGGAATATCATCGGCCCCCTGGTTGTTTACAAGAGTGACGAAGCCCATAGTCACATACCTACATCATCGAGGTCTACGCAGTGCGTCTCTACGACCTCAAGCTCATCAAGATCCCAATCATCTCAGACTACAGCTGGACTTTACCATCAGGCTTCTCACACAACTAGGGTGGCTAGTGAATCTCCTCAAGTCGGAACTAGAGCCTACACAGGACCTGCAGTTCCTAGGAATTCGGCTCATCACAACAGAAAACCGCATAACAGTACCAGAGGACCGTTGGCTCAAAATACAACAGATGGTATCGCAAGCTCTACTCTCTCCGTGGCCACTACGACAGTGGCAGAGCCTGTTGGGTCTCCTCACATCAGCACAAGATATGTCGCGCAGAGGGAGATTACAACTACGCCCACTACAGGTCTTCGTGAATGTACATCTTGACGATCCGGACTCCTTCGGACTCCCGGACAGACTAAAACCATATCTACTATGGTGGACTCAGAGATCGAATGTTTGCGGAGGCACCTACTTAGCAGAGCCGGAGTGCAAGACGCATCTCTATGTGGACGCATCGCTCCAAGGCTGGGGAGCACACCTCGACAACGAAGTGTCAGCTGGGAAATGGACAATAGACGAGAAAGATCTGCACATCAACATGCTGGAAATGAAAGCAGTGATAAACGCCATACTCCACTGGACCAGCATTTTCAAGAATGCTCATCTAACAGTACACACGGACAACTCCACAGTGGCGTTCTACATAAACAGACAAGGATCAACAAGGTCGGCGAACCTTCTGAACCTCTGCTTTCAACTGTTCAGCATAATAGACAATCTGAACATCCACATAAAAGCATGCCACATCCCAGGAGCCAAGAATGTGATAGCAGACGCACTATCTCAACCAACTCAACCATCCCCAACAGAATGGATGCTACATCCAGAGATCTTCAAACAGATCATACAAGAGATAGGAGCTCCACTAATAGACCTATTTGCCACAAGATTCAACAATCAACTGGTAACATTCGTCTCTCCAATACCAGATCCACGAGCATGGGCAACAGATGCTCTAAGCATCTCCTGGGAAGGACTAAATGCTTACACGTTTCCACCACCAGCTCTAATACCGAAAGTGTTGCAGAAAATCATACAGACGAAGAACCTGCAACTGATTTTGGTCGCGTCTTACTGGCCAGCGAGAATATGGTTCCCCATTCTCATACAAGAACTAGGACCACCTCAACTGCAACTACCAGAGTGGACCGAACTTGCTAGTACATCCACACACAAAGCAAGCACACGGCAACCCACAGGTGTTCCGGCTACACGCGTGGAGCGTATCAAGGCGTGCTTGAATAAGAGAGGATATTCCGCCAGAGCAGCGAAAGCAGTCACGCTAGCTTTACGCAAGTCAACACGCAACTTGTACGACGACAAGTGGCGAAGCTTCGAGACCTACGCCTTGAAAACAGGCTTCACAGCCATAAAAGCAGACACACCCTCAAGTGGCGGACTATCTTTGTCACCTAAGACAAACGAAGCGGTTGAAAGGGTCAACACTCTTAACATACCTAGCGGCATTGAGCTCAGTTATTACTATGAGGACGAGTGTAAAACTGACTAAGGTACCAGAGTTACTGGCCTTACTACGCTCTTATAAACTGGAGGACCAACAACAGAGATTTAAAGCTCCGCGTGGGACCTCAACATAATGCTACGGCATCTCACCAGTGACGCTTACGAACCATTAGATAGGACATCTTTTGAGTTCTTGACGCAGAAAACTCTATTCCTCATCGCCTTAGCAACAGCAGCAAGGATGTCGGAAATACATGCTCTAGACTTTGAGAGGACACGATTTGACGAAAATCGAAACATCGTGCATATGGGACTGAGATGGGACTTTATAGCAAAGAATCAACTGCCAGGTCAACCGGACAGACAATTCCACATCCCGGCACTATCATCAGTCCTTGGGCCACAGGATACACAGGACCTATCCTTATGCCCAGTAAGAGCATTGAAAGTCTACCTACAAAGGTCTAGAACCAGGAGATGAAAATTCAAGCGTCTTTTCATCCCTATATCGACAGCGACACAGACGGAGATCTCTTGCACTACGATATCAATATGGATGAGAACTGTCATACTACGGGCCTACAAAGCAGCAGGACTTGATCCTCCAAGAGCCTCCAATCCACATGAAATTAGAGCTCTGGCGTCAACACTCGCTCTACATGGGAATTGCTCTATCACGACGATAATGGAGGCCTGCTTCTGGAAATCGGACATGGTGTTTGCCAACCACTACCTGAGAGACATCGCCACCGAGGACGTCTCTGGCATTCACCATTTCGGCCCACTTGTTGTAGCACAACAATTGACAGTTCCACAAAGGCGCTGAGACGGAGTCTCGCCCTTTTATCACATGACTTGCAAAAGCCTACACTCAGGAGAGTACAGCTTTAAAGTCCATATGCACGTCTAAGACAGACTAGTATAAGTGATAAGACCCAGTACTTGTAAGGACTTACTCGTACATAAAAAGGGTCGCTTCTCCACTGATGCTTGCATCAAGAGATGGAGTTGCAAATCCACATAATAATGTTAACAGAAGACAAGGACCAAAAGTTAACAATTGTGGTCCCCCCATCAGAGAAAGCTGGAAGTAAAGGGTTACAGCAGCAGCAGAGCCTAGCAGTAAATAGAAGAGCTACCAGGAAGTTCCCATAGGGGGGTATGCAGGACGTAAATCACTAATTGGAATCCAGAAGTGGCTTGTCCCACCACCAGATCCGACGGATTCTACAAGCAATAATACATGAGTCAGGATAAGGAAAAATATGTAATTTTCTGAGTAAAATTGATATTTTATACTTATCCTGACTCATGAGGTAAGCCCTCCCAACCTCCCCGCTAGGCACTTTGGATTTCCCTGGAAATTAAAGTGTCGGACTAGCAAATCGGAGAGAGTGAAGCGTGGGAAGACAGGTGGCGCTGTTTTCCCGCCAAAACCAGAGGGACATAACTCATGGTGAGTAGTGATTTTACGTCTGCTCTTTTGAAAGGGAGCTTCAAAAAGGAGATACAAGTGTTCCACTAACGTTCGCGAAAGGAAGGAGACAAGCAATAATACATGAGTCAGGATAAGTATAAAATATCAATTTTACTCAGAAAATTACATTACTCAGCAGCAAAAAAACCGTCAGTACGAATTCAAAATTAGACAGGCACTGTAATCAAATCATTACAGAAATGGACATAATAAGCAGATCAAAAACATTTTTTGTGTACAATATCTTGACACATCAATGAATAACAGCACAATTTCAAGACATTGCGTGAATGTTTGCAGTCCATTCAGACTCTTGACGTCAGTATCAAGTGTGACCACCATGAGCGGCAATAATTGCAGCACAGCGTCTAAGCATGGAGTGCACCAATCGATTGATGGAGGCCATTGGCACCTGGAAGCACACTCTGAGAAAGTCCTGGCGCAATAAATCGTCTGTGTTTGGCCTTGGTATGACATTATTCAGTCTCCTCTGAATTTCATCCCAAAGATGTTCAATTGGGTTTAAATCAGGACTAAGGGCTGGCCACTGCATAATGTTGACACCGTTCTGCTGTAGGAAGTTCCGTGTAGCTCTGGCAGCATGGGCCCGGGCGTTATCATGCTGGAAAATGTTCCAGTGACGTGCGAAATGTGGTATGACGTGGGGTCTGAGAGCCTGGTCGATGTGCACTGCTGTGATGCCCGCCTCCTCTGCCTGGACTAAGGTTGTGGAACACCACAGGACCCACTCTCTGGTTCAGGCCTATTCCACCCCATACCATGATGCTTGCACCTCCCCATGAGTCTCTTTCCATAACACATTGGTCTCAGTAACGCTGGCCACGTCGTCGCCATATTCTTGTTCTGCCATCTGCAGTTGATAACGCAGTACCGACTCTCATCTGTGAACAGAACAGTTCTCCATTGCCTGTATCTCCAGTTTTGGTGTTGTAGGGCAAACTGTAGATGTTCACGCCGATGACGAGGGGTGAGGATAGGTCCACGGTAAGGTCTACGGCAATGGAGGTTCCCGCTGTTAAGATGTCAGCGTACTGTATCAGTACTGATCGGTCTTCCGTGTGTTCCCACTGTCTGGCGTCCTGTTTCGGATGCCTGCATGAAGCGATTCTGTACATGCTGTTGCATAACATGGCGGTCTTGACGTCTTGTGGTCACCCTTGGTCTGCCAGTACAGGGGTGATCATTTGTGGTGTTGGTGGCCCGGAAATGTTGCTGCAGCCTGTAGATGGTCCGAACGTTGACCTGGAAGTGATTGGAAGAGCAGTGTGGCCAGCTTCAAGTCTTCCTAGCGCCTGGTTCCTCTGAGCTGTCATGAGTTGCGGAATCCTGCTGACGTTGTAATGTGAATGTTTCAACCAGGTTTGGGGGTGCATTTTATAGGGCTGGTCCTTGTGAACAGCACATGCAGCATGAGTTGCATGAAAAACATGCAGAACACTGTACCATCTCCGAGATCAGGTCTCAGGTTTTTGAGACCATTTCCTGGGTTCCATTCTGAGTTTGGGAAGGAATGTCTTTGCTCAGGTAAAGTTGGAGATGTTGTAAAAAGTATACAATCAAAACATTAAATGAGTTTACAGTTATCCGTTTCTGTGACGGAAAATTCCAAACTGACGTTTCTTTTGCTGCTTAGTATATGTTTTTGAGTCTTTTCATTCTTGGCTAAGTTAAAGCTTCACACATTGTACCCATGTGGGGAATCAAACCCAGGTCTTCGGCGTGACGAGCCAACGCTTTAACCACTAGGCTCCCCCACCGCCCCTGTGCAGGAAATAACGTGCCATCATGTCTAGGGCCTAAAACTGCACATTGCCAGCCTCAAGGTTCTTAGCTTGCTGATCACTGGATCACCACATGATCTTGCTTTTATGGCGCAAAACGCTTGCGGGGGTATTAAAATGGACTCTGTAGCGTCTCCATGGCAACAAGTTTGGCACATAGATGGGGTATTAAAATGGACTCTTTGCGTCCATGGCAACAAGTTTGACTGTGCCTGACACATTTGTCACTTTTCCGAGCAGAACTCTAAAACCGTTCACTATTTCTTCACCAAACTTGGCACATAGATAGATCTGGTGGTGTACTGGTGCCTTTTGGTAGTTTTGGAATCCTGAATAAAATATTTTTGGCGTTTCCATGGCAACAAGTTTGACTTAGCCTGAAATTGGTGGTTGTGCTCTTTTCCGGAGCTGAACTCTAAAACCATTCACTATTTCTTCACCAAACTTGGCACATAGATTGGTCTGGTGGTGTACTGGTGACTTTTGGTAGTTTTGGAATCCTGAATAAAATATTTTTGGCGTTTCCATGGCAACAAGTTTGACAGCCTGAAATTGGTGGTTGTGCTCTTTTCCGGAGCTGAGCTCTAAAACCATTCAATATTTCTTCATCAAACTTGGCACATAGATAGATCTGGTGGTGTACTGGTGCCTTTTGGTAGTTTTGGATTTCTGAATAAAATATTTTTTGCATTTCCATGGCAACAAGTTTGACATAGACAGAAATTGGTGATAGTGCTCCTTTCTGGAGCAGAACTTTAAAAACCTTTCAATACTCTCCTTCCACTTTCTATATACACACCTAAATATTTGACATAATCATAACTCGTAGACATAATCATGACGAGTATTTTGCCATTGTGGGGGATATTGATGACTTTGTCTTCTTGTTTGGCATGAAATGCATGTGGACCCGTTTTTTTGTAAATATCTCTTCATCCAATCACCCAATCGATCTCAAACTCTGCAAGTGGATGTTTTGTCAGACAACCTAATCACATTGTAAATCACCGATTTTATGCATTTGTAGTAAAGAATCTGTCTATGTAACTGTCAACAAAATAAATAGCAGAACGCAGACGGCTTGCAGAGGGAGGGCGCCAATGACCTGTAACAGCTGATAAATTGTGGCATTGTGGGGAGTCTGGAGTGTAATGTCACAAGTGTTTTCATAACATGTGCTAAGGGAGATAACATTAGTACTGGTAGGAGAAGAGGGCAGCTGCATTCTTGAGGAAGTGGTTTCCAAATAGTTGCCTTAATTTGTTTTATTTTGACTTTTTTTAAGTAGGGATAACAAATTTTTAAATGAAGTGTCTGTTTTTATTAAAATATATTGCTTTGTTTTTCTAAAATATCTGGATGCATCTGATTCAAGAACATGAATTTCATAGTGATCTGTGACAAAAAACAACACAAAAATCACTGATTTAGGTTAAACCTGTAAAATAAAAGGATAAGCCTGATGTGTCTCTTTACTACAGGTTGAGAAGGTACAGGAGTACTCTGTGTTTGTGGGCATGAATGGGGCCGGGCTCATGAATGGTCTGTTTCTCTCGCCGGGCGCCGTCACGGTCCAGCTGGTGCCATTCAGGGCTGATGTCAACTTCAAGGAATTTGGTGTCCTTCTCAGGAACCGTGGTCCTTACCTTGAGTGGCACAATGAACATGCAGAGCTATCTCAAGAACTCCCAAATGATCCCTATCACGGACAATCAGACACTACAGTTAAAGTAGCAGAGTTTATTGAACTCATCAAGAAAGCTTTGCAACTTGTTAACAGTGATGAGTACAGCGATAAAACTGAGCTGTGATTATATATTTTATGCCCAAAAGAATATTTGGTAGTATTTAGTCTTAATCTCATTACTGTGTTTATATATTTTTATGATGATTTAGCATAATATACTTTGCCAAAGGGACCATATTTATGAAGTGTGTAGAAAGTGTTTTAATATATTGTAATGAGAATTTCTCTCTCGATGTGTAGCTCTCACTGAAAATATTTTTTAGAAAGTATTGCCTTTTTAAACTTGAAAATTGCCTTATTCTAAATCATATCTTAGGCATATCCATTAGAAGGTTTTGTATGAGTGATGCATCTGACAATCAACTTAGATGATTCAATTTGATTCATGTTTCAGTTTTGATAATTGTTTACCAAAACTAAGATTGAATTGTACAAGTTATAACAGTGAAATTAACATAATGACGTGATGGTAGCAGTTTTTAAAAATGAAGTTCTCACCTCTCAAGTTGAAGTTTTAACGAGTATTTGCTGACTGAGACACTTTGTTATGTACATGTATAATTTTGTTAAATTATTTAATTTCAATTACAAATTTTACCTTTCACGGTTTTGTGTGGTAAAAAAAACACTTGTGAAACCATTCCTAAAAGTTATTTACATTAAGGATCTGTACAGAACTGTATCAAACATCTTTGTTTCAAAGACAAACTTTTAATAACAACAAACAAACTAAGACTTAGTTCGAGAGTTTGTTGTCTTAGTCAAGTTGTATCAGTGCTGAAAAATAATGTCAAATGGAAAAACTGGCTCTTTTGGTCTGTGATAAAATCTCATTTATTGACGCCTAGAGAATTTTCTGAGGCAGAATATTTTGATACTTATATTTTTTTAAGTAGATCTTACATGATGATCCATTACTCCTGTAGGTGACGTATATTTTAAGCTGACTAGAACTATTATTTCATGTTACCTAATGGTAAGTCATGTCGGTCATACATAAGTTGCATTCTTCTTTAACTGTGCATCTCTGGAAACTCCCTCTGAAGTAGATGATGCTTTTAACCTGAAACTTTCCAAGGGTGATGCTAGCAAAGGTGTCTCTTTATGTGCCTGCAGATTTGTTTGTGATAAATTTTACAGATGACAATGTGATATATGTCATTTAGCATGTAATAATTATTAACATATGTATGTTCTTTGACCCTTTTATCCAGATTTAAAGGATTTGTATTCTCCCATTGGCTCGGCTTTTGCTTTTCTGGCCAGATTGTAAACATCACTGCCATTTGAAAATGTCATTTCATTTCATTACATTTCTACTTGTATCATCTCAAGTATTGTTTTTGAAACTGTTTACTTTTATTTGTATATTCTCTCCCCTCTGTTGTTTTCAGCTTTATATCTAATGGTCCCAATATAAACGAAATTATAAGGTGAGACAGTTTTATGACTTATTTGTTTCAAGCATAATCAAACACATATGAGCAGTTATATTAAGTGTTTGACCATAGAAGTCAAATGTGTGATGTTAATGTTATAATGCCCACTCACATCATAGTCCTTCATATTCATCAGTACATTAGAAAATACTGGCAAAATCAGTGAAGTATTGACCACATTAATCATTCCTGGCAACTTGTGTCAGCTGTAACACCTTGTACCTGGATGTACCTTGCTAACTGTTTGGGGGAATGAAGGGACATTTTTTCAAGGACTGCAATGTGGATTGCACCATTCCATCCCTTTGCCGTGCCAGGATCCGTTGACAAGGTTTGAATGCCTCCAGTCCTTAGTCGGGCAGCACCAATGTCATAACTTTCCTATCAGCGAATTTCTGTTGGTCATTTTTATTCTTATCAGGGTTACAGAGTCAAAAACAATTTGTGTGTACTTAAAATATATTTGAGTGTTATTTTTGTTAGTGTCTATATATTTTTTACAGTATGAACGTCAGGGGTGAGAAATGTTATGGATGTCAACTTCTGTATGAGGAATACAACATTGTAGAATGTATTCTAACTCAATCTCCTGATGAAAGAGTAAGCATATATTTCAGTACATTGTTCCTCATAAATAACCTTATAATCTGAAACAATTCTCCCCGTATTTCAGGCATGGCAACAGGAAAATCTATTTTCAGCTGAAAACTTAATATTGTGTCAACGAATGCTGGGTTCAGAATGGTCAATTTGAAATAGAATTGGCGGAAATCAGCGGATCAGCAGAAAATTGCCATCCCTGTTATTTATATCACATTGTGTCATTGGTCTGTTGAACACAAATACTATTTTAATGTATATTTTTTAAAACAGAAACATGTTGTTACTTGGTGCTAATTTCATGGCCCATACAGCTGCATGCAGATAGCTGTAGATTTACTGCTTGGAAGAGATATGCAAATATTGTGTGGAGTAAATGATTTCTCTAGAATGTTGCATGGTAGATGAAGTCTATTTTTATGAAGAATAAATGGTTCCATCACATGAGTTGTATTCTGCTATCAATAAAATCATTTACTTTTATTACTCAAAAGAAGTTTAAAGAACCCACAGCTGTTTGATATGACTATAGTTTGTCTGATATGGCAATTCACAAGGTGAGTGAGTTTGGCTTTACGCCACTTTTAGCAATATTCCACAAATTTTACCCATGTGGGGAAAGAAATCCAGGTCTTCGGCGTGACGAGCAAACGTTTTAACCACAAGGCTACCTCACCGCCCCAACATTTCAAAAGGCCATATGAAAAAAAAAAACTGTTAAAATATACTTCTTGTGAGACTGACTGAGTGAGTTTGGTTTTACGCCGCTTTTAGCAATATTCCAGCAACATCACGGCGGGGGACACCAGAAATGAGCTTCACACATTGTGCCGATGTGGGGATTCGAACCCAGGTCTTTGCCGTGACGAGCCAACGCTTTAACCATTAGGCTACCCCACCGCCCCACTTCTTGTGAGAAGTGTATGCAAGCAAATGAGAATGAACAGCATCCAATCTGGAACGTTTATTTCACAGGTTTGCCATACAGAGGGAAACACCATTCATTTAAATTAACCAATACAAGGCTCTGATCCCATTTAAGATTCTGCATATCTCAATGCCAACCTTTTTTATTCGGGAAAACTTAAAATTATGGGTGAAAAATATTATTTGGCTTCCACTGAATATACATACAATAAACTTTTGACCAAGGTGCCAAGATAGACACTCAGCTGCTTTGGTGTCCATTCCATTTTTTTATTATCCCATCTGAACAATTCCATGGTCCTAGTGGTAAATACAAATGGCCTCATTCATTCCAAAGTATTCTCAGTAAAGTGATGCATTCATTATTCAATGAATTATCACCATGAAATATCCAGGTGATATACTTGGCACATAGCTCACATGCAACACTGTAGCATGATCTGAGGAATATATACCACTCCACTTTTGATAAGGACATATTTTCTCTATGATACACAAAACCAATTTGTATATTATGTAGGGTATTTTCAAATGGAATGACACATCTGATGATCCCTGTCAAAAGTTGAGTAGTATATTGACATGTTCCATACAGTATAATCTGGATACATGTATATTTTGGCATGTTAACATTGCCCTTATCTGATACTCTTAAGACTCATATCGAAATGAGCAATGTCAAATGTAATTTATATTTCCAAAACATTAAATTTAAGTTTGGTGGTGGTGGTTTTTTCACCTGGTGCATATACCTATTATCCCTGATGAATGCAAATAAACTAGTGCTTTAGTTTTTGTTTATTGAAATGTGGTTGGGTGGATTTTCTGATGTAGGCTATTCCTGTTACGCCTTCAGTGGATACAAAGTCTATCAATGCATGGATCAAAAAGAAACTCAATCCTGAAATTCTTGTCTCTGAAGGTAAAAGCCTCAACCATAAGTTTAATGCTGTTAACTGTAAGAGATGCCACATAACATATCTACCTGCTTTGAATTTCATTCCCTTATTTGAAAAGCAACTGCAAAATTAAGTTCCATTTATTGTTAGGTGTGCAAGGTAGGGCAAGTATTTGGAGAATGTCTCTACCAATATCTACTGACCAACAAGTTGAAGTAGTGTACAAAAATAAGGAAACCTGTACAAAATTCATCACAGTTAAAATGTACACTTTACAGCAAGGTAGAATAAATAAATGACCGCTTCATAAGCAAAACAAATAACCACATAAAAATAGTAAATAAGAAAATAGCACTTTAAACAACCAGTTTTTTTAATACATGTCAAATAGTGGTTCAGTTGTGTGAGTGAGTGAGTTTAGTTTTACTCCACTTTCAGCAATATTCTAGCAATATCATGATGGGGGACACCAGAAATGGGCTGTACACATTGTACCCATGTGGGGAATGAAACCCGGTTCTTCGGCGTGACGAGCAAACACTAGGCTACCATGCCGGCCCGGTTCATTTACAAGATGTGTTTACTTGATACATCATTTTTACTGCAGATTCTGAAAGCGATCTTTCACGATTGTTTCCATTGCAGCTTATTTCAAAATAAGAGTGAGTGAGTGAGTATGGTTTTACGCCACTTTTAGCAATATTCCAGCAATATCACGGCAGGGGACACCAGAAATGGGCTTCACACAATGTGCCCATGTGGGGAATCGAACCCGGGTCTTCGGCGTGACAAGCCAACGCTTTCACCACTAGGCTACCCCACCGCCCCTTCAAAATAAGAAAATATATTAGAGAAGAAACACCACATTACAGTTCAATCTCAAACTTAGAAGTCTGGAATTCTCCGTAAACCAGGGTGCCGTTGTTCAAAGGGTTCTTGGGTGGTGGGGTAGCCTAGTGGTTAAGCGTTTGCTTGTCACGCCAAAGACCTGTGATCGATTCCCAACATGGGTACAATGTGTGAAGCCCATTTCTGGTGTCCCCCATCGTGATATTGCTGGAATATTGCTAAAAGCGGTGTAAAACAAAAACTCCCTCACTCACTCACTCAAAGGGATCTTAGCACTAAGGTGATTGTAACTCCCATACATAAACAAAGATTTACAACAGTCTTAGTGCTAAGCTTGCTTGCTTGCTTGCTTGCTTGCTTTCTTCAATGGCACCCAGATGTTCAGACATTAGCCTCTGAGGGATTATACCACTTAACACCCTGTGGATTGATACCTCCCTCCCACCATAGTCAATACATAGTCATAGTGAATACACAAACACCAGGTGGTGCAGCTGCTCCTTTAAAGAATCAAGCTGTGGTCTTGTTCATGCAGAATGGGGAAATATGCCAGAGTTATATGCATAGAGTCTTGATCTTCTTACCTCCATCAGATAAACAAATCGTCATCATCTGACCAAAAAAGTCACAACTTTGCAGCAACTGTACATATTCACTGGTAATGGAGAAAGTAGTGCAAATTACACTGACACTGGTTTCAGCGACATGTATTGGGTCCTGGTTTTGGTTTGGATGTTGTTTAACACTGCCCTCAGCAATATTCCAGCTGTATGGTGGCGGCCTGTAAATAATCGAGTCTGAACCAGACAATCCAGTGGTCAACAGCATGAACATCGCATTCTACGCAACTGGGAACCGATGACATGTGTCAACCAAGTCAGTGAGCCTGACCACCGATCCTGTTAGTTGCCCCTTGTGATAAGCATGGGTTACTGAAGATCAATTCTAACCCGAATCTTCACCCGGTCACTTGGGTCCTGGAGTAGTGTTTATAACCAAGTAGAAATGATTGTTACTATGACAATAATGCCTATGTATGGGTACATCCTGAAACAGTACAGGTTTCAGTGCACTTACAAGATCACTTAACACACTAGATTTAATATAACAAACACATCTTCATAAACTGGGGCACTGGAAAGGATCATGTCCTTTCAAGCACGATTCAAAGAGAAAACTATATATCCTAATTCTCAATCGTTTGTAATAGTCACTTTTGTTTAGTGTGTACAGACAATATTCAGAACCTGAAATCAAAATACACGCAGTGCGAAGAGTGAGTATGGTTTTATGCTGCTTTTAGCAATATCATGGCGGGGACAGTGCGAAGAAGCCACATGATATAATAAACAGTTTTCACATCAATCAACATATTTAATGCCTCTTTGGATTTGTGTGCACATGTGTGATCAGATCGAGTGTGTAGCACGTGCTGGAGTAGCACTGTTTCAATACTGATCGACAATATGGAGTTTCAAAGCATGGTTCTTGTCACCATGACAACACTGAGGGTATATTATTCAAAACATGTACATTCCAGGTCTCTCACCGTCCTCCAAACTGAGTTCACCAGTACTGGCAGCTTGTGTAACCTGAAGTAACCTATTTAATAATAAGACTTCACTTGGGATTAACAACAGAAGGTAACACATCTGCCATTTTAAAAACAGTTCATTTTGAATTATATGAAATTGACCTTTGATTGAGTGGGTTGTCAGGTGACTTTTGCCATTCTTTTTTCAACATTTGTTTTAACTGTGATAATCTGAGATTGGGATTTTCTTGTTTGAGACGTGGAAGATGCTCTGCTTCAAAGTCAGTATATGCTGCTTTGACACGCTTTTCGGGATGTCGCTCAAGTTTTTCTTGTTTAATACTGAAAGAAAGGAAAGATATAATAAACATAAAGTTTTCTTTTCCCAGTTTGTTGTTTAACACCACAATCAGCAATATTCCAGCTATATGGCAGATGGCAGCAGGGTGTTAATAACGAAATGTGGACCAGACAATCCAGAGATTCGTATTCCAAGCAACATCCCTTTACAAGTCACAAAGCCCAACCACTTTGGATGCCTCTAACAACAGTAGTAGTAGTAGTAGTGAGTTTAGTTTTTACGCTGCACTCAGCAATATTCCAGCTATATGGCGGTGGTCTGTAAATAATCGAGTCTGGACCAGACAATCCAGTGATAACAACATGAGCATCGATCTACGCAATTGGGAACCGATGACATGTGTCAACCAAGTCAGCGAGCCTGACCACCCTATCCTGTTAGTCGCCTCTTATGACAAGCATGGGTTACTGAAGATCAATATTCTAACCCGGATCTTCATGGGTCTCTAACAACAGAGAGGTCATCAATGACAAATAAATACATATAACGTCAAGACATGGTTCAAAGTTGTGCACAGGAAGCTTTCAATTATTATTCCTATCATCATCATCAACCCTATAATTTTCAATACTGATCCAAGAACATAGAAAATAAATTTACTGTCCTATCCTTTTCTCCTGAAGAGAACCTAAATTTTTCTCTGAAAAAGTCTGTCCCCAAATTTTCTTCTGTATAAAACTGTAACCAACTATTTTTTGGACAACATGGACAAGGTCAACCTTTTCAGTTTCATTAGTAGTTCGCACCTGAGAAGGGAAATGGCCTCCTCAACAGTTCTTGCTTCCTGGCCCTCCACGTCCAGGCGGTTGATGTTTTCTTCAAGGGGTTTTTCATCATGCACTAACTCCTTTTCCTGCTTCTCAGCTGTGGAAGAATATTTGAAACTGGTTAACAGCAAACAGTCTGGGTCAAGGGAGACACACCATACTAAGTCATGAACCTATACACAGCTGTCCACACAGGATATCCATATTAATATACCTTGTATAATCATGATGATTGTATGTGTTATTTTAATCTCAATGAAAGCAGGAAGTCAGTTAAAACATATGTTATTTATGACATGAAACATGACTACATGAAGTAATGTTTCTATATATACTATCGATTTTTATGTTACTAGGTAAATTCATAATCACGATAAAATCTCAATAATCTTTTGTTTGCCAGGCTACCAGAGATAGACTCCACCATTAAACATCCAACAGAGGAAGATGCCACTGTGAGATATACAACATGGTAGACACAATAATGATCTATACAACAAAGGTAGACACCACAATGTTTTAAACAATAAAGGTAGACACTACAATGTTTTAAACAACAAAGGTAGACACCACAATGTTTTAAACAACAAAGGTAGACACCAAAATGGTGGCCACCATGCCCGTGTACAACAAAGGTAGAGGCCACCATGCCCTGTACAACAAAGGTAGAGGCCACCATGCCCTGAACAACAAAGGTAGAGGCCACCATGCCCTGTACAACAAAGGTAGAGGCCACCATGCCCTGTACAACAAAGGTAGAGGCCACCATGCCCTGTACAACAAAGGTAGAGGCCACCATGTCCTATACAGCAAAGGTAGAGGCCACCATGTCCTGTACAGCAAAGGTAGAGGCCACCATGCCCTGTACAACAAAGGTGGAAGCCACCATGCCCTGTACAACAAAGGTGCAGGCCACCATGCCCTGTACAACAAAGGTGGAGGCCACCATGCCCGGTACAAGAAAGGTAGAGGCCACCATGCCCGGTACAACAAAGGTAGAGGCCACCATGCCCTGTACAACAAAGGTAGAGGCCACCATGCCCTGTACAACAAAGGTAGAGGCCACCATGCCCTGTACAACAAAGGTAGAGGCCACCATGCCCTGTACAACAAAGGTAGAGGTCACCATGCCCTGTACAACAAAGGTAGAGGCCACCATGCCCTGTACAGCAAAGGTAGAGGCCACCATGCCCTATACAGCAAAGGTAGAGGCCACCATGCCCTGTACAACAAAGGTAGAGGCCACCATGCCCTGTACAACAAAGATGGAGGCCACCATGCCCTGTACAACAAAGATAGAGGCCACCATGCCCTGTACAACAATGGAAGAGTCAAACACTTGACACCTAGAGGAAGATGCCACCATGTGATATTTAATAAGGTAAACACTGCATGAGAGCATAAATGAGTGAAAACAGAAAATAGTTGAAGTTGGCTCTAATGACATGAGGTCAAAAGTGGCACCTCCTCAGGCCAGACACTTTGTTTATAAATCTGCAGTGAATGGGTACCTGGTAGGATGAGAAGGCAATTAAACTGCAAACCTATCTGTGACCTCTAAAAGTTTGTTTTGTTTAGACCTAAGACGGCCAAGAATGAAACTTGAAAGCACACTTATCCAAAGACTGGAGAAATTCACGCTGATGCTAACAGGGACTTATGGCAGATTCCAAACCAAGCGCTCATGGAGGCAAATTGGAGGAAAGGAATTACTTTGTGCAAAATTGGGAATTTTTAAACAGACATTATATTTGTAAATTCAGATGTATTTTATAATATAATTTTTAACATTGTGCTCAGTACTGAAAAGTCTCCTCCTCCTCTTTACTAGTCCTGTTATCAGACCGCCTCCGTGGTGTAGTGGTTAGAGCGTCCGCCCGGAGAGTGGAAGGTCGCGGGTTCTATCCCCGACCGCGTCATAACAAATGCATTAAATTATGGTACTTGTTGGTCCCTGCCTGGCGCTCGGCATTAATGGGTACAACAAGGACTGGTCGGCTCGGAGTCAGTATAATGTGTCTGAGTGGGGTATTCATGCTTCACTGCGGCATGGTATCTCAGTGGGCTAGCACTATAACACCAGCTTAAGTCTGGGCTAGTGCAAGCAGCCACACATACACATACACACGCATGCACATCGTCATATGAGCGGAATATTCTCAAGCACGACGTAAAACCCAATTTCACCTCACCTCACTAGTCCTGTTATCAGTGGCATACAAGCGAAATCTTCAAATCTATTGATTTTATCACAGCTCTGATGACAAGAAAATGGGATCTGGATTTTTTTAATGGTGGTGGTAAGTAAGTTGATTGTACCTGCTGCAGCTGCTGCTTGAAGTCTCTCCTGCTGTGCAGCAATTTCTGCACGTGTTAACTTGGCTGCAGCCACAGGTTTTGCACTCTTCAGCTTGCTCATCTCTTCGTCATGAAGCTGCTGCAGCTCTTTCTTCTTCTCCACTTGCTCCAAGCGCTTCTTCTCCTTGTCCTCCTGAACAAACAGTGAGTGAATTTGTAAGCTTGTATCAGTATGGTATGTGAATACTTTACCCACAACACTACCACCCATCTTACACATGTTCACTATAGTGTGTATATATACATATATCTGTGTACAATACATATGAAGTAAGTCAAACACTTACCAATGAAACTTTTTGATAAATGTCTACCATAATAAGAAAGCAATGGCTTATGAGGCTTTGGTTCAGAATGATGTTATCTTTTGCCTGTGACTGAAGACTTAAGAGTGATGGTAATATGAGTCTCAAAGACACAGAAACTATGGATATTCATCAGATCAGTACAGTTAATAGAGCACTAGCACAGTTCTGACTAAAGATGGTTTCGTCTCCACATTTGCATACATGTTACAAGCTATAAGAATGAATAACATGTTCTTTTTTCACATTGCTGATTTTTATCAACTTGTTCTTACTTTACGTTGCTGTTTTCTTGCAACATGCTTGTCATCATCTCTCCAAAGCTCATCTTCAGCTTCTTTTTGTTTCTTTTCTTGTTCAGCATATTTTTGGGCATCTCTTCTTGCCCTTGCTTCTACTGCTTTCGAATTTTCTCCTTTGAATTTCTTCGGCATTTTTGAAATATCAAAATGTCCAGTACTTCAATATATCTGAAAAATATGCACAAAACAAAGGTAAACAACTGGAAAGGAAAACTTAATCCTTTGGGGTTAAATACCAAACCTGTGGCTATTCTGAGTTTGAGGGAGGGATGGGAGAGAAGGAGTGGGGGATTTATAGTTCGTTTAAATAAACTTGTATTCCAGCGAGGCACACCTTGGTACAGTGCAAAGTCATCTAGTTATATGCTGGACTAGGGGCTATATATACATCACAAAGTGTCAGCTTGATCATGTTGATGTGGGATGAAAGCCTGGAGTGAGTGAGTGAGTGAGTGAGTGAGTGAGTGAGTGAGTGAGTGAGTGAGTGAGTGAGTGAGTGAGTGAGTGAGTGAGTGAGTGAGTGAGTGAGTGAGTGAGTGAGTGAGTGAGTGAGTGAGTGAGTGAGTGAGTGAGTGAGTGAGTGAGTGAGTGAGTGAGTGAGTGAGTGGTGAGGAGTGAGTGAGTGAGTGAGTGAGTGAGTGAGTGAGTGAGTGAGTGAGTGAGTGAGTGAGTGAGTGAGTGAGTGAGTGAGTGAGTGAGTGAGTGAGTGAGTGAGTGAGTGAGTGAGTGAGTGAGTGAGTGAAGTTTTACGCCACACTCAGCAATATTCCAGATATATGGCGGCGGTCTGAAAATAATCGAGTCTAGACCAGACAATCCAGTGATCAACAGCATGAGCATCGATCTGCGCAACTGGGAACCGATTACATGTGTCAACCAAGTCAGCGAGCCTGACCACCCTATCCCGTTAGTCGCCTCTTACGACAAGCATAGGTTGCTGAAGACCTAAGTATTCTACCCCGGATCTTCACAGGTCCCTGAAGTGATGAACATCTCAGATATTTACCACTTTGTTTAGCTGGGATTCGAACACAGAATAAATATGGACATGTTTATGCACGCTTTGGTGCAATGTAGTAATGTAGAGCAAAGTTCATAAACAGGACCTATTCACATTCTGATTACTTACAGACCATAATTGTAAAATTAGGTATTTCGGGTAGATTTACTTATACCGGTACCACAAAATATAGTTTCTGCGCGAGATCGGAAGGAAGCTTAAGGTTAGGGTTTGGGTTAGCAGGGTTAGGGTTTGACTCCTAGGTACAACAACGGGAAGTAGCTAAGACAATGGTTCCGGTTTAAGTAAAGTGTTCCAGTATTTCTAAAGTAAGTGCTAAACAAAGAACAGAAAACTTCGAACAGCTGTCGAAGAAGCGGGGAAATGGGAGCCAAGAAATGTATGGTAGAAGTGAACCTGACGAGAGTATTGGCGGCTTCGGAAAGTCAAACAAACTGGTTTGAAACTTTGAAAAACGTCCACAAACAGTGTTGCTTTCTAAAATTATTATACGTTGCATTTATCAAAGCTAAAGAAAAAATTCTCATATCAAACATACACTCCAAACTTCTGAACACACTCTCGTCTGCTTGCTGCTCAGACAATATGTCTGACTGTTGCACAAATTACCTGTAAACTTTTCCTTTGGACTAACGAAATGGTTAAACAGACTGGTTATGACCATCAGTTGAGTCCTACACACAGAAAGGCAGCCGACTTTAATATTTCACACAACTTTGCAATATTTACACGCAAAACGGAAGTGAAACTACAGGAACTGAAATGGATCATTGTGCAAATTCTGAAATACGACCTCAATCTTCAAACGTTTCACGATGCAACTGTATATATGCAGAGCAAATTTTCTTTGTGAAACATGTTAATTTATTTATCCCAGTTAAACAGCACAATCAAGCAAACTACTATTTGATCAAACCCAATTACCAAATTCCGCATTTACTACAAAGGATACCAATTTTAAGTCAACCAAGCATAAAGCTCCTTGCAGCATAAAGAGTAATGCGAGGAGCATTCATTTTGCAAACTGGTGTCCTGTCTATATATTTATATGCAGCGTAGATTTATAGCGCATCAAATACAAACCACTTATTTACACAATATGGCTGACAAAGTTTCCTCACATGGGGATAACACAGACGAAAGTGAATTATTAAGTGTCCAAAAGAAAATAAGTGAAACCAGTCTTCAAGCAGATGCATCTGCTAACGAAGACGAAAAGAACGAACGAAAAATAACTCAAACAGATCACTTGAACAAGAAATTGCTTGGTGCCTTCCTGTCTCGCCTGAACACCAACGAGAATTCTGTTGCTCTTGCTGCCAATAAACCGGAGGAAGACGAAAGGAAGGAAGACAGTTTTGACGAGCATAACTAATCACTATGGCAAGAAACTATTTCGTAATTGGCATTTCAGGGTAAGCTGAACTGAATAAGTAATAAAAGTAATTCGATTGTTCACAATCACGGTCTATTGGTGGGTGGTGCTTTGCCTATGGTGGATGCTACACTCTTCACGCTGGGGTTCCATTACCCACATGGGTACAATATGTGAAGTACTGGTGTCCACGGCAGCTGTCAGTCACTGAGATGGCCTACCCTTTCGGAAAGAGTTCCTTACGTACCCCCCGCGTAACTCGTACGTAACTCTTACCGTCATCTCTTTTATACGTGAAGCATTCCGCATACTTGGGTTAAAATTGGTCTCATGTTTTGGTGTTTATTTATAAGTATTTCTTCAATTTGAGCATAATAATTTTCAGTACAACAAACAGTGGGAAAACAACTGCTGTGAGAAAACTACGTGCAACTTTTCCTGGGTCTACCACAATGTGTCAAGATTGCTACTTCCTGGTTGGTTCATATTTAAGACAGCCAATAAAAACTGTAAAGATTATGGTTATGCTCAACAAGAATGTTAAGAATACCCAAATGATTTTGAGATGCAATTTTCTCAAAAGTAGGAGGGAGGTATTCGGTTATTTTCTATATTAAAACAAAGTGGTATGCATGATGAGAGAGGAAAGTGTATATTTCTTCCCTGCAAACACTGCTATTCACACTTTGAACTCTACTCTTTATCATTCGATCCTTATTAATTGTCGGACGTGAATAACATAATCTACATCAACTGACACAGGTCGTTTTGGAACCAGTAGTAAAAGTGTTTAGCCAAAGGCCTGTGTTTTGATTCTCCAAGTGGGTACAATGTGTGAAGACCATTTGTGGTGTCCCCACTGTGAATATTGCATATATTTCTGGAATATTACTGAAAGCAGCAAAAAACCTAATTCACTCACTCCCTCATATGACACATGAAGTATTTTTTATTGGCAAGGAAGATTATGGATGCATAGATTTAGTAAGATGTCATAATTCGTCTGTCAATGTTACTCTAATAATTGGTTGTGAATGTATTCTAGGATCCTCATGATGAAAGGCTAGAGATGATACCACAACGAAACCATGCCAACTGGGAAAGTAAGTTTATCATGTCTTGCCTTGTTTTTCCCTGCAGAAGTGACTAAAAATGATGTGGCCAAGCTCTGGTTGATATATCTCATATTAAACAACAATCCAATTAGACATTGTCGTAGGCTTGTATACCACCACCATCGGATTTGGATTATTTACTGGGGTCTCCTAGTAATGGTAAGAAAGTGGTACTTTTCGGATTATTTTACTGTTAATGAAATTGTAATGCAGTATGGCGTCTAGTATATGAACGACTAAGCCTTGATGTGCAGGAAACAACATAGCATTCATATACTTCACTGCTGAATGTCAATAGGAAATGTGTGCACTGTTACAGAACTGGGGCAGTCGGGTAGCCTTGTGGTTAAAGCGTTCGCTCGTCACGCCGAAGACCTGGGTTTGATTCCCCACATGGGTACAATGTGTGAAGCCCATTTCTGGTGTCTCCCGCCGTGATATTGCTGGAATATTGCTAAAATCCCCGTAAAACTAAACTCACTCACTCACTGTTACAGAACTGTCTGCAATTGATATGAAGTCAATGGTGAATAATGTCCATAAGTGGATACAGTACCAACAAACCAAGAGAAGCAACTCCCCCCAGTTTTCTCTTCATTGACGGATTCCTGATTTACAACTATAGGTAGGTAAGGGAGCATGTCTGTGTCACATATTGGTGGGATGGAAGACATATACTTCAAAGTCAAACTGAATAGGATATCTTTATATTAGCTGTTTGTAAAATGACTTGAATGCCATGATTAGGAGGTGATCTGCACCAGGGTAAACCATGTTTGGATGCAGAACGTTCACAGTCTGGGTCATTTTGTTTTTGTAATTGTACTGTGTATGCATGACACACCATTGAAGGACCCAATCTGTTTTCTCTGAGGAGATTCTGGACTAGAATAGATCTTCAGCAACCCCGCTTGTCACAAAAGGTGACGAATAGGGTTGAGCGTTCAGTCTCATTGATGCATTTCACCGTATCCCAATAGTGTACATTGATGCTTGTATTGTCAATCACTGGATTGTCTCATCCAGATTCAATTATTTACAGACTGCCATCATATAGCTGGAATATTGCACAGCGTAGTGTTAAACAACAAACTGACTATACAAAATGTTTACTTTATGCTCTCAGTACATGTTCTGTAGATAATTCAGGGTCTCATATTTAGCTTTATGAAAATGAGCATTGTTGCGGATTTGTTTTCTTGTTGCAATTTAATTCTTAATAAATTATTCAACTTTTTATTCTGTTTAATGTTATAATACAGTTGGATTTCCCACATTAGTATAGTGTGTGATAACTGATGTCTTTAATATTGGTAAAAGCTCCATAAAACCTCACACTCACTCACTCACCCCCACTCACTCACTCACTCACTGTATATTTGAGATTTTAATTGCTATGTTGTGTTACAGTCCCTTGGCAGAGTTATTTGACAGGAAGTATTTCCTCACCATTGACAAGGAGACATGTAAAGATCGACGGAGGTATGACACTTGTTTCTTCCTTTGAGTGCATCCACTGATGCCTAGTATCAGTCAACACACTTCAGTGGTGGACTTGTACATGCTGTATGCACATCATGCACCATTAGGACCTGTATCACTATTTGTATTTCCCAGCCACGAGGTGGGAGGAAGATACTGTTACAGGGTGTTTTTTCGTCAATTCTTCCATGAGCTGGATTTAGTTTCCCGAGCACAAATCACGGTACAAGTTCCCTGTATTCTCTTGTACTGCATGCTTTCTATTGCGCCATGGGTGAAAATCTGATAATAAATAGAGGAACACTGCACTGAAGTGATGTTGCATTATGTGTTTTCCTCAGTATGAAATAATATAGATTTCGAAAAACAAATTTACTATCAGCCCTGTTTGAATTAGCCCTTTGACGATTGTGTTCTTCTAAATGAGAAGTTTTGAATCAGTAACATTCGAAGTTCACTTGACTGGAAATAAAGGAAAGAAGGTATCAGTGGTTTGTAGAGTTAGCATAGTGAGATGAGCGTACATGATGCACCAAAATGTGACATGTACTCGCAAGCATCAAGACTTAACACGATTTCAATAGGTACACTCAGATAAATGACATATATATATATATTCTAATGTTATGATAATTTGCATAAGGCAGTATTGATGACATTGTGTTCTAGTTTCCATGTTTGCCCGATATTAATGTGTTGATGTGTTACTCTTCAGTGAGAGGGTGTACGTGCCGGCAGATCCTCCCTGGTATTTTGAGGAGGTGGTGTGGCCAATGTATAACCTCAATCTAGAAGAGATCAGGGCCCAGAATGACATATGTGAGTTTCTCTGAATTATGTTGGCACTTGTATTATCAGTATAAGGAAATGATGTATCCTCCCTACAACCTACCAAAGTCTAGTGATAGTCTATTGTGACCAACTATTGCAATCGTTTTTCTCTCTCCTTGAATTGTCTCATTTGAAGTCAGTTCCCAAATGAATGTAGTAGATATTGTAGGTGGGCATGCACAGTGCTCGACCAATAGGATGTTGATGGTAGGTTGGTAGTTGGTAGGGCTATAACAATGCATTGAACTATCGATCGATTGCAATTGTTGAGTTTCGATAGCAATTAATCGACGGTAGAAACTAAAAACTATCGATGCATTTATTGAATGTGTGACTATGGATAGTTTTGTAATTGACTTTATTTTTATTAAATATTTATGTTATTTTGTATTTTTTTATTGTTTGGGTGAAGACTTGCAGCTCCATAGAGTTTATGTTTTAACGGTTTACTTGATCTGGGTTTCAAGTTTCTTGTCAGCTATTATTAGAGACTGAAACTACTTCAACTTGTTTATATTTCATATAAACTATATTTTATATGCTGTACAGTATGTGACATTTAAAGAAAACAGATTATCTTCTTCTGTTATGAAACATCTAATTTGGAAAAGTTACTTATGTACTCTGTTTTGGCAACAACCAACCTCCTACTCCTGATTAAACAAGACACCTGTGTGAATGATTTCAACAAAAATTTGCACAATGTCACTGTAGTGGGTTAGTGAAAACCAAGTCATCATCGTCTGGTGACAGTCTCCTAATGTTGTCATTTATTGATATGAAAAGTACTTGGCTTGCAGCCTGATACTTGATTCTGGACCCGTGAAGATCCGGGGTAGAATAGGTCTTCAGCAACCCATGTGCTTGCCATAAAAAAGGCGACTATCTTGTCGTAAGAGGCGACTAACGGGATCGGGTGGTCAGTTTCGCCGACTTGGTTGACACATGTCATCGGTTCCCAATTGTGCAGATCGATGCTCATGCTGTTGATCACTGGATTGTCTGGTCCAGACTCGATTATTTACAGACCGCCGCCATATAGCTGGAATATTGCTGAGTGCGGCGTAAACCTAAACTCACTCACTCACTCACTTGATTCTGACCCTACTGTCTATAACTAAGATTGTGTTAGATATGACAATATTATATCTGGTTCATATTGGTGGTGGTCCGGTTAATTGAAATAATCGAAGATTGGTCGCAATGACTAAACGACCAAGCAATCGATCATGTTTTCTCATAATCGAACACAAACAATTTTGAAACACTTGAAATATACATGTTAATAGATATGAGTTGTCCATCGAAGTGAATATATTTTTCACAGGCAGATTATGAGGTTAAAGGTTGATGGTAGATTAGCCTTTCCAGGTTTCCATCAAAGTTTTAAAGATTTTCCTATCTTTTGACAGGTTTTGAGTGGAGCAGAGGACCAGGAGAAACTGGTAAACATAATAAAAGAAGATATCCATGAATTCTTAAAGAAATCCAGGTGTTTGTGAACATGTTGAGGTTAGAATCTGTGATGGATACTATGAACAGACCTGTATGAAGGCTTTGTGTATGTATGCAAGAGAGATCAGAATAATGGTATTTACATGCATTTTGGTTTCTGAGAAGGTATAAACATGTCTCAGGTATTTTGTTGTATATTGAGAACTAGACTACTGTATTACATACTCATGGAAACAAACAAGGGAACACATGAAAGTACAGGTGTTCCTTTATTCTTTTCCAGGTTTCTTTACAAGGTATATATTGCAATGTGGGTGAAATTCTGGAAATAAATAAAGGCACACTTGTACTTTCATGTATTCCCTTATTTGTTTCCATGAGTATATGTATCCACCATTCCACTGATAAACAAACTTTGGAGGCAAATCTTTTGATTAAAAAAACCCAGATTCACAGTGAATTCAGATTTAGCCATAAAAACATATGCTGTGTGATTTTAATAACAGTTGTTGTTATAAGTCATGTAGATGCAATAGGCATTTTATAAGCAACTGTTTCTTTATGCACATCTAACTTAACAGTTCGGTTAACTTTGTAACTTCCCTTTGACATGACAGGATCTCCTGATCTCAGGTTCAAACCCCTGATTTACAGGATTATGATCCTGGATTTGTCAACGGTGTACCCGTGCTGTTGGGTTTCAGGAAATAATCTTTTTTCTTTAACCTTTTATCTGCTTCACTTTGTGTTTCACTTTGGCTTTTACATGAAGCTAGCATATCACGTTGCAACTGATTCCTGTATCAGTGTGTGACTTTTTTATCAATCCAGGGAATACTTTGTATGTTTTGCTTGACAAATGTGTGGGTCACTTTTTAGGGGTACGGTGAATAATATGTTTATGAATAATCCAGGATTTTACAAAGTTTCAAGTTTTCAAACTGAAATTCAAAATCTTTATATTATTTTTCATATCATGATAGTAGTGAAACTTAAGACAAATTGCATGTGTTATTTTAAACTCATGTCCCCTTGTATATTCGGAAAAGGGAAAACAATAGAGGATAGTAATATATTTTTGGATCACGTGACTGTGTGCTGCAATTATGTTCTAATTAGTATTGTATTAGTGTGTTGTTAGTTTGTTACACTAACACATTAACTAATGACTGATGTTATTGCATGTGGGTTTTTTATGTAAAAACAAAACGTGTCTATAGAGACTTTAATGTGCTGAACTAGTTAAATTTAAAAGATTCTGATCGGCCTTCTCACTTGTCAAAGAACTTTCTTGGCTTCCCTCATCACCAGGCCTCTCAGGAGGGTGGTGTTACACTTGTTGAAGTGCCGATCAGCTATCATAGTTAATAGCTTCGGTGAGTGGCAGTTTAGAAGTACAGTATTGACAAACTTTATGGAAAAAAACTTTTATATTTCATGACAGCGACGTTACGATACAGATTCTTGTACCGTTGTCAAGTTAGACATCAGTTAAAGAATCTGTATCAAAACCTTGCACTCACAAAATAAAGGATCTTATTCACATAGTTTGTCAGTATTTATCACAGTTAATGCTGCACACTCAGTGTTTCTTTAGTGCACTTAACTGCAGTGTTATTTACTTGGAGGGCAAAATGATGTACATTGTATCTGTTCCAGTAATTTACATCTACATTCCCAAAACATTACTCATTCAGTTTCAACAAAACCATTCTCCAGTTTTCATTAAGAACAGTTTAGAAGTATCTGATATGTACATTTTGTGATAAACACTTATTAATATGTAGTATGAAAGACAGAATTATGAATGGAGTTAAATGTAGTAGAGCTTGGAAAGATGAGGTCTAGGAACAGTGTAGAAAGAGTCATGGCTGTAGTAATATGTATTTAGGGACCGTTCATAATTTGTGGGGTGGGGAGGTGTCAGCAATTTTTGTACCTGCGTACTAGGGGGTCAGCAATTTTGTACATTTAATGTTTAAAATTATGGGAAGGGGAGGGTGGGTCATTGATTTTGTACATGACACATTGGGGGGGTGTTTCACTTATTTTGTACATAAATTTTAGGGGGGTCATTCACATTGTACATGCTTCTCCATAAAAATCATCACCACCCCTAGCCATAAATTATGAACGGTCCCTTAATTGGACACGTTATTACATTGAACCAGTGTCCCCTTTCTAGGTACGGTTGAGCATGTCACTGTGTGCACCACTGATTATATATCTTTGTATGCTTGTCATATTGATACCTTTTATACATGATAGTGTATTTGAATGTCAGTTCTGAATAAAACCATCATCATATATTGTTGATTATTATTGTTGTGGGGTTTCCGAGTTAGAATTGGTCTCCGGCAACCTAAACTGGTCATAGTAACAACTCTATGGATCATGTGGTTAGGCTCAGTGACTTGACCAGACTTGTTTACTGGCTGTCATCACATATTTTGTTCAAGGAGGCATCCCACGGTGGTTCAGTTGATCGTTTTTAAAAAGCACCTTTTTCCATTATGACATAATCTATAACTTCAGAGGCACAAACCATCTAGCAGCACAGTTGAAAATTGTTACAGAGAAACAGGTAATTCAGTAGGGTTGGCAATCAATATAGATCAAAGAGGTTGATAATCGTTAACTAAATATTGATCGCTTACCGATAAATATCAGAGACATAACCTGAGCAAAAATGTCTGAAAAATGATGAATATATTCTACATCTCTGGTGAGTGGTGACATGTTTTGCAAAACAGCGTCCTGAACATAAGTTAGAATCAGACCATGAATAAAGTCCTAAATATGCATATTGTGTGAGAAAATCAAACCTTTTTCTGCCACAAAAGTTAATGTGTGATATTATTGATAACACAATTTTCATATCGATAATCATTAATAATTTTTCTTATCGACAATATTTCTAATTCTCAATCATTTTAGTCAGCCTTAAAATTCAGTGGTTGACAGTTTTGAGCAACGAAGCTCCTACTCTGGGTATGAGAGCCTGAGTTTAGGCCTCTGTAGTTCTAACTGAGATGATCATTTCACAGATACAGTTTTCCCAGAAATTATTGAGAAAATCTTTATTTCCTAATACTGATAATAGAATTTTAAAATAGGTGTTACATTATGTAGTTAGGTACTCAATATGGGAGGCAACTCTTGTAGGCTTAAGAATGAACCTTGTTATCTCCCCTGGTGTAGCCAATGGCTTCCTTTGTTGACATGGCAGATTTGACAGCCAAAGAATGCTGGTTCTAGATGATTTTGAAAGGGGTGTGACTAATGCAAAAGAGTTAGCTGGTAGACATGACATTCCTCTGTCTACAGTATACAGTCTTGTCAGAACTTCAAAGGATATTCAGTCAAGAGCAGGGATTGAGCAGAAGACAGGAGAAGGGAGGCCAAGGAAGTATAGTACTATGGATCACCGGTGACTTGGTCAGATTGTGAGTAGGGGAAAATTGGAAAGCGTTGAGAATATCAGAAATGAGATGATTAATAGAGGGAGTCCTCAGGTATGTAATGAAACCCTTAGACAAGAATTACAAAGTCTTAACTGGATGAAAAAGCGTGGAATTCCATCACCATTGATGAAAGATGCACAGAAAGAAAGACGTTTAAAATGGTGTAGGGCTCATGAAAATCAAGATTGGGTTAATGTTTTCTTTTCTGATGAAAGTTCTGTCTGGCTTTTTCCAAACTGTGTGAAAATTGGACAAAAGATACCGTGAAATCTATCTACCAACGCCCAAAGCATAGCCTGAAATTTCATGTGGGGTGGGATATCATCACGTGGAGTGCAACGTTGTGTATTTTCAATGGAAATTTGACCAATGAAAGATATGTTGACATCTTAAATGGTCACCAACTTCCAACAGCCTGAACACCAGGCATGATAACAACCCACAACACACTGTGGGCTACATAAAACAGTGGTTGTCGGACGAAAACGAAAGTTTTAAACTGGCCCAGCTACAGCCTTGACAACCCTATTGAGAATGTGTGGGGACTAATGAAGGACAGAATAAACCAAAAAGGACTTAAAAATATTGAGGATATTAAGAAGTAGTTGAATATTAGGATACGCTGTCACACAATTTCCTACAAACTTTGGTCAGTAATGTACCTAGGCGCATTCAGTCGTGCATTGCCGTGCAAGGAGGTCTCACAAAAAAACACTTAGACTGTAAGAGAATCATATCTCATCATATTCATTTAAGTATAACTTCTATAGTTTATATACACGTATTAGATATTTGCCGAAACAACTTTCTCGATACTTTCTGGGAATACTATATATACCTTCACTGAGATAGAACTTCTTGGCAAAATATTGTTGTCATCTTCTATAAAATCCACTGGTTCTTTCTAATGGGATGGATCATGCCAGTTGGATACTGGTAGGTACAGTTCAAGACAAGTGTTTGCCACTGATATGGCAATGTCCCCCGCCGCTAAAGAATGGAATATTTATAACATATTTACTACCTTTTATTTTTTGGTCAAATACAAGATGCCTGAAATGACTGGTGTCTGCATAATCACCCAATGTAGGCTGTTGACATAATTGAAGAAATTGGGTGCAACGTTTTATGAGATACCATGTTTACATAAGTTTGAAGATAAGGTCAAGGTCACCCAAATCAACTGGTGTCTGCGTAATCCCCCCAATGTAGGCTGTCATCAAATTTGAAGACATTGGCTACAACAGTTCATGAGATATCACATTAACAAAAGTTTGAAAAGTGGTCAGTGTCATGGTGACCTTGAAAATAAGGTCAAGGACACTCAAATCGACTGGTGTCTGGGTAATCCCCCAATGTAGGATGTCACCAAATTTGAAGACATTGGGTACAACAGTTCATGAGATATCGCATTAACAAGAATTGGGACATACGTACGTACGGACGCTGCTGAATACATAGTCCCCCGTTCCGTGTTGCAGCAGGAGACAATAATAAAGACACTTTCAGCTCAGTCCCTGAATAGGAGCTGACACTATACAGTACTGTCAATAGCATGTACTACACTGAAAAAATACTCATGATTATGAGATGACAAATTTTATGGATATCAACATCTCTTATTTTGCGAGTGCGACATTTCGATACAGATTCTTCTACCATTGTCAAGCATGAATGATATCAGATATCCACAAAATAACAACATGAATCAGTATTGTTTAAAAAAACATTTATACAAGAGTAAACATTTAAAAAACTATCAATGTACAAAACAATTATTTGTATTAAAGAATGAAAGAGTTGACGTATTACCTAATTTATCAACATTGAAAATACTGCTTGACATGCCCCAAGTGCTTTGTGTGATTCAAGTTACTGCTACAGTCTCAACATCAGAGGAGATGTGCAGGTTTCATGTAAAAATTGTTTTTCCCCTAAGGAAATCACAATCAAGTTTGTACAAGGAACTCACGAAAATGATGACAATGAAACTACAAAATGATAAAATGAATCTGTGGTATAAATCCTTAAATAAGATTTTTTTTATGAAATTAAAATCCTCAGCACATTTTCCATCAATCAACAAAAGTAAATAACTGCCAGAAGGAATATGAATACGACACAAGCAAATGTGTAATTATCTGTTGTTCATTGTCTGAAACAAACATAAGATACAAACACTTGCTGCCCAAACAGATTGATGATGGATCAGAGCATTAAATACCTTTTGAGAGGAATGTTCCTTCTCAGCAAAATAACACAATTGTGTAGTTTCAAGTCTTATCCAATAAATCCTCTTCAAGGACTTTCTATGATTGTTCACAAAAATACCCTACACAATTTCTGAGTAGTACCCTGGTTGACTTTTTCTTCCATGGATAATGATGACCATATTAAATGAAGCTACAGGCAGTAACCATGGTAACTTGTAAACCAATCCTTTCGGTCCTTCTAATGACAAGATACAACATGTCCATAAGTAAGAACAATTAATATTAATTATGACTGAACTTTCCAAATTTAAACTCAACTACTACCAAGGTCAGCAAATACACCTGTATTTCTCCATCTCACTGGCACACACATCAACATGATGACAGGTCATGGCTCAGTTTGAAATAATTTTAACCAAATGTTTTCAGTTACTTGTTTTGTAGATTTTTCTTTAGTCATGTGATCAGAGTGAGTGAGTGAGTTTAGTTTTACGCCGCTTTTAGCAATATTCCAGCAATATCACAGCGGGTGACACCAAAAAAGAAGCTTCACACATTGTACCCACATGGGGAATCGAACCCGGGTCTTCAGCGTGACGAGCAACCGCTTTAACCACTAGGCTACCCCACCGCCCCCCGAAAATGAAAATTGCAAGAAACATGTTAAAAACATGATTGGAAATAATCTCATTAATCCATTTTAGAGGGAGAAACATGATTGTCTGAAAGGAACCCATAATGACCTACCCACAGTAGCCTTTCCAATCTCCCAGAAAGGTTTTACCTTTAGTGTGACAACAGCAGTCATCATAAACTTCACCACTTTCCATTAAACATTACAAAGTAAAGAATAAGTCATCTACTTTAAAGTTTCTAATAACTAGTATGTTTAGCTTTCATTTCCTTTTTTTAAGGCTGCATCACATGAGCATCTGCAAACGCTTTGAGTGATATGTCGTTGTGAACAGTATTCTATTTCAATCACAGCTTCAGGTGGACAAACTGCCCAAGGTGACACTTGTCTTGCATGTTCTGGGTGTTGAACCAAACATTTTGTGGCACTGACAACCCAAGAACCACAATCAAGAGAAAGCTGAGATTCCAATCCATGGTCAATGGATCCAGGGACATCTAAGGGGGATAATTCTTCATATCTAGGTTGTGAGCCTCAGACCACCAGGCTACCAACCTATTCACTCCAGATTCAGGGGGATATGACTGATTTTGTTCTGTAGACTTCCTGATATTGTGATAAATAATGAGCAAAAGGATTGTCATGGAAACACCTGTTTTCCTGGAAATGTAGAACTATGAAAGACAGGCCATTATAGCATCCACATCAAACTGAAAGTTGAGCCATGTTTTTGAGGTAAGTTCTCCTTTGCTGACGTCCCGCTTCTTCTGTAGTTTCTCTGATTGAGAGGAACGACCTGAAACGTTTAATGTATTGTCATTCCTGAGACCCATCAGATTTGGTCAAAAGTGATTGAAGAAACTGATAGTGCTTACCTTGGCATTTTCTAACTGAAACAATACTTCTCATATATATATCTATGGACAGACAGCCTCATTTGTTACATGGAACAGTGTTATCCAGGTTTTCTGTCTATGGTGAACCTATGACTACCATACAGGAATCCAGTATTCCAGTTGCATAGTTTGATGCTCATGCTGTTGATCACTGGTTTGTCTGGTCCAGACTTGATTATTTACTGGCCTCTGCCATATAGACGGAATATTGCTGAGTGCAACGTTAAACAACAGGTTGAATATCCGTGATCAATGATAGCTATATGTACATAGAGAAACACTTTCTCTTCCGGTCGGAACCTATTTCCACAATCTTATATGCAGGATAAATCTGTCGTTTCAAATAAAAATATGTTTCATGTTACTTTGGATAAGATAGAATCTGCCCAACTCAACATAAGTCAATATTCTGCAAGTTCAGTGAATTTACCTTGTTTGTCAAACTGAGTAGCAAGATTCCTCCTAGTATGCCCTGTGACCGCACCATTTCGAGCCTGGGAGAAGAAAAATGAAACCACATTCTAGTCAAGTACATTTGACTACTTACAAAACACTGTGCTGATGTGACCTAAAGTCAATATAAATATACTATTCAAATGACAACCTCTCAAAGCAGTCAATCACATTCAGCCTGGAAACTCAGCAGTTAGCAACTGCTTAAAAAACAGAATCCTAAGTGGAATACTGAATTCTGGGAGTGCATAATCAGTGTAGTCAATTACAACAGCAAGACCTCCTTGCCACCAGGACTTTGTTTTGTTCCTATATCTAACTCTGCACAAAATGGTTCTCCCTAAAAACAGTAAATGGAGAGCAGCCACTAGTTTCAGGATCATGCCATTTGCATCAGAGCTATGTGTCAATTGTATTAAAAACCAGACTTCATCTTCACCCCAATCTAAAACCAAAACACTTTCATTTTAAATCTTCACAGAGAAAGGAGCAGTTTTTAATCCTGTGCAACTATAGAGTCACAATGTGATGAATAGGAAAGTGGTCAGATACTTTGCTTTCTTCCGTGGAGCAGAGTCGGAGGATCAAGCATTTTTTAGAAATATTTATTCACAACTAGGTAATATCTAAGTCACAAAAGACTAATTTGATAAGAATTCAGTAAACATGCAAGATGTCCAACTAATATTTGAAGAGCTCACACCCTGTACACACAGACACACTAGTGGTGTTCCGATTAATTGAAATAATCGAAGATTGGTCACAGTGATCAAACGACCAAACAATTGATCACATTTTCTCATAATGGAACACAAACGATTTGGGAACTACTGTTGTTTGAAACACTTGACGATGGAACATATCTTAGAAGTTGTGAGGGCCTGAGAACGTGTTTAATTCTTAGAAAACTCACTGACAAGTCATGACTTCATATTTCTTAAGGACTCCAGGAAGTTTATGTTCATGCTATATGAGTCACATGCAACGTAAAACACAACTTTGCAGATTCTGATACCTTTCGGTATGGACTTACCGAAACAAATCGTCAAAAATGAAAATTCAACTTATAAAGTTGAAAAATAATGCGATGAAAAAAACCGCGCGAAATCGGAGTTCAAACGTTTCACTAATTTTCCCCCGACTTTTCTGGGGAAAACGGGTTTCAACAGCTGGGCTGCGCTCATAGCACATGCGCAAGTAAATAGGTTCGCGCGGGTGAATACTCGGTGAAGGCTTTGGTGTGAGCTATTTTTCTAATGTTTTGTTGATATCTCACAGGCGCGAGCTTTTTATATGTTATGACAGTAAATTAACTGTTTATATAATTTCATTTGTCTATTTCACCACACGTTCTTCTTACCGAGTCACTTTCTCAGTTCGATACTTAAAAGCAACGTCATTATTTAGCGTTGACACAATTTCTAACTGTGATATAGATATGTCGTTGTCACAGACAAAACTCAATGTCTTGTTTTATTGACACCTGTGTGTCTGCCTGCCTGTCTGCTAATGACAATATTCAATACACAACTGCAATCACTGACCACATGCAATTTGAACTTAACACCAATTAGGCTATACACCATAAACAAAATGCATTGATTTATGGCCGGAGTTCGGTCTCTGTCACATTATGTAATTACACAGACAGGCAGGTGTGATACTTGAACACATGACATGTTATGATGTCTGTTGATTGCAAAATGTTATACACAAAAAATGAGCATGTATTTACAAAACCCAACATCTCTATATATACACACACAATGAGCTGTGAGGGCAGCATCAAATGAACCAGCCGTTACACTTGAGTGCACACCCACCCGCTCTGACTGGGTTCGGTATCCCGGCTGCTTTGTTTCGAGGGAGGTAAACCCAAGTACAAAATATTGCACTTTTGATTTGCGATTATACGCTTATAATTTTGTTTATTTGTTTTTTCATAATCAGCAATGCATATTATATGTCATGAATAAGTGATAATTGTGTTTTAATTATGTTTGATTTTTTGGTTGCATGTGACCTTTAAAGTAGCAAGTTGCATCATTTTACATTGGATGTGAGATTTGCATACGCAATTTGTGCAGTTTCTAAATAAAACAAAACAAGCATTGTCACTAAGGTGACTTAAGCCCCCCTACAAATTATCAAATCAAACTTAAAAGTAATGAAGTTACACTCCTCGATCTGTTGCAATCTGAATTACGTTAATCGAGCAGGTATATATACTGGAAATACACCTGCCAAACTTCGATACAGGTCACCTATGAAGTTTTAAAATCCATGCAAACAGCACCGAATTGTTAGCAAAAGCGATACTCTTCGGGCATTGCAAAGTCGGCCACTGGTGGTTGTTGAACGATTTTACTAGCTTTACTTCAGCTAGACCAGAGTTTCCCCTTAGACCACAGCTACAACTTTTACCCTGACCGGAGCGGCTCAATCATTGACAATCTTTAAATACTGCCTAAAGACATAACCCTTACAAAGATTGAATTACAATGAAGGAATAGCACCTGTACTGCAGTGTATTTTAATTTTTGTGTAAGCGCTAGCTCGTCATGTGTCAATTGAAATTTACATCGTCTCCCATATCTGCATCGTGGACTACGGCTTTGCAGTGGTAGTCTCTTTATAGGAGATATCAATCCTTAGCGCCTTCCTTCAGACTGTCGCATGCTTTGCATCGGTAATCTGCCGTGCCGTAAATGTCGATGAAACTTATGACACATTCGGCAATGTATCCCTGGGCGTCGGTGATATAAAGAAGTCCCTATTTCGTTAAATCTGCCCAAACTTTGGGTTTTGAATGTAAGCATTTATTTATGATGACTGAAGTACGTTGTTGGAAGACTTTTATGGCGTTTGGCGTGTTCTGCCTGGAGTTGAGGGTCAGTTTGTTTGGCACTCTTTTTCTTTCATTTGGGGCGCGTCTCAAACAGTTTTTTTCCCTTTTAGCTCCCATATCGTTTTATCCACATGGATAATGTTGAACAGATGTTTTTGATCAGTAAATTTTATGGCTCTTCAAAGTTTGAAAGTCGTGAGCGCTTTGCAGGGTCTTTGACATAGGACCAAGAACAGAAAATGTTCAACAACCAAAGGCAACTTCAGAACAAGCGTTTAAAAGTGTTGTATGTGGTAAGTTTCGGTTTGGCAACAAAATAACAAAGTAGCCCGTGAAAGTTTTTTGAAGACAACTTTTGCCCAAAAGTAGCGTCCAATATGGCGCCATCATAAACATAGGCACATTTGTTGTGATGCTACTGTGTAGAAACATGCATAGAAACAAAGTGATGCAGCGTTTGAAAGCCGTAGTAGCCCTTGTAGTTTTAGTGCAGCACATTTTGGGAGGTATGCAGTCAGGATTTTGCTGAAAACATCAACAAAACTTCAATCCCAAATAGCGTCCAAAGCGGTGCATTTTAGCGACGATTTTGAGCCATCCAGGCGAAAATTGTAGGCATTTTGATTGCGCATCTGCTCAAGAACTTTGGCACACATTGGAACATTAGTTTTGGAGATATTTGAATTTAAAATTGAAATTTTTGAATTAATTTTGAATTATCTGCCCTTTGCTATTGGGCCTACAGCCTAGAGATTTTAAAGCGATATCTACACCTCGGTGGGCATCTGGGTAATTTTTGTCAAGGCATTCTGTCCAGCGATTGCTCTCTGTAGCTCTGTTACAAAATACGGCGGAAGAATAAATAATAATAATAATAATAATAAAACACGAGCGATTACAATAGGTCTCCTGCCTAAAGGCAAAGGAGCCCTAATTAAAATCGTTATTTTGAGTTTTCTCGGGTTTTGACCGAACTTGATAGTATGTCAAAATGCTTTCTAATGGTCAAGGTCACCAAAGGTCCACGGGGTCAAGGTCATTTGACTGGTCCATCACAAGACAAAAACACGCTTTTTGGCGAGCTAAAAGCCGTTGTTATTACCTCTAGGGTGACAGGAATTAGTGTTTCTGTTTTGCCCAGACCCGATGTATCATATCGCCCGGTCAGATTTAGTGACAAATATGTCGCTACTGTCCGCATGTCTGTCCGTCAAAATACTGTATAGTTAAGTATCTCGAACTATGAAACGCACAGAGTTGAGCTTTTGCACACAGCATTCCCTTTGACTGTGCCTAACGATGATGTAAAAATCAAGTCATTTGAATTTCAACTTTTGTTGCTATGGCAACCTGATAAATGAAAAACTTCAATCCAAGATGGCGCCAAGCGGCTAGAGATATCGCTCTGGGACAACCAGACAAAATGATCGGCATCTCATGACCAAGTCACATACCAAATATGGAAGGCGATTGGGGCAATAGTGGTGGAGTTATATGCTGTTTTATGCCGTTTTGGACTCGTAATGCATTTCTGCAATTTTCAATGCCATATGGCGACAAGCGATCAAACTTTTGATATGCATGTAAGAACCACGAAATGTTAAGCATCTTATGTTGATGCATACTGCCAAGTTTTACTGCCTTCTGTGCAGAACTTGAGAAGCTATGCTGTTTATAATGTAGTATCATCAGAATCTGGCGAATTCCAATATGGCGCCAAAGCAATACACATTTTGACATACACCCAAGAGCGAAAAATGTTCAACACACTTAGTTACTATGTACTGCCAGATTCTAGCTGCATAGTTGAAATAGTTATGGCGCTGCGATTTTTGAAAATACATTTTAGTACAAAATAAACAACAGAAGCAAACATCTAGATATCCGTAACTAATCAAGATATCGCAACGCATAGCTTATGGGCATTAATATTTGAGGGTATATATTGTATATCTGCACATTTACAGCGTTCTGCAGTTCATACATTCACAGTTATGGATTGCGAAAATGCCTACCCAACAAAATCTGCAAATTTCGATAAACATCTTCAATCCAATATGGCGCCGCAGCATCGCGTGACTTTGACATAGGACCAAGAACAGAAAATGTTCAACAACCAAAGGCAACTTCAGAACAAGCGTTTAAAGTGTTGTATGTGGTAAGTTTCGTTTGGCACAAAATAGCAAAGTAGCC